CACCGTCTTGTCGCCCGACGCGGACGCCACCAGCTTCCCGTCTCGCGAGAAGGCCACCGCGCTGACCCAGCCGGAGTGGCCCTCGAGCGTGCTGCGGCATGCATCCCAGTCCGTTTCCCTCCTTGACACCATCTTAATCCCCCGTGGAGCTAGGTCCTTAAAACCTTTTCGTATTATGCTTGTTTGCGGTGCGAACATAAGTGCAGAGGAATAAAGCTGTAGTGGAGCATCGTCTATTATAGGTTGAAAGCGCAGTACGAATCGCATAGCATCCAGAAGGAAGGCGGAAACCATGTTTGCTGATGGCTGTATGCATGTTAGCACAGCACTAGGAAATTATTTAGTTAGGATCCTACAATTACAAGAGTCTCAAGCATGTTAAGCAAGTGAACGCATCTACTTAACTCTCTCAAAAGGCTCATAGTTTCGAGCCAATAGAGGAAATGCTTTTGGAGAAAGACATGTGTTGCATCCCCATCAGCTATCTCTTGCTGACTTTGTTTGAGATGATCGACCCAGTACCGACATGAATACTGCAGCTCAGGTGATATACTGCTAGTGATTATCCCTTCGTCGATCTCACTTCTTAGAGCTCCGGGTCCTGATAGGTTGCATATGTTCCGACGTAGGCCATGTGGCCCAGACATTAACTCAACACAGTAAGACGCGAGGCTCTTGTGTGTATCCTTCGCATCCACCCAGAATTGGTTCTTGTCCTGTCTCTGGGGATCAACAAGGAAGTCTCGGAAAGACAAGTGGAGTAGCCGAACAGGGACATCTTGACTGTCAGGAACGCTAAGGACGGAGTGCAAAGCGTCTAGTCGATACTCTAGCTCTCTTTTCGGGACCTGCAAGAGGTTTGCAAGTGAGATGATAGACAACGAATTCTCTAGAACGGCGATGCTGCCCACCACTTTTCGAAATGCCCGAAGCCAAGCTTCCCTCTCATATTCGTCCTGTTCATCAAGCAAATGCTCCAAGATAGGGAGATAGGTTCGATCAAGCTGGGAGAAGGTTGACTTTTCATACTTGAGCACCTTTCCCAGGTACTCTTCTGGGTCGCCTCCTTTTGTGCCGATGTATCGGCACACAGTGGCAGCGAAAATGAATAGCGGCACAGCTAGCTCAACCAGCACCTGGATCTGATCACCTGTCGGCCAGTCTGGACGCAGCCTGCGCGCTCGGCGTATCTCATTAAGTTCATGCTCGTAGAATAGACGTATATCGTGTTCAATGGTGTTCTTCGCAACTTCATGAAGGACGAGATCTTGGTATGTCCCGTTCGGCATCTCTTGAAAGCCAAGACGAATGTGGAGCTCTGGCCTGCTTGTGACCAAGACTCGCAATGGTACCGCCTGCATGTTCTTAGCCTGAGTGAGGAGCTCAAGTATGACTCGGACGTCGTTTTCCCTCTCACATTCATCTAGCGCATCGATGACGATTACGCGTGCAGTAGTAGCTGAATGTGTTTTTTGCATCCCTGAGAGCGGATGGAGTATAAGTTTCTCGAATTGATCTTTTAATACCTTGTGTGGCAAGGCCGAATCTTCGTCAAGAGCTTTCCGGATACTAGGGAGCATGCCTGGCTCGCGGGCAACTAGGTCAGTAGCGATGGTGCTAAAGAAGCGGGAGGCATTGCCGCGTTCGCCCTCGCCCTTCTTGAAGAAGAAACTCGCCCCAAGCAGACCGTTCTTGTTGAAAGATTGAGCAGCAGTCCGCGCGATCGTGGACTTGCCTGTGCCAGCCATACCGCACAACCAGAATATGGCTTTGCCATCCTTGTTGTCTGCCCAATCTGCAATGGTCTTCAGTAGATCAGTGCGTGTTTCTGGCAAACACCGTGCGTTGTGCTCGTCGGCATGCGAATCGAAGGAAGCGCCTATTGCGACAGGCAATTTCGTCAGGTCTAGCTGTTGGCTTATATCAGCCACAAGGACTCTGTGTGGTCGGTGAGACGCTATGCTTGTAGACAGAAGGTCTGGGTAGAGAAGCTTACGTCTGATCGACTTGGAGCGCCAGGCTGAAAGTGTGCCCATACTTCTCAAGGTTCTGAATCGTCTTCTCCACCTCCTTGCTTGTTAATGGCCATTTCAAGGCTCGTAGGCCGAATCGCTGCATTGCTTTACGGGGCCCACTAGGCTCGAGATTGGTTTGGAGGGTAGCCTCGAGTTCTTTTAACTCCTCCAAACATCTTTGGAGCGGGCCTAACAACGTGTTAGTGGTAGGGAGCTGCGACTTGCCCCGCTTATCTAGAAGCTGTTGGAGCTTCCCGAGTACAATCTTGGTTTCGCCAACCTTTTGATGGAGGCGCTCGATGTCGCCCTTTGCGTGCTTGACCTCGGTCGAGTACTGTAGGCAGAGCGACGCGACTTTAGCAGATATGTCGATGACAGCTATCACGCTTGCTGCTCCTGAAAGGCCGTCCATAATGAGGGCGGCGCACTGTTAGGTCGGTGGTGAACGTGTCTCTGTAGACAACACGATGCAGGTTTGCGAGACGGCGGGGCCGCTCTGGGGTCGCGGAGAATGTTGTCGCTCATGTCAAGCATGGCGAGGCTGAAGGCTGGGAAGGCAGCTGCGGCTGAATGCTGGACGCTGCAGCCGAGTGTCGAAGTGGGCGCTTAACAGCAACCCCGCCATGATCTACACGAGGGCAACACATTTTAATGATAAACTGGAAAGAGTTCCAATGCTATAATTACACTTTCCCTATCAAGCATCTTTTGAGGCTTTGACGAGGCTGCAACTGCGCGACCGAGACAGCTGGTCACAGATCATGCTGGATAAGATTAGGCAATAAAGGACACGTGCACAAAGAAGGGCTAGCACCAACTGAGGTTTTTCGGCTACGAGACGAAGCTATTCCAGATTGAACATACCCCAAAAATAGCGAGCTCGTGCCCTTGTGCACAGGTGTCTTTTGTTGCCTAATCTCTGCTCCTGTCCAGCACCACCCGGGACAGCTCTCGCGCCTACGCAATTGTGATTCTACAGCAGGTCGTGGAAGATGACTGACAAGGAAAGCCTAATTCTAGCACAGGAAATACCTCCTGGCATCAATAAATCGTATCGATCTCGTGCAGACCACGGCGGAGTGGCTGCTTCGACCCTCATCCATCGGGCGCTGGGCCGACAGTCAATGAAGGCAAAGGCCCAAAGCCAACAGTACCTCACTCCCTGGGAGGAAGAGGCCTTGGCGAAGTTCCTCCTTCAGATGGCCAACCTTGGCTTCCCCGTTCGAGTGAAGTTTATCCCGTCTCTAGCTTACCGCCTTACCCTCCATCGACCTGCGTCAGCGAGGCCGTCGAAGCCGCCGCACCCCAACTGGACGTTAGCATTTAGGAAGCGGCACCCCGAATTACAAGTCAAGATGGTGAAAGCGTTGGACTGGAACCGTCACGATAAGAACATCTACCCAAAAATTACACGCTGGTTTGAGGTAATTAGAGAGGTGTTGCGGGATCCAGCTATCCTCGCGGAGAACGTTTATAATATGGATAAAACCGGAGTTATGCTCTCTATGCTACGCTCTATTAAGGTCTTCATAGGTAAGGATGATAAGCGGAATTATAGAGGTGCGCGGGTTAAGCGTACTACCGTCACTACAATCGAGTGCATTAGCGCCGACGGTAGGTATCTAAACCCTATGATTATCTGGCCGGCCACGACGCATTGAAGTAATTGGACCACATTTCCTACGCCGGGTTGGCACTATGCATGCTCCGAGTCTGGATATACTGATTCCTACATTAGCCTGTAGTGGCTAAAGCGCATCTTTAACCCTGAGACTAAGGAACGGGCTAATAGTAAACCGCGTGTTCTAATATGCGATGGTTTTAGATGAAACCTTGAAGTGAGAATAAGTGTGATAATGTCTCTATCTATGCACAGTGCTGTCTATATACAGTGATGTGTGCACTATCGCACCATGGTGTGATACCATGGTTGCACCGGTGTTTGGCCTATCATATCACGTGATCTCGGATCCAACTGTTTTGGTACCCACGAGACCCTCGAAATCCTTGAGTTCTGTCTTGATAATAACATCATCCTATGTCGGCTCCCATCTCATACCTCTTATAAGCTCCAGCCTTGCGATGTGTCCGTTTTCGCCCCACTCAAAGACGCGTATCGCGAACAGGTCGAGCGATTAGAGCGAGGTGGTGTGAACGCCATCGGCAAGCAGCACTTTACCAGCCTATATAGTCGTGCAAGGGCCACTGCCTTTACTTCACGGAACATTAGGGCTGGTTTCTCTGCATGCAGTCTGTTCCCTTTCAACCCAGATAGAGTACTTCGCGGCATACCAAAGCCACCGGACGAGTTGATCACCACGGCAGTAGATCAGGTGCTCCCTTCAGCATCATCAAATTCCCAAGAAATCTTACAGCCTGTCACGCCAGTAACGCCAGTAACGCCTGTGACCACAGAGGGCCTGATGTTGCTACAAAACGTTATAGTCAACAGAGACGCCCAAGACCTAGATGAGAGGAGCAAATGTAGTTTGTAGAGGCACCTAGAGAAGTTCTCGAAAGCTACCCATCTCGCCTTTTCGAGAGGCATCCTCCAGCGAGATCAGATCAAATTCCTAATGAAGGTTAACGACGAAGCTAAAGTTCAAAAAGCCACCAAATCAACCATCCTCGCGAAGGGAAAAGGTGAGGGAAAAGTCATAGTCTTTGAGGACCTTGAAGAAGTGCGGAGGAAGCGTGCTGAGCAAACAGCGCTTTAGGAAGCAAAGGGCAAGGCAAAGCGTGGCCGCAAGAAGAAAGCTTCGTCGGAAGACAAACAAGCAGACGAGGAGGCACACAAAGCAGGCGCTTCAAGCGGAGTAAAGCGGGGACAGAAACGCAAAGCTACAGCGGACATCGAAAGGACGCAGGCGAAGATAGCGAGGTAGAGCGAGGCGCTGGATGAGAACATGCTGGGTGGAATCGCGGAACGGCATATACTTGTAACCAAATAGAGAGCTCCTGAGTGTCACGAGAGCAACGAGCAAGATGTCTGAGGCCCAGGTAGGCTAGATCAATATACTGCGTTCGGTATCTACGTGTAGGTACAAGACGTTGGATAAGGAGAAAAGGTCCTCTCCCCTATCCAGCGTAGATCTATCTTCTCGCTTCGTCGCACGCCCTCGCCAAGGGTGGCTAGCGCCATGCTTTGACCAATCAGCTAGTAGACGGGCCACCCATCTAATAATCTGTTGACTGGCTGCCAGCGCGCGATATCTCTAAGATATACTACTGCCAGCAGTATATCCATGCTTGTCAGTAGCCTCTAAGGTTACCGTGACACTGAGGCTCCTATGCTGCATAATAGATTTGCTTAGAACTATTTTGGAAATTTTTTAATCAGACAGATCCTTCAAATCAGACTAGTATTAAGTTAGGATGATATTGCTGATGTCTTCGAAGCAGCACATGACTAGACCAGCACGTGAGCTGATCGTTGGCAAGCCTTTCCTTCGCTGATGCTTACGGATGACTCGTGGAGATTACCTGAGATATATTACCGCGCTATCATCTGCGCCTGGGCCATGTGCATAGTTCGCTTAGGATTCAGGAGCTGACCAGGGTGGCAATACCGCAAATCTCCGCATCCCGTAGTAGCTATAAGGCCGATAAAAGCTAGCTATTACGAGTGAGAGATTCTACATGACCGTGTTGTACCTCGAGTAATCTAAAAACCCCGGACAGCTGCGCCTGCAAGCCAGCTGCTCGGCGATAAGAATCTCGTCCAATAGGGCTACCAATGTTTGACTGGGCAGGAAGGCCAGCACTCGGCTGTAATTTTTGTATTGCAAGGGCGGAATATGTGAATAAGACTGTAAAAAATAGTATTTCTCCCTAAAATAAGAAGTTATGAGTGTGCTGCGAGCTCTATCAAAACTTTAATTCAGAAATTCTCTGATTGGGTTCGCGACACTGTGTGATTCGCGACGCAGTGTGGGACATTACCTCAAAGAGACGGTCATGCGCAACGTTGTACAACACTGCACTAATGAGAAGCAATGTTCATCAATAGAGCCGAGATGCAGACGGTATTAATCTACCATCAGCAAGCGACGATCTCTTCATGGACTTTCAAGCACCACCGATATCATACTCATTTTGATCCATCCTATCTGCGGTAAACACGACTCAGCTTCTGTGCCGCGTTCCTTCTAGCTTAGAAGCTGACATGCAATGCTTTCGCATCGCTATAGAGAACAGGAAAATTTTGTAGACACCGTCTCTCAAATATGCGGCTATTCTGAAGGGGTTCTCAGCCCAGTTCTCTTTCAGTATGAGACTTCAGCTTCCGTCTACTTAGCTCTGGTAGATACCCTTGGAACCCTACCTACTCCTCTCATGTCTTTGGTCGTCATGTTAATCGTCAAGTTATCAAGCCTCCGCCTCTGTTTGCTGAATGTCATAAGGGGTATCGTTCAGATTCCAATTGCACACACCGCTTCCACCACACTGTCCGCTCATGTTGTCACCGACCTCGAAGTGATCACCACCAGTGAACGTCTTGGTGACCTCCTGGCCGGGAAGGTGAACATAGTCGACGAGCTGTCTCGGATTAATCTGTATACATTGGTAGGAATGGGCTGGTGCCTACCTTGAAGGACAGGTCAAAGTTTTCGGATGCATAAGCGGCACCCTCCGCAGGCTTGTTGATTGTGAAACTCCACGTGGAGTATGTCTTAGTGTTGTCATCGGTGGTGCACGACTGCTCAACGCCCCATGGAACGTCTTCGTTTGTCAAATACTGTAGCGAGCAGTTGGCGGAAGTAGGAGGGAAGACGGCTTGGCCGGTGGGAGATTGGCCTACGGGGATAGTGTTGGGGTCGGTGATGGTGATGTTAAGGGTAGAATGAGGGTCATTTCCTGGACGTCCAGAGGGCGTATGGGTGTAGAGTCGGGTGATCTGCCAGGGCTGAACGTCGTCTCTCGCGAGCTTGATCGCAGGTGCTGCGGATACGGCGCTGGCCGCGATCAGGGCGACGAAGGACTTGAAGTACATGTTGGAAAACGTGTAAATTATGGATGAATGAGTTGTGATGAGGGGTTGCTGAGAGGAGCTTGTTCGCGGTACTAAATCTGACTGCGATCGGCAAGCTATTGTATACAACAGGTATCAGCCCGCGGACCGACAGCCGAGTAGTTCAATGACTCCCTGGCGTATGAGCAGCTTATTTCTCCACATCGTACAGTACCTAATGCAGGTAAGCGCATCAAGGTCCCACTGAGGCTGAACGCTAGCCGATGCCGTTTGGGCTCCTCCCGCCGCCTTCCCGAAGCTTAAAAACGCATCCCCTGCAAGATGTTCGCGCAAGCCAACTGAAAATACAACAGTGACATTCCGGCGTTATGCACTGCTCTAAGATGCGTTAGAGGCAATGAATTACTGATCCGCCAGTCCCAGGAGGCAATGGGGGCCCTACGGCCGTAGAACCACACTAGCCGTTTGGGGACTTCTAGTGCTGTCGATCCCCTTCACGAAAATAGAAACACCGTTGAGGAATACTGGGGACGGAGCTTTTCGGAGCGAAGTTGCGCTGTGTGTAAAACCGTTGTGCTTGAGTAGAAATGACGACTTGGAAACAAGGGCGATTCGAATGTTATAAAGCGAAGAAAAATTGAACGGGGACGAGATGTATTGTTCAGAAATGCTTGTTACACTACATGGGCCCCACACCAACAAACAGTTTGTCGAGCCTTAATTCGTTGACATTGGACCTCCAGTCTCTCGCATTGGGCAGGACAATCCGCCACCCTCTGCTTTCTGTATCTTCGAAAAGCAACTCCGCCTTCTTCTCAGCATCATTTATATCGATAGCGCATATAACAAAGGTCGTAAGGTAGAACATGACAAAAGGGAACTTTGAGTTAATGTAGTGTTGGAGGTAGTATTGCCATGCGTGAGATGACCACGGGCGATCGAAAGCTATAACTCCAGTCAGATTCTGAGCAACAGGCCGGAAGAGCATCGAGAAGTCGGAGAAATGCCGGACGTTTGACATAACACCGCCTGTAATGGGACTACCACGCTAAGAAAACATACTGAAAGATGATACTCACGCATCGCATTCCAGTGGTACACATGGCCCTCCCATGTGCCAAAGTTGAGTCTGCTCTTCCCCATCCGCTTCATCGCAGGCATTGGCCAGGCGCAGTAATGTGTCAAGATGCTACCTTTTGCCATAATGCCTTCCGGATGTTTGTTCTTGAATTGCCTGGCGAAGTCACCTAGGCAGGTTTTCCGTGGTAGTGACAAATTTGGCATGAGCTCGACATCTGGCGAAAGACCTCCAAATTCGTACGGGAAATACAGGTCCAGGGCGCCATCGGAACCCTGAACTATTACTGGACGAGTCTGCGGTGACTCGTGATCTGACACAAGGCTAACAATGCCGCAGCGCTCCATATCATCGACGACACGCCTGATGAAACGATTCGCCTCTCTGGACTTCCCATCTTGTACCATCTTCTTCTGGTGCGCTAAGAGTATTTGGCGGTCTGGTTCGTGGCTTCTTTGTCGGTTGCCTTCGTATTGTACCTCTGGTGCCGAAGGGAACCCTACACCAGCGATCTTGGCGACGTCAATCTTTTCCAAGAACATCTCTTGCGCAGCTGGAGGGATAACCTCTTCAACGACTCTTCTCATGATCTCTCTTGGCGAGGGATCATCGACGAGCATTAGGAGTATATCTTCGATGATTTCAAACAACTCAAATGCTAGATTGGGATCTCGATCGATGATGATGAATTGCCAGGAGTCTACCACGATGGGATCGTACATTGAGCTTTTTCGAAACCGTAAGTCATTCTTTATGTCTTCCAAGGTTGTGTCATTAGTCCACTCCGCATGATCCAGCGCTTGGTGTGACTTCGCTGATCGATGGCGTTTGATGACCAGTTCGCCTTCGGTTGGGTGCACTGTTGCGTCAGCATTTGTCCCCTCATAAACCACGAGTAGCAGTCTGCCCGTCCGCTTTTGAAGTTCGTCTAGAAAAAGCTGCGTGAGTGGGTCTCCGATCGCCATTTGGCCGCATACATAGTTTCGTGACTCCGTTTGCACGATGGATTCGTTGACCTGTTTCAGACCGCTTGTGCTTGGTGGCCCTTTGCTCGATGGTAGAAATCCAAGGTACCCACCGGTAATGCATTCTACAAGAATACTCGAGGGGTCGAACCAGTAGTCACGGTACAGCCCGAGCATCAGTAATTTGCAAACGGTGGTATAGTCTTCGAAGTTAGAGCAGATACTTGCCAGCGTCCACGGAGTCAGTAGCATAGGGAACCAACGGTGACTAATTTTTTGGTCAGTAATGGCAGAAATATGATTGGAAAAACTTACAGAATATCCCAGGATGCCTTGCTCATCTTCAAACCTTCTGTCGTGCTCGGTATCATGCCGCCAAGTAAACCAATTGTTTTGACGTCACTTCCAGCCAATGTCTGCGCACAGATGGCGACGCGGAGAAACTGAAGAGCGTGTGGCCGCCATGCCTTTTCAAAAAAATCGCAGAAAGCCTCTAGCTGACTGGCATGGCACCCAGATAAAAATTCGCTTATCGTGGGGGATCTAACCGCATGCTCCAGGGTTTCAGCGTTACTGGTATTGAGTATCATAATCCGAAACCAAGCGCGGATTATTTCCGTCCCGCTGTCATTCCTAGGCTCCAACACTGGTGAGCCTAGATGCTTCCCTGAGTCGTTCAAGTCAGGGACAATGCTGTACAAACGCTGGACTCCTTCTACACACAAGTCGCTGTAGAAGTGCTTCAGGATAAGTATAGTCCCATCATCCGGCATGTTGTGTAGTGAAGTAATTGGAATGCGCGGAGATAGGGGAGACTGTAGAATCATGATCTTTTCGAGACCTTGCTGCATTGGGTGCGGTGATCTCCCCCCTGGGGTCTCTGGAGTTGGTCCACGATTGAGATTCAGCACTATCAAAGGTTACTATTGATTTGAGGACGAGGTATGAGGACCACATACTCAGCACAGAGTCGGCAAGTGTCCTCATGTCTCTCTCCACGTTTGCCATCCAATTGATAAAGTCCGATGTATCTCCGCCGCGAGAGTAGAATCTTTCTCGAATCTGGCGTCTGAGATCCATTGCTTGGCGAAGCTTCAAGATCTTCTGTCTAGCAGTATCCGGTGTATCCGCTTCGACTCTTTCCACATCTCTGAAGGCCTTGTCCCATTTGGCTTGGAAATCTTTCAGCTCTGCGGAGTGTCTTTTGCACCACGTGTCCTCCTCTCGAGGTAACGACTGCTGACATGGGCGACCATTGCTCTCCAAAGCTTCGCATTCATTTGATGTGACTAGAGGTGATCTGGGCGGCTCCGAGGAGCGTAAGATGATTCGTGATTGGCCTTTGGAGTTGGGTCGAGGTTCCTTCATGATAATAATACCGAGCCCGGCGCTCATTGTGAGCGAAATTTAGAGACTCCAATGTCTCATTATCGTGCGACTACGTGAGAGTTTTGTAGTATGATGACATCTCCCGACATGATACTAATAGTGAAATCCGCGGGCCGCAAGAACGCCTTGCCATGGCTGAACGGTCGATATGCATGTGTGTGGCACAGTTGATATCGCATCTTCCGCCCTAGTCTCGCATCAACTCACTTCCCAGACTTTGGCGCCCATCAACTCTTTCGTGTGGCTGTGCCCTTAGACTTGCGTTCTGCAGGACTCATTAAGAAATTAGTCGGTAGCAGGAGCGATAACGCGCAAACCATCCCCTAAGTCGGTATGAGCAGATGTACCGGTCGAAATAGTGGCCGGTCACTAGGACGCGGTGTTCCAAAGAAAAAGTAATTGGTAATCTAGTGAAAATGACAGGTTGTTGCAGTATTTGTTGTGTCGCAAAATCAATGCGACAACGACCCAAAGCTTGGGCAGCCCTCGTCTCCGCCAAAGGATTGTCGATGTTACTAGGGGTTGAAAAAGACGCGCAGAGGTGTGATGATGTACGATGGATGCAGCGCTGACTTCCACTATGCGAACGATTGGCACGGAATTTTTACTCAAGCGCTAATCTAGCCGTAGAGTGTGAAGGAGTCGGCGATGGATAGCGAACAGCACGCGCGTAAGCGCCAGGATCGTGAGGGACGCTAGTCGGCTATGGTTTGACTAATCAAGGTGAATTTGACACACGAAGTTTCTACTTTGCGTTAGATACTCGCAGTGATTGTGACACTCTAATGTAGTATTAGCGGATTTCCGTGCGATTAGTAAGTACACAGCCTTCAACGTTGCGACCGTGGGAACCTAGGAGCGATTCCCCTGCTCTTCTATATCAAAGTGCACATGCCATCTAGTAAGAGTGATGTCAAATGCTTTGATACATCCATGATCTGTTTGCAAGTGTAAGAAGGAGGCATGTGGAGCGATGGAATCCTCTGTCTTAGCTCAAGGCGATCTGTACTCAAGACTGGGTCAATGACGAGATAAAATGAATTCTCAGTCGAATGGTTCTGCATCGCACATATTAGTTCACAGAATCGGCTGCATTCTATGATACCAAGACCACACGCCATGCTACAAAATTGCAAACATGCAAACACTGCCAGCGAGACATGGAAACAACAACACCAATGTCAATTGAGCACACGACTCATGTACTGGTTCAGTGCGTGTACGCACCTTAGGATATCGAGCCTGCCTTCTTAGTGCGGGCGACTTTGCCAGTGCGCATTGCCTGATGCCCCACTTCTTGTTCGTTCACTGTGATGATTCCTAGGTAGCTTATGTACGGAGCACCAGTTCGACCAAGATCCTTTAGCATACACACCTGGAGGTGCTCAGCGTTCACAAGCTAACACAAGTCTCCAAAGCAGCCAAGGGAAGGTTCAACCTCGCGGGGAACAGTAGCCAAGCATATTCTAGAATCAAATACAGCTGCTGAAGCCGTGTTAATCTGGCTTCACTCTCAGCTTTTCTTTCCACCTTTTCGGCTTGTTAGCACGCGTTCGGACTCCCAGTTGATCAGTGGCATTGCACGCTCTCTCAAAGATTTCGCTTGGTCAATCAGGATCGCTGTGAAAATATTATACGAGAAGATGCGCCACTCGGAGCGCAATTCTGCAGCCACCGGGGCTCTATTTGGCGACCTATCACGTGATGATGCCATTCTTGACTAGTGAATCGACCGATCAGATGCGAGTGTATAGCGAGCAATTTGCAGTGATGCTTCCTAAGATCTTGAACGGCTCACAGCCTGTGCAAGAACGGTATCTGCCATTACGCCTGCATGTCTATCCTTGTGGACATAGTAGCATAGCCCGATTCTATGGGGCCAGAACACCTGCGCGACATCCGGATGAGTCAGACCGGCCAAGGGTCTCCAACAGCCACATTAGTTACATGCCCCGGTGCATCTTTCCTTGTTAAGCTTGTATCCACTACATCCTCATTACCTAAACTACCATTGTCGTGCTCTGGTTGGAAATAGATATACGTATAATCGGACAAACATACACCACTGGCCTCCATATCCTCGACAGACCAATAAGTTCTCTAGAATGCCAATTGAAGGGAAATTCTCATCCATCAAAGTCCTTGTCACCGGGTTTGGCGTGTGTTCTGCAATTCTCTCCTCCACATCAACGCTAACCGACCCAGCCTTTCCTTGACATAACCAGAAACCCTTCCTGGGAAATCGTCAGAAACCTTCCATCCACCCTGTCCTCCACCAATGGCTCTCCAATTTCGCTGATAATCCCTGATGCGCCGATTCCTGCAGCATACCACAAGTTGCTCGCGGAATCTTCCAGCCTGATTGCAAAACATGAGCCGCATATAGTCTTGCATATGGGTCTGGCGGTTGACAGAGACTATTTCGCTGTGGAACAGAGCGCGCTCAAGGAAGGGTACCACGATATACCAGACATCGAGCGCAAGGTTATCACGCGTATGGAGAACAAGAAGCTCTTTGGCAAAGCGCCATCGTCGTTGGCCACCTCGCTTGATCTGGAACCTGCGGTGTCTGCATGGCAGACTGCATGCGGCCGATTGAGTCTTCCGTCGAAAGAGCAAGGCTCATCCAAGGGCAAGGGAACCGGGAAATCAAAACAGGAGAAGAGAAAGGTCGACGTGAGACTGAGCGATGACGTGGGGACCTATGTGTGTGGCTTGATTTATTTCTCGAGCCTAGTGGAGATGCAGAAGCGGACCGGAAACCGGGATGTTGTGTTCTTCCATGTCCCTCAGTTGACTGGAGGTGGAGAAGTCGACGTCGGGATCGAAGTCACGAAAGAACTCGTCGTTGCGCTTGTCGATGTGTGGGAGGCAAGGACGTAATTCGCTTTCTCCAGGAACAATACGACATTGCTCAAAATTAACGACCCATGTGGGGGGTCTATGGACGAATCAAGCTGGCAGTTTTCGTGGTCTGCGTTGCAGGCATCGCCCCAACGATGAATGTCTGGATAGAGGTCATGGTTCCTCGTACTCGTCTTGTTGAGAGTGTGCTCGAATTTAATTGCAGGGGCTGTTTTCTTCTTAAGAGAGAAACGAACCCAAATGCCGCTGTCTCGAGGTTCCTGTCAAGTCGATTAGAGTCCGGCCTCATAATGCTGTGAAATAGTTGTTTCCCTTCGGTAGTGAGGCCAGAAGCGGCCGATGAGCACCATGGACAGGTCTCTGATATTCGGGTTTCATTCGGACTCTTTTTGCTGAGTGAGGGCTAGCCCCTTGTTACGTGCATGTAGCGCCTGCAAGTCAAGGCGCATGGATTCTAGAAACTGGCCATTGAACCCGGCTTTAACAAAGGAAGGCGCGTGAATGTTGATAGAGCGGGTGATTCGTTGTACGTGGGAGAGGATCAGGCACACGTGTATACACGCTGTAGGGATGGCAGCAAGTGTAGTAGCGCCGAGTACGAGGCTGCTCTGCGTTGGCCGACTGGTGCTAACTCACGTGCCGATATCACATTGTCCTTTGTGGTGGTCTTGTACTCGAAAGGAAGTTGAGTGTCGCTGGGAACTAGGACTGTTGCCGGACCCGCCAATCATGATCAGAATGCGTAAGCTAGCATACGGAAATGTGGAGCTGATGATCACTATAGCGGGTTGGAGGTAAGAATGGGCGAACGTGCCTCTCGATGGAGGTCAGTCAGTCACCCAGAGCCGTGGGCCTGCGAACGAAATAGTACACCACAGCTGCACGGTATTCCCACTTTATACTTTGAAATGCTGCATATACTCTATCTAATTCCTGCGGATAGATTGTTTCTGTTTCGTTAACATTACACCCGTATAGTCATTAAAGGCAGTTTGTACAGCATATCACGGCTAGTACACCTCGCTCAGGGTCTTCCTGTCAGCCTCTTTCAACTTCTCGACATCTTCTTCGTGGATCTTCTTCTCGGCGACTTCTTTGTCGTCTTCCGCTCGATTCTCCTCCTCTGCGCTTTTATCCACGGGCATGTCGCCCTTGAGTGCTTCCTTGAGAATCGGCATGTTCTCTCCGCCTTCCATCGTGGTCGGGGACACGATCTTCACGTAGGAGGCCGAGCCGACATCGCTGAGTTCGTCACCATCGCCCAGCCCATCAGCGCGCGCTCCGGAGTACATACCAGATTCCTGCATCCAAGCCTTCTCTTGCTTGCGAGCGGCTTTGCGCTCCTTGCTCTTTTCCCTTTGCGCGCGTCGCGCAGCGTTGTGATGGACGTGGAGGTGTTGCATGCCAGGGAAGTAGTCCGAATCGTCCGAGAAGCCTTCACCAACACTGGGCGGTTGCAAATGACGCAGGATCGCACCGGTCCTCGGCGCAGCATGGTGTCTGCGTGGTGCAACAGGACCAGAGTCTTCCTGCTCGCTGCTCATGACTTGCTCATCCTCGCTGGACCCGTCGTCAGATGCGTCGTTGGGCGATGCCGGGGTCAACGGCAAGGACGGGCCCGGAGCGGCCTTTGTGCTAGCCTTGCGCGTGGGCTTCTGGGGCGTGGGCTCCTTGATGGCTGGGGTGTGGTCGCCCTCCTGGGAAGCAATGGGATTGTCATCCTTTTCGCCGTCGACGTGAGCAACGTGGGCAAGGGGTGCCACGGGCTGGTTGCCCAGGAACTCGGCGGTGTTCTTGCGCATTACTCGCTTCGGCCAGCTCATCTTGTCGTGGTTACAGCCGTTCGCGCAGCCTCCCCAGCGGCGGATGGGAACCACTGGGGAGGACGTCGCGTTTCCCGACGTTCCTGTCAAGGGAGTTGGTCTGGACGAAGTGGGTGTGGCACTGGTTCCCTTGTCCTTGTCTCCAGCGGCCGCACGCTTCTTAAGGTCGGACCATGTTCGGAGCTCGTTCTCCAGGATGAATTTGCCATTGGTGGGGCTCTGCTTCATGACGATAAACTCGCAGTGGTTGACGTTGCGCAGATCCTCAAAGTATTCGACAGACCAGTGGTACCTGTGCCAGTCAGCTTGGGCTCTTGGGTGCAAGGGCAGGCGACACTCACCACTTCATCAGAAAGACTCTCGTCATCAAACCGTGGGTGACCAGCACGCACACGCTCGGGAAGTCAGGCTCGCTGAACTGTCGCCACATGCTCTCATTGAAGCCGCTCACACGGTCGTAGGCGTCGGCCGCGCTTTCTCCATTGGGAATGCGGTAGAAGAAGTGGCCGTAGTCGGCTCGCTCCTGCCACATGCGCTCCATCTCGGCCGAACATGGCTGGAAGTTGCCAAAGTCCTGCTCGCGAAGACGCGGCTCCTCAAAGACGGTGATCTTGTTGCGTGGGAAGGGCGAAGGCGAGGGCTCGTCGGAGGTGAGTGTTCGCAGGATGCCCTCGGTGGTCTCTCGTGTACGTCGGTATGGGGAGGTGAAGAACTGGATTGTGTCGTCTGGTTTGAGGAGAGAGCGAAGCTGCCGGCCTGCCTCTTCGGCCTGGTTGGGAGCATGGTCAGTTGCAAGCTCCGACCTGGCAAGGTGCGGGCGCGGGGCGTACCTGGCTCCAGCCCAGCTGCGTGAGCTTCACGCGGTGGTCGGGGATGAACTGGTGGATGTCGCGGTTCTTGTTTCCTTCCGACTGTGCATGGCGCACCAGGATGATCATCTGTGCCTGGTCAGCCGCCCGCCTTGGGTGCGTGGCTCGCGGCCCAGGGTCCACGTACCCGCGGTTTGCCCATGTTCGCGAGGGGGATGCGGTGGAGGATGGAGTGGAGGGGTTAGTATCGTTGTGGGATTGGCGAAACGCAAAGTGAAGTGAAGGAGCGACAAAGAAGGCGAGCCTATCGTCAAATCACAGATGTGCTCGCAACCGCGTTTCAGAGCTGTCCAGGTGGCGGCGGCGCCCGTCACCGTCCGAAGTTGCGCCCCGCCGTGTCGCGTAGGAAAAGGTGCTGGGCCCAAGCTCAGCGCGCATCGCTCTCTCACGACAGCACTTGAGGAGCCCATCGCCCTGCAACATCAGCCCGACGACTCTCCGCCACCGCCGCTCGCGATCATCCAGCTACGCGGAGCCTTCCTGCACCTTCCCGTCCACGCGCGCCTCGCGCCTGCCCGCCGCCAGCACCTGCCCATCATCAATCACACGCTGCTGCCTACGCGCGCTACAAGATAGAGCAGAAAAACACCCGCCCGCCGCCATGTCCGAAGGCATCGCCGAGTCTATCCCAACCTCGTCTGACTCGCGCTCCAAGAGGCCCTTGAAAAAGCGCGCTCTCACGCCCGGTGGCAAGCTCGCGCAGGATGTAGAAGCGCTCTTTGCGAAGCCAGACCGCGAGATCCACATCCCAGGATCCAAGGGCGACAAGAGCCTTGCACCGCCGCCTGAAATCGTAGCCAATGTCCAGGGTTCCAGCGCAGGAGCTGGCAGCGGCGAGTTCCACGTCTACAAGGCGAGCCGCCGGCGCGAGTACGAACGGCTGCGCATGATGGACGAGGAGGTCAAGAAGGAAGAGGACGAGAGGGAGTTCCAGAAGAAGAAAGAGGAGCAGGAGCGCAAAGACCGCGAGAAAACCGAGAAGAACAGAGCCAAGAGGGAGAAGGCACGCGCACGAAAGGAAAAGCTGAAGAAGGGACAGAAGGGCAGTGCGGGTGGTAGCCAGGCCTCGCCCGCTCCAGAAGGCGACAAACTGAAGAAGAAGCTCGCGCCCAACACCAATGCTCCTAGGCATGCCGATGAGGAAGAGGATCCGGTCCTCAATGGAGGCGGAGAAGTCAAGAACGCCGACGAGATTGGCCTCGTCATCGAGGACGACGACTGAGCTCGGGTTGCTGGCACGCTGCACGAGGCCCGATGATTTTGCTGTCGCCGCAACACCATCCGGACATTGCGCCACCAATCATCGCTGCCACGCCTGCGTTTCATTTCTCACTCGTGGCCCTGCGCACCTCTCCAGCTGTTTCTGCTCATCGGGCGAGCTTGCCAAAGCGAGTTTTGCACAACTTTGTGCTTGTTTCTTCAACGTGATACCATAATTCACCCTGTACTTTATCCTACCTAGTTCTCCGATGGCCATGCCTTGGCGCGTCCTGCTACGATCAGCAGCCATCTTGCGATCATCCGAAACCCTTGCTTCAAGATCTTCTCAAAGCAGTCATTCCCGGAGTTCATGTCACGAACCAAAGTGTTGTAATCGGACCGACTTCAGATGAGGTGCCACCGTCTCAAAATGTCGTCGACTTCAAGTCACCCGGGCTTGAGCAACCGCATATGCAGTCGGGCGTCTTTTCGGTGTTGCTGCCAAGGCTGGGACGCTATTCCGTGGCCTAGTAATCTCAAGCCGCACGAACTGCGAAGTCGAGACACGCATTGTGCCACATGAAGCGCGGTAATCTAGCAGGCTTCCCGAACGTTTCTCCTGGCGCCACTACATTCCCGACATTGGGCCTCTTGTCGTCAAGGCCCGTGTTCATTTCTGCCATAGAATCATGTATTATTGCATACTGATATCAATTCCCCAGAATTAACTGAACGTGTCTAGACGGTCGCCAGCTTCCGCTTAGCATCAAAAGCCAAATGACGAAACACCAAGACATGGCAATCTAAAAGCCATCATGGCGTCTAGACCTGCCTCTGCAGCCTCGAAATCTCCGGTCTGGACAACAGCGCTCGCCGCTACTCCACAGGATCGGCACCGGTTTGCGGAGAGCGGAGAAATAACGACGGTAGAATGCACAACTTGACCCACCCAATCAATTTCTTAGCCCTGTTGCCATTTCATCTAATTCCAGCAAGTTCATCAGCCCACGAAGCTTACCTGTACGTCGTGCCTTCTTTTGACGCCACTGCAGCCACATCTAACCGAGCGTTCTTGTTCGTTTACGTGTCCTGGTATCAGGTAGACGTGCTCGCTCGTCATCTCGGAATCCTGAGGCTGAATCCCAGGAACGGCGAGCTTACGCGTCTTGTAGCACCTGATTGGTCAAAAGACAATCAACCATGAACAACAAGCGAATTCTACCAGCTTTCACAATGGCATCATTCTTCCAATCAGCAGAGACCGAATCGCTGAGTTCATTTACTGCATGCTCAGTGCATCAAATGCAAGTCCAATCGTGGACTACACGCCATCTAACGTCCCCACTTTGGTCACTTGTCGGAAGTCTCTCTTACCTGGTAAACTCGATATCCTAGGCATTGAACCCAAGCGGACTTCACGACATAGAGCTTTCCAGGTCAACGTGTGGGCCGCTGGAGATAGATCGCTGGAACGTGGTTCTAATAATGGATCAGGCATTGATCATGTCGACACCCATCAGTCACTTGCGTCCAACCTGAACTTCCACATCGTGACCAGCTCCGGAACTCCAAATGCAGAATGGCTAAATGCGAAGGTTTCTCAAGAAATCACGCCCTGACAGCATCGAGCGGTCCGCGACTGCGACCATCTCCGATCATCGTGCTCAGGGCACGGTCATCATTCGTTGCTCTCAACCAGGGATGCCACTTTACCAGCACGCTTTTCATATAGCTACAACGGTGACACAGCTTTACCCTGCACTTTCTACGAATGTCCTATTCGTGGCATTACTACTTGCCACTTCTAGAGTATTCTCCTCTGCATTCTAACTCGATTCAAGGCCGCTTGGCTATTGCCGTCAGAAGCTTACTCTCGGAGCATACCGACCATCAATCTATTCTGCTGCAATGCACACATGTCCCTGCAGTAGCCCACACCTTCCCCGCAATTCCATGCTGTTCAACGACTGAGATGACGGAGATTCAGCATGCTTAAGGAAAGACAGCCGTAGCACGAAAGACGAGGAGACTATGGCGGGCACAATGGCGGCATCACCGCATATTGCGGCTCATCTATGTCTGAACGATCATCACAACAGCCTTCCTAGATGGCAACGCTGGGTGCCCAGCGAGCTGGGACCTGGACGCGTACACGGAGAGACACAACTTGCATAACTCGACAACAAGTTGGTCAGTATACCGACAAGAGAAGTATAAAGGTACGCTGTTCTTCGACGTCGACTCAGCACCCTCGACATTAGTCTTCAGCCTCAGCAACCACCTTCCGTTCTCTCTCGTTCTCAAAGAACCCCACTTTGCTATCAAGATGAAGGTTTCTGTCATCGCTGCTCTCTTCGCCGCCGGGTAGGACATCCAGCTCAGGACTACTTGGGGCAAGACGACTAACACTACAATAGCGCCATCGCCGCGCCCGTCGCTCAGGAGGCTGCACCCACCGCTGCTCCTTCTCACTCCCGTCCAGTTCGTCCGACTGGTCTGCCCTCGGGTCTCCCAAGCTTCTCTGTCCCCAGTGGCTTCCCCATCCGTAAGTTTCCCATCTCTTATGAAGCTTGTCAAAAGCACGACTGCGCAGTGTTGCCCCGGACGAACAACGCACCCTTCGCACGCTTGCTTAGTGCTCTACAACCTGCTAACCCACACAGCGACTGGCCTGCCAACAGGAGGTTTCCCGCCCCGCCCCAGCGGCACCCACTCGGCGCATCACTCCTTCTCGCGCTCCGCCCGCCCTTCTGCGCCGCCCGCCCCATCTAGCGCCGAAGACCTCGAGGCCCGCCAGGAGGCCACGTCCGTGCCCGGGCTTCCTAGCTTCAGCTTGCCTCCTCGTCCTACTGGAAGTGCGCCCATCCCTAGCTTCAGCCGCCCACCTCGTCCCACTGGAAGTGCGCCCGTCCCTAGCTTCAGCCGCCCACCTCGTCCTACTGGAAGTGCGCCCGTCCCTAGCTTCAGCCGCCCACCGCGCCCTACGGGACATCCTTCTGGAAGTGCATCCGCGCCTCCTGCGCCCACGGCTTCGGCTTAAACAGGGTAAGGGAAGATGGTCGGATGTGTGAGTGGAGGGGCTGTGAGGGGAGGGGGTGTAGGTAGCTAAGTGTAGGGTTAACACTCGTTTTAAAAAATGAAAATGGTTGCGAAGCGTTTTGGTTTCTGCTCATCATATGTGAGACGGGTCTTCACCGTGTGATGTAGAGCATTCAGAATAGTCTGTGTGATGATACTGTGAATTGAACCACGATGCCTGCCATCTATAGAAATTTCATACAGCTCAGGCATGAACGCATAGCGCCAGATGGAAGTCCCGAGATCAGTTTAGTGACTCAGAATAGGCGATACGTGGACCGATAGTGGTGAGACGTGTGTCTCGCTACTGTAATACTCTTCTCCACCGTTTGGACAACTGCTCAAGCCACCCCGTATAATTTCCAGGGTATGAAAAGCATCCTGCGAGCGTGAAAATGCGCTTCCAAAAACTTTAGTCGCACCCTCTGAGCTTTTCGTACACATCTCCACATGATTCTGAATAGCCAGTTTCTGGGGTCCTCCCGTACTAGATAGATAACAGGTTCCTCAGCCTCTGGCGCCGGTCGTCTTGCACCGCCATCGCAAACTTGAATATCCAATCATCAAAACCAGCTTTAGATCCCGTAGAGGTCATCTGCGCCTTAGACTCTTCATACGTCTTCAGCCTGAGGTGCGGACCGAGGTAGAATCTACCTGTGTGCTTGGTGTAGTATTTGTGACAGATTCGGTATCACAGATGTTTCCTTGCGCATAAATAATACTACATACCGGATTAGGCCCTCCTGGAGATCATGCATCGATATCTTATGCTGCAATTGTGGTGACTCGCGAACGTATGGTGAAATGTCCGATGGGCCAAAGAAGATGTGAACCCCCTTTCCAAACCACTCGGACTCATCTGTGGTGGTTGTGGCGATCAGTTGTGGATGTTTCTGCTGCTCTGCACGGAAAGCCGTCTCGAAAGAGTAGAACTCAGTAACGAAAGGGCGTCAGTCGGACGAAAATGTGTGGTCTCTCTACGTCTACATACAAAATACTATCGAGAGCCTTGCAGTCCAAATCATATTTGCAACGCACAAGGCTCTCCTCTGCACTAAAGGAGTAACCAACCTATCGAATGTTGGTCTCATCCCAAACACAACTTCGCAAAAGTTTAGTGCCTGATCACGAGTTTGAGATGCCAAAATCCAACGTCAGTATTGCAATGTTCTTTCGCAGATGTTTTCGCAGATGAAAAAAGAGATGTGCGAAGACAAAGACGATCTACTATTCGCACGATACATAATCTACCTTTGGCGCTGCGATGCAGGTGCACATCGAATCTGGTATAGCTTCGCAAAAAGCCTTCTTTATACGGTTTAGCCGGCCCAGTGTGCGCCACATTTGGCCTAGGCTGCGGATCATCGTTGGGGGCGACCTTCTGAGCTCAGCCTCGCCGGATCCCCCTTCACTCTCTTTGTGATGAAAATGCAATGACAGAACCCTACATGTGCTTATAGCAAACATGGTCATCTCTAAGAGATGGAAGAGGATACTCCTCTTCACGTGGATGTTTCCGAAGCGGAAAGTTAAGACCATCGACAAGCGCATAGCGGTAAGGCAGATCCTACCTCGCAAAGATTACTGTTCGGAGTTAACTTACGTGTCGTTCAGACGCCAGATCATCTAGTGCAGAATGGCGCTGCTCATTCACTGGTAGAGGTTCCAGCGACTACTGAACTTTGTAGTCGCTGCGCAGCAGTACCCTGGACTAGGCTACTTGAGGCTCACCATGCGGGCCCTGTCCTTGTCTTGCAGGACGTACACGAATCGAAAGAGGAGCTACAAAGATCGAAATGTGAGCATATCACCTGATCGCAGATACCTAGCTGACACGTGAAGGTCGCATGTGTCGTATGATTGGCTCCATCAAGCGGTTCGACGAAGATAGCAATCTGAAGTGGATCGTGTCTATGGATCAGAGCCACTTCGTTGGCCGACTGACGTTTGCGCAAGAGGAATCAAACTCAGGTCACGACGCTGATCTCACAAGCCCACATCTCGGCATCAGCACCAAACCTGCACCCGACGCAAAGCTTACCATTTCTTCTGAACCACAGGTTGATTTTGACCTCTTCAGGACGTGGAATGAAAGATGCCAGCAACACGATGACTGCATTCCTGACGATACGAGTGACCTGGAAAGGCTGAAAGTGATTGACTGCGAAACACGCACTGTGCAACTAGCACCTGAGAAGTGTCCCTTTGTCGCTCTGAGTTACCTTTGGGGGCCGCAGGAAGACTTTGCGCCACAGCCTTTGCCTGCAGAACAAACACGGACCATCGAAGATGCGATTACGGTGACCTTGCGCCTTGGCCTCCGATATCTTTGGGTCGACAGATACTGCATTGAGCAGACGAGCATCATGGACAAGACCCTGCAGATCAAGCAGATGGGGCAGATTTACGCTTCTGCACACCTCACTATCATTGCAGCTGCTGGTACTGATCCAACCCACGGCCTGCCCGGTGTAAGCCAACCAAGACAAGTCAACGAAACAGTGGCAGAACAAGTCGGACCCGTGACACTGGTCCAGCTGAACACACCTACTGCGAGCGACTTCCAGCAATCGATGTGGGCTACTCGCGCCTGGACATTCCAAGAGGGCATCCTGTCCAAGCGCCGTCTCATCTTCACTCCTCAGGCTGTGCTATACATCTGTTCAACAGACTACCTGCACGACCTCTCTCCGGGCTACAGTTCCGGAATAAACTTCGAACTTGTTGCGCTCGCCGAATTCATCTCGTGTGCCCGCCTTCCACGCGAATTTCAGTCTTCCGCTGGCTCGTCGCGCTTCAAGGAAGCCATGAGATATGTAACAGCGTACAGCCGACGCAACATGAGGATGTCGTCCGACGCCCTGAACGCCATCATTGGAATCCTGAACTACATATCGACCGACAAGACGGAACCAGTATACCATCTCTGGGGTGTGCCACTGGCGCCGTTGCCAAGTGGCGATAGGCACTTTGACAGCGCCATAACGGAGACCGAAAACGGCAGGTTCCAGTCTGCAACGAAAGAGCATCTCTTCGAGTTCGCGCTCAACTGGATTCACCCAAAGTCGAGTCGACGAAGGCCTGGCTTCCCAAGTTGGTCACCCCTCGGCTGGGAAGGACCAATAGAATACCCTATGCGGTACATGGATATCGTCATAAACAAGGAGTTCGACGTACGCTTACATTCACTCAAAAACGTCGACGCTCGACCCTACCTGCGCCAAGAGTTGAAGCGTGGAGGCGAAATCAAATACGAGGGAAAGGACGCCATCTCAACCAAGTTGGAAGTCGTATCTGCCCGCGTGGCCCCTGTACAAATTGCAGTAGAAGAGAACGGCACCATCCGCATTACACTACGCGATGGAACAGCGTTGGATGAGGGCTTCGAGACATATTGGGATGGTGACCTTGTGGAAAAAGTGAACATGCAGGCTAGTGGATGCGCGAAGGGGAGAGCAGAGCCTTGGCTCGTGTGGCAGATTGGATGCAAGATAACCAAGAAACGCAGGTATCACTATGTGGTGTTGAAACTCAGCATCGATGGGATATACGAGAGAGTGGGATTGATCATTGCGTGGAAGGGAAGATCGGATGCCGGCCTCTTGGACGCATCCTGGACTGATCCCATTCCTTGTGAGCGGACCGAGGGCCTCTTGATAGCTTAAAGCGGAAGTAATACGGGGTAAGAAGTCGTGATTCAAATATCGTATATTGTATTATTCAAAACGCTTCATGGTGTACTCAGGAATCAGGAAAGCGCAACAGTATCCAAACGCCAGTGCAAACCGACCCAAACCAAGAAAGAGGCTTAGACACAATGTCCCATGTGTTCCGCGCTAGAGTCATTCCCACTCACTTTGTTTCCTTCTGTGTATCTTTCCGCTTCAGTCCAATCTTTCTTGCCAATGCACCCAGTCCGCTCTGCCTTCGCTCGAGCTTTTCCTTATCGCCAAGCAATCCCTTGGCAGCGACCTTGCCCTTCTCTCCCCACGGGCTCATCTCATCTTTCTCAATCTGTTTTCTCCTTTCTGCGGCCAGCAATCCCACTTGGTCGACAAAGACCGGCTTGTCAAGGAGATCTTCGACTCGCACCTTCCAACCGTCTTCATGATCGAAGATCGAAGCAATCTGAGCAATGCCCTGGATGTCGCCACCCAACTGGAAGAAGTCGGATGCTAGATCTATGGCAGGAGGCGCATTGTTATTGTCCCTAAGATTCTGCTCCCATGCGTTACGCAACTTCGTTGAGAGCGTTGCAAGCTCGTGCTTGGAAAGCCCCGTGTCAGTGGGAAGTGTGAGAGGTTGCTTCTCCGCGGACTTCTTGCGCGCAGTTTCCGATGTGATAGTCGTGGAGCTCTGAGACCCAATCTCCGACTGAGCTGGCAGCAGTGTGTAAGGGTCTTCTGAAAACGTGATAACATTTGCGCAAAGCATGTCGAAGACGTTTTGCGTGAAATCGGCCGTCAACGTACTGTTAGGTGCATACGTGAGAGTCACCTCGACCTCGTTTCTGGCTTTGGAAGCCGAGAGAATTGAGATGTCAGCGAAATCTTCTTGGTTGCCTGCAGCTCCAATCTTAAACTCAATGCCGCCGAGCTGGAGGGTCGCATCCTCTGACTGGATGTTTTGATTGTGCTGCAGTACACTGGAGAAATTCGTCCAGTCGGGCCAGTCCGTGCAGTTGCGTGTAATCTCTCGGAATCCCAGAGACTCATACGCCATGTTGTTGATCTGCTGTTCCTGGATGTAACCAAGGAGATCGAAGACGGTCCACTCGGGGCGGTACACCACGCGTACAGGAACCATGTTGAGACACGGCCCGATGATGTTTTCGACATTTGGTACGCCGCCGCTGCGGCCAGAAACAACGTGACCAAAGACGATGTCCGAATTGCCAGCGACACGAGAAAGAGTTGCTGCCCAAGCCGCCTTCATCACAGTGGCTGTCGTGATGTTGATATGAGACAGCGATGGAACTGTCAGTGTTTGCTTGAGGGTGACGGTACGACCAGCTGATCGTTGATAGTTGGGGCCGTAGCGATGTACGATCTCGGTCATCTTGGATCCTCTCAGTACCTCGCGCCAGTGATCGTGGGCTCCTGCGACTGCCTTTGCCGACTCCCGGACAAAGTTGCCGAAGCTTGGAGTAGTTGACACTGGCAAGCCGTTGTAGCCCGCCTGGAGCGAGGTGAGCATTTTCGAGAAACAGAAGCCATCGTATTGTGCGTGGGAGAGTCGCATGAAGATCCGGAAGCGGCCACTGGCCTTCTGCTTGGCCACAACGAATTTGACGAATGCTTCGCCAAGTCGAGGCCCATGTTCCTGGTCCTTGTGGCGGAGTTCGGTCGTGAAGTCGTCCAGGCTTTGGTCAGTCTCCTGGTAATGGAAGTCAGGTTGAAGTTTCCTCAACACGACTTGTAGGAAGCGATCGCCGTACGGCACGAAGACCGTACGCAGGATATCGAACGCCTGTACAATACGGAAGCACGCTTGCTTTAGTTTTCGAAGGTCGAGCGGCCCTTCTCCGTCCAGGTAGAAATAGTTTAACATCCACTTCGATTCGAGCAAGGTCCCTGTGATGGCAAGCGCCTGGAAGTCGGTCACAGGAAGGACGTCGGTAATACCGCCCTTGAAAACCTGGACTTTCGAGATGACACTGTCGACATTGGGATCGCCAAGCAGGGATATCGACTTGGGTGCGGAGTCCTCGTGTATCGTGTGGGGCCTAGTGGGCTTCTGGCTGGCTGTGCGCTGTGGCAGAGGGCTGCCATTCTGTCCGTTCGCAAACCCTGTCCACTTCTTGAACATCTGCTCAGTCTTTTCCTGCAGTTGTCGTTCTTGTTGAGTTGGTGGGGTATTTCCACCCTCGGTAGTCTTATCATCGATGGCTTGCTCAGATACCATGGATTGGAAGTCGCGCCAGGCTGACACAGTACGCTCTGGAATCTGAATTTTTGGCTTAGAAGAGCTCGCCTGTGCATCTTTCAGGCTATCTCCACCGGCTCGAGACATAACTTCGTCAATGACTTCGCCAGCGACACGAACGACCTAGAGTAGTTAGTCGATGTCTCGTTTCCATGCAGAATGAACTTACCCTAGCCATGTCGGCGAAAGTCGGGTTCTTGAAGACATCTGCGACAGTCATCGACAGACCCTCCTCTCTTGCAGCTCCAACGAGTCTCATTGCGATGATTGAGTCGCCTCCTAGTTGCTACAAATGGTGAGTAATGCACGAGAATCCACGAAGGAAATACATACGAAGAAAGAATCATCCTGATCAATTGAATCCTCCACCATGTCAAGAAGGTCACTCCACAATCCCAGAAGTTTCTTCTCCACAAAATCCGGCGGTACTGACTTCAAGGCTTCGGTTGCCATGACGCCAGCTGCTGCCACCATGTCGGCCGCAGTCTGAATTCTGCTCCCGGTATCGCTAGCCGTGCTAAGCCGCCGTGAGCGCATAGAAGCGGTCTCAAGGTTTCTTCCTCTCTTGCTTGTCGATGCTCGCCTCGCAAGCATACCTGCCATCTGATTTGTCATCTCACTAACCGTCGACTGGGTGGCGATGGGTGAAAGCTTGTTCTTCTCCATGACCTGGTTCACAATCTGAGGTACCATCTCGCTTACGATGGATCGAATCAGATTGCTCCAGTCCGGCGCATCCATCGTTGTAGGAGTTGGTGCTTGGGGTACTTCAACTCTCGGTATGATCCGGGCGGAAGCCATGGGATCCGAAATGTCGAGGTGAGGGCTTGACATGGGCGATCGAACCGAAGGTGTGTAGACTCTGGGTTTCGGCATCGTCTTTGGCTTGTTTGAGATAGCGGCATCAAGCTCCGCGACCGTTTGATCTGGGTCAGCCAGAACCTGTGTGAGGATCTTCACCAGCAGAGAAGAAACATTCTTCGCTTCGTCGTCGGACACAGAATCTGTCCAGTACGCTAACCGCACACCCTCGTCGTGCCTTGTTGTATCGATGTTAACTGTTAATGCAAACTCGCTTGGGTCACCGCCGTCAATATGTATAAACTCCACATTTGCGTCAGAAGCGCGTTCAGCTTCTGTCGCACCTTGATTTTGAACGGAAACAGCCGTATTGAAGAGCGCCTGGCCAGAGAGACCAAGGTCGTGTTGGAATTGGGCAAGAGAGCAATGCTGGTACGGAACGCTCTCGATAAAGTCATTCTGGACGTTCTCACTCATGGCGAGGAGCGAACGCGAGCTGGACACTGTCACGCGAGATACGAGCATGTTTATGAAAGCCCCTACTGCGTTCTCAATGTCATTGACCGGGACATTGCGGCCAGATGTCAAGTAGCCGTAGCATACTTCTGAAGAGGTTGTGTAGGTGTGGAGTACCAGTGACCATGCGGCGAGTAAGATGTTGGCGAAAGTAATATTGTTCCTCTCGGCAAGTACCTGAATTTCTGAGAATCGGTCGAAGTCCACGTACAGCGAATGGAGCTGTCGGTGTTTGCTCGAGTGTTGCGGCGCAATCGGGAAGTGGCATGGCCTGACACCACGTAGTTTCCCCTTCCAAAAGTCGAGTGCATCCTTTATGGGAAGCGCGCGTAAGTACTTGATGTAGTCGCTGTATAAGGGTCCATCTTCTTGACGCAAACGGCCCTCATACGCCTCTTCTAGGTCATGTCGGATGACAGCGAGCGACCCACCGTCAATGACAACATGATTGATCTCCATCTTTACAACAACTCTACCTGATGTAGTCTGCACAACGGCAAGTTGATGAGGGAGGTGAGGCTTCTTCCTCCCATTTAGATCGCGGTATTGAATGGAGTCAAGCTTAGTGTCAAGTTCGTCGTCGGTGCAAGTCACTGTGAGGGCGCCAGTGTCAGGGATTCGCACAACGACCTGGTCGAATACGCCCCCTTTGCAGACGCTGTCAACAAACAGAGTGCGCAAAGCCTGGTGCCGATCGACAACCTGTTTCCAGGCTTGTAGCACGCGCTGCACATTCACCTGGCCTCGTTTGGCTTTGAGTTCGAAGGTTGTGAACGACCAATATGCGCTGGAATCCTTGATCTGGCTCAATATCATACCTTCTTGCACAGAAGCACAAGGGTAGATGTCCTCAACTTGAGGGTATGAAACACCCACAGACGCAAGCGACTTGATCACGCGATTCAGGCGGTCGTAAGAGTCCAACGGTAGTAGAGGAAAGTCAGATAGAGTTGGTTGAGGGGTGTCTATCTCTGCAAGAGCCGAGATAATCTCCTCGAGCGTCCGTTGACACTCCGTAATCCACCTACGGATGCCTTTTCGGTTCTTCATCAATTGGTTGTACATGAAGGTGAAATGGATCTTGCCGTTATCGACCGACGCAGAGACCTCAAAGAGAGCAAGTCTCCGGAGATCAGCTCCGGTATCAGTCATCCGTGCTTCGTCTTCCTCGCTGAAGTGCATCGGCTGGAAAAGTGCATCTGCAGTCTCGAGCTGTTGCATCTTTCCAAGGTAGTTGAACAGAATCTCCATTGGCTCATGCGCGGCAAAGTCAGTCTGTCCGTCTTTGGTGAGGAAGCGATGAGCAAAGTAAGGACGTCCGTTGTCCGCGACCTTTCGGCGAAGATCCTTCACTTGGCGCACTGTCTGTATAACATCGTCTTCGTCTTCAGCGATGGCTACATGCACAGGGTACATTGTGGTGAACCAGCCAACGGTTCTTGACAGGTCGAGGTTGCTGAATTCCCACGGCTCACGACCGTGTGTTTCGTTGAAGATTGTCGGCGTCTTGCGAGTAACGAAGACCCGTGAGAACGAGTGCACAATGGCTGCCAGGAAAAGATCGACGATATCGGTGCGTAATGCGGAGTGGTGGCTCAAAGCCAATGCCGAAATCTTCTCGTCTAACGAGAAGATCTCACGTTCCACATCACCATAGACGTTGGGACGCTTGTCGAGGCCCCAGAATGCTAAGTCGGCCGGCTCGACATGGAACGATTGCTTCTGAACGGCGGCAATTTGAGTTGCATCAGTCGTGTGCGAGATCTGCTTCTCATTCCATGTGGCAAAGGAAAGACCTTTTTGCAGTTCGGCCGAAGCTGACGATATGAGGCTCTCTTCCAAGTCTCCCAAGATGATCCGCCAGCTCACAACATCGATGACAAGATGGTGCGCTGTGAGAAATAGGATTTGCTCCCCAGACTGTATGTTGAGCAGCATTGTTGCAAAGACGGGTCCTGTGACGATATCCAAACTCTCCTGGGTCTTCGAGATGAGTTCAGGGACGTCGGAAAGTGGTATGCCATTGTGAACGTTGAATGCGTATGCATTGGAGAAATCGCCTGGGATGATCTGGCTCCATATGCCGCTGCTGTCTTTGGCAAACCGGGCACGTAGCATCGAATGGCAACGCACTATCGCATCAAGGGCGGCTTTCAAGCTAGTGGAATCCGTCTTGCGAGCCAATTTGAGTGTGAAAGACTGGTTGAAGTGAGAGTTTTTGTCATCGTTCAAGCTTTGGAAGTAGAAGCGCTGGATAGGGGACAGTGCAAAGGGCGTGTCGGTCTTATCCTTCCCAACGTCGACGATACCAGAAGCTCCGACGTTTTCTGCAAGATGGGCAAGCGATTTACTTCTCAGAACCTGGTTCAATGTGATATTGATGCCCTCTTTCCTGCATCTAGCCAGCAGTTGCATGGCTGTGATACTGTCACCTCCAAGTGACAGCCATGTTTTGTTGGGCTTCACTTTTTCGACTGGCATATTGAGCACCTTTGCCCAAATACCCTGCATCTTCATCACTACTCCAGAGGAAGGAATAGCTGGTTCCATGCTGCTCTCAATTTCCAGGATCGTGCGATAGGTCTTTTCGTCCATGTCTGCAAGCCAAGCCCCGACCTGCTTCCTGTCAAGCTTCGCCGAAGCCAAAGCAGGAATGCGAGGGACCCCAATCCACAGTGTTGGTACCATGTAGGGGGGCACTAGATCGGACAGTCGCTCTTTTGCAACCTTAATCTGTTGGAGCACGTCTGGGTGGTTTATTGGCGTGTCCCAAGGCTCATTGTGCACGTCAACTTTAGTCAGCGTCTGATGTAACGACACAACCGCCGTAAGCTTTCTCTTTGCAGCGCCTGACTTCGGCAAAAGAACAACAGCGTGCTTGATGACTTTGTCGGCTTGTAGGTGATGTTCGATTTCGCCGAGCTCCATACGCTGACCTGCCAACTTGATCTGATTGTCTTTGCGTCCTAGGTAGTGGACACGACCGTCAGATGCGTACCTCACCAAATCACCGGTACGATAGATCCGCGTAAAGGAATCTTTCGAGAATTCTTTCATGAACCTCGGATTTTCGATGAACACTTCCGCAGTCTTTGCTTGATTGTTCCAGTAGCCTCTAGCAAGGAAAGGCCCCTCAAGACAGAGCTCCGCGACCGCTCCAACGGGAGCAAGCTGATGTGGGTTCTCTGGGTTGGTGAGCCAAGCGCGCCCACTGTCTAGAGCGCGACCGATGATCGTAGACTCGCTAGGGCTCGAGGCCACCTTGTTCGAAAGGGCAATCACAGAGGCTTCTGTGGGCCCATATGCGTTCAGTAGCTGGAGTTTCGAGCCCCACTTCTTGATTGTTTCAGGCGTCAATGGGTCCGCAGCAGATGCGAATGTCTGTAGAGTCGGCACGCTCTCCGGTGACTCAATGACATTTGCAACAGAAGGCGTCAGGCATGTCCAAGTAGCTTTCAGGCTGTTTATGGCCGAAGCGATGTCTGTGGTACGACTCTCTTCGGATGGAACACACACGACTGCACCGCAGCTGAGAGCAGTGAGGATTTCCTAACGATGGGTCAGTAGAGCTATAGTCATGCGGGTGGCCTGCTTACCATGACTGAGACGTCGAAGACAAACGAGGCGAATTGGAACACCCTGGAAGTGGGCTTGATGTTAAGCGACTTGCACATAGCCGCAGAGCTGGTCGCGATGGCTCGGTGTTCGATAGTAACTCCCTTAGGAACACCGGTACTTCCAGAGGTGTAGAGAACGTAACAGATGTTTTCGGGTGTCGCGCGCGGTGTCAATTGAGCCTGACGCATCGAGAGCTGCCTAATGGTAGTCTCGCTTATCGTGATGACTTTCCCAACAATGTCGGCCATGCGTGATTCATACTGTGGCGATGATAGAGCGATTGAAGCCTTGCAGTCCCCAATGATCTGTCGGTGGCGTGAAACTGGGTGATCCGGAGATAGTGGAACATATCCCGCACCTGAGATGAGAACGCCCATGATCGCTACTATCGCCCAACGTGATTTGTCCATACATATCGGCACAAGGATTTCGGGACCAGCTCCCAACTTGATGAGCTCTTGCGCGAGTTGTGATGCCAGGTCGCGAAGCTCGCCGTAAGTGAAGTCGCCATCAAATGCCGACACAGCTGGGGCATGTGGGCGGGCAACCACTTGTTGGAAAAACAACGAGGGCATCGTGTCATTGACAATCAAAGGTTCCGCAGCGTTCAATCTACTTACAAACTGAGCATCCTGCTCACTGAAAACGTGGATATCGCGGATGTTGCCCACCGAGTTCAGCTGTGATAAGATAGCATCAAATTGGCAGAGGATGCGCTGAATCTGCCATGAAGAAATGACGTTCGCGTCGTAATATGCCGTGATGGAGATGCTCGTCTGACTAGTCTGACATTCGACAACCAGAGGGTACGTGAAGTATTGTCCTTGAACGCCGTTGTTGTGATGAGACCACATGGATTCAGCTGGCTGTTCGCTACCCGTTTGAATGATGAGCAAATTCTGGAAGTCGCACGCAGCAGCGGTATCTTCGTCCATGCGCTTTAGCTCGGAGAGACCAAAATGCTGGTGCGGTATACGATCTGTAGCCACCTGGGCGATGCTTCTTAGAAGGTCCAGAACGTTTCCATCGCGATTGACTTCTACCCTTGTTGGCACGGTTGTAAGTGTAGGACCACAGATGTCGGTAACGCCGGGAACCGCAATGTCACGGCCAGTGAGTGTCTCCCCAAAGACAACATCATCGCTACCAGTATACGCCGAGAGCAAAAGAGCCCAGGCAGCTCTAATGACAGTTGGTGGCGTAATGTCTGTATGTCGCTGGGAAAAGAGTTTGGCAGTATGTTGCAATGTTTGTCCGTCGGGAACTTCACTGGTGTTGCTGTGTTGTTGTGGGAATTGATAAGGTGCGGCACCAGCGAGGTGGTGCTTCCAAAAAGCCGCGGAGGCATCTCGGCTGATGCTCTGGAGGTACTGAATGAACTTGGTGTAAGGGACCTTGGGAACTTCGGACGATCCAGACTGATAAATTTGTTGCACACGTTGGAGCATAAAACCAATGCTCCAGCCATCATAAAGTGCATGGTGGATAGTCCATACAAAGTATCGTGCAGCGGAGGCTGTGCGCACAATAGCATATGTCGCAAGTTTGCCTCCAAGGTAGGCCGGTAAGTTTTCAGCGTCTCCTTCAGTCTCTTCGAGAGTACTGACCTCGCGCCAGGCGATAGGATCTTCAACAAGAACGGCCTGTATGAACGCGCCATTCTGGAGTTGGGCAATACGCGTGCGCAAGAGGTCGATCTCTTGAACGACCTTTTCCCATGCGGCCTTGAACTTCTTGACGTCCAAAGATTCCGCGAGGACCAGAACATGTTGAGCAACGTAAGCACCGGGTTGCTTTATCGAGAGAGCAATGAATGCTTCTTGTAGCGGGCTTGTTGGGTAGGCATCTTGAATCTTGTTTCTGGGTTTGCGGCAGATCTCGGAAAGCTCCTGGACCACCTGATCCCTCGGTAGCTCTCGAGGCAACAACTCAAATGTCTCGATACTGCGCTCGACCTTGGGCTCTGAAGCAGAGAACTTGCATTTGGCAGCCAGGTCAGATATCTTAGGTCGCTTGAAGATGTCAATGACCGAGAGATCCAGATGTTCTGCTTGCGCTGCGGCTACAAGCCTCATGGCCGCTATGGAGTCCCCTCCAAGTCGGATAAAGCTATCGTCTGCACCCACTGATGACAGCGGCAGGTTCAACACTGAAGAGACCAGCTTCTGGAGCCTCCTCTCGGCCTCGGTTGCCGGCTTCTTCTTGTGCATGGAGTTCGCCAGGCGGTATGGCGACAATGTCTCTTTGCTTAGGTTCTGCACCAACACGCGCAGTCGATTACGGTCTAATTTTCCGGCCGGCGTCCAAGGCAGTTTCTTCATCGGGAAGAAGATGGAAGGAATCATGTAAGCAGGTAGAACACCGACTAGAGCATTCTCAAGGGTCTTGCAGACATCTCGCACATCATCATCCATCGGGAGGAGGAGTTCATCGGATTGCGGAAGGTCGGATGATGCCGGTTGAACGACTTCTGTGGAGGACGCCCGTGGGTCGTCGTTGAGAGCAAAGAAGACAGCCAAAGCCTTCGCAGAGGTACGGCTTGCAGGTGCAACAAGCTCTACGGCGGATTGGATGTTGTCCGCGAATTTGTCGTTGACGTGGAACTCGATCTCGGCTAGTTCGATTCTTCTGCCGTTGAGCTTGATCTGTGTGTCCTTCCGACCGATGTATCCAACGGTACCGTCTGGGTTGTAGCGTACGAGATCTCCAGACTTGTACATCCGTGCGGTGTCGAATGATCCGTTCTCTGCAGGAAGCGCCGATGCCCAAGCCGGGTTGGTGATGAAGGCCTTCGCCGTCTTGACCTCATCGCCAAGGTAACCTCTAGCAACAGTGTGTCCTTCGATGACAAGCTCACCTACTGCGCCGATAGGCATGAGCTTGTCATGATTGCGGGGATGAACAACCCATAAACGGCATGCAGAAGCAAGCCCAATGTTCCTTCCATCGATATCGGCCGTCTTATGAATGGTACTGGCAATGACAGCGGTCTCAGTCGGACCATAGGCTGTGCTTGAGTTAGTTTGGTTCACAAGTTGCGGTGCGCAGTGGGTGTGGGTGTTGCTTACCGATAACAAAGTGTAGCCTGTTCTGCCACTTTTCGGCCTCAGCCGCAGGCACTGCCTCGCCTCCAGCACATAGACTCTTCAAAGTAGGTAACTGTGTTGGCTTGAGAGTGCTCAATACCGATGGAGTCAATAGAGACCAGGTAGCCTTCATCCTGCGCATAGCTCCGGCTGGGTCTGACATTCGCTCATCCTCGGTTGGCACGCAGATGGTCGCTCCTACCATGAGGGCCGAGAGAATCTCTGAACAGCTAGCGTCGAACGTATAACTCGCAAATTGGAAGGTCCGAGAGTTACTGTTAATGCCTATCGCGGGAGCGAACGATGCTGAATTCGTGCAATAGGCTTCGTGTGGGATGATGGTTCCTTTTGGTTTGCCCGTTGTGCCAGACGTAAACAAGCAGTACGCAGGGTTCTCTGGGGTTGCATTTGATTTTAATTGCACTCCCCTGGATAGAGGAAGCTTGTTGATGGATAGTCGGTCGACGATGACTGCGGATCCAATGACCTCGCTTGCCCGAGAATGATACATCCTTGAGCATAAAGCGACCTTGGCGCCTACATCGCTGATCAGTTCGCGAAGGCGAGCTGGCGGATGCTTTGGATCCAAAGGAACCTAGGAATTGTTGTTAGTAACTGCACATTCCATGTAGATGCTCGTTTCCACTTACATATGCACCTCCCGCTTTCATGATTGCGATCATCGCAATTGGCGCCCAGGGGCTCTTCTCGAACAGAATCGGCACGAAGATCTCAGGGCCAACTCCATGACCCTGCAAGTGTAGTGCCAGACGCGTGGTGATCTCATCGAACTCTTGGTAAGTAACCGTTAGCTCTGCGCTCTCGATGGCCTTCGCAGAACGTGGCCGGAGCAGGACTTGCTCCTGGATCACATCGTGTACGCATCGGCGCACAGGCGGAGGTAGGTCGGCGTTCCATTCCATGATCTGTTGCACGCTGCTTGTTGTCAGCATGTCGAGCTCGGTTACAGTGACATCTTTGTCGCTGCTTAAGATGATGCTTGATAGTATCTTTTCGAATGCATCTACAATGTTGCGTGCTTGCGAAGGGTGTACCTTGTCCTTCCAAAAACCAAAGTCGATGGAGGCTCCTTCATCTGATACGTCCACGTTCAGTGTCATCAAGAATTCGCCTGGATCAGCCGCCTCGACATTGTCAAACGCTAGTGCCGTCTTGGTGGGGTCGCGTGAAAGTTGGCGACGTTGAAAGGTGAAGACGGTATTGAAAAGCGACGGCAACTGAAGCTCATGCTGAAGATCAGCGAGTGAGCATCCCTGATGGGCCATTGCATCAACTGAATGGGTTTGTATCATTTCCAATAACTGATGGATTGTGGAATCGTCTGAAAGCTCGAGTCGACAGATGAGCATGTTGACGAAGCAGCCAACTGCTTCATCGATGCCTTTCACTGGGACATCGCGACCAGATGCCACAACGCCAAAGGACACATCCGGCGCGCCGACATAAGTGTGCAGAAGTAGAGCCCATGCAAGCTGCAGTACGTTGGATAGAGTCACGCCGAACTTCCTGCAGAATGTCGTCATGGGGGCAATATCCTGCAGATGTAGCTCATACGACCCCATCTCGTGTGGTCCGGGCACGCCATCGTGAAGGACTGGTAAGAAGCATGGCTCCACTCCGGTCAAATAAGCTTTCCAAAAGTTCACATCGGCATCGCGATTGTTGGTAAGAGTGTGAGCAACAAAGTTGCTGTAGAGAGGCCCAGCGTCCGCTCTCGTTAGCTTGTTCCCGTACGCCCTCGCGAGATCGTTCAGGATAATGGGGATCGAAGTGCCATCGCAAATGGCGTGGCTCATCTCCAATTTGGCCCAGATATTGTTCGCCTTTGTTTTGCAAATAGTCAAACGATGAGGGCAATTGAACTCGCGGAAGTCGATCAAAGGCTGGTCCCTCAAGAACCGAGCCACATCTTCAGTATCGCAGTCAGCGATCCATGTGATCCTACCAGGTCTCTCCTTGAACACGACTTGATCCATCAAGCCGGTCTTAGAGATACTCTCAACGAACACGGTACGCAGGATTGGATGGCGCTGCACCACAACCTGCCATGCCTCAGCGATCTTACGTGGGTTGATCTGCTGCGCGGCAGCCGTCGACTTGATTTCTAGGATGCAGTGATATGAGTACAGCTCAGGGTTCTTGAGCTGAGACAATAGCATGCCTTGCTGCATAGGGGAAGCGGGATACACATCCTCGATTTCGTCAATAGTGGTGCCTGTAGGCAGCAACGCAGAAAGCTTCGACGTGCCATTATAGGTCAGAGGCAGCAGCTTGAAGTTGTCAAGGCTGGGTTCAGACCTCAACTGGAGAAGCTGATCAACAGCATCAACCAGCGTGTCTTTGCATGCAGCCATCCAGCTCTTGATTTGCGATTGCCTGCTCATACGGCGGTTGAAGTCAAAAGAGAGCTTGATGGTTCCCTGAGCGACGAGTGCAGTAACCTCGAAAAGTGCGAATCGTGGAGTGGTAGCGCTGATGTCTGTAGTAGAGATGCTGGTCATTCTCTGCAGCAAGGCGTCCTTGCGCTCCATGTTCTGCATCCTTCCTAGGTAATTGAAGGTTACCTCCGCAGGCCAGTGAGATGCAAAGCGATCTTGACCCTCGCCGGTGAGGAGTCGATAAGCAAAGTAGGGTCTACCCTTCCCTGGAGTCTTCTCTCGGAGGCTCGATACCCAACGGATTGTGCTTACGATATCCGTAGGATCTTCGGGGGCTACTGGCAGGTGGATTGGTGCCATAGTCGTGCACCATCCCACTGTTCGGCTCAGATCTTGGGAGTCAAATGGCTCACGGCCGTGCCCCTCGTTATGGATTGTCGCAGCGTGTCGATCAGGAAATACCTTGCGGAAGGACTCCAGTAGTGCTGCAATAAATACGTCCACAGGCTCAGTAGCCAATGCGTCATGTGCCCCGAGAATCAGCATCGAGTCCTTGGGGCTAAGCTCGATGTCCTCACTAATGACATCGCCGTTCAGATTATCAGACGCATCGAGCCCCCAGTAGTCAAAGTCTGCGGGCGGAATAGTAGGCAAGGGCATAACCTTCTCAGCAGATTCCCGACGAGCTTGTGCAGCTTGTTGTTGTGTCCAAGCGTGAAAGGGAAGGCTCTGAGGCGGAGGTGCTGTGCCATTGAGCAGGTTCTCGAAATCCTCGAGAATAACGCCCCATGAAACGACATCAATGACCAGATGATGCGCGACCAGCGCGATTGCCTGGGAGAAATTGTCGTCAATGTCGAAGAGGTCAGCAGAGAAAGTTGGACCTTTCACGATGTCTAGTGTAGCCTGGCTTTCGTCGATGACCGGACGTATGAACTCCTCTTTGGCTGACTTAACTTGGTGGTGTCGTAGCCTGAACGGGGTGGGAGTCTTTGCAACACTTTGCTTCCAAAGCATCGATTCATTTTGGAAATACCGAGCTCGTAGCATGGGGTGCGTATCCACGAGAGCGCTGAGCGCTTGTTCAATCTCCTGCAGCTCAAACGACCGGGCGAGCTTGAATATTGTGCTCTGGTTGAAGTGGCGATAATTATCGCCAACTGTGTCGAAGAAGAGCTTTTGTATAGGACCGAGGTCGAAAGGCAGGTTGTAGTCCTGAGGCTGCGATTTCGCAGTTGTAGAGGTTCTAGAGATAGAGACTCCTGCAGCGAGAGCAGCGATTGACTTCGATTTGACAATGTCCTGAACAGAGACAGCCAAGCCTTGAGCACGACACATCGAAGATACTTGCATAGCTGCAATCGAGTCCCCTCCAAGCCGTAAGAAGGACGAGCCCATACGAATGTCCTCTGGCGCCAGGTTAAGAACCTTTGCGAATATTGTCTGCAGTTTTCGGTCGACTACGTTCGCATCTTCTTCGGGATCTTCCATTCCGAGAGTGGCGATTGTACGGTAAGTGTCGTTGTCCATGTTTTCGAGCCACTGTACCACCTTCTTGCGATCCATCTTCGCAGATGGCATCAGTGGAAATCTCGATATGGCAATCCACAGCGATGGGATCATGTAGGATGGAAGGCGTGCTTCAAGACGTTCTCGAATCGTCGCAATATTGAATGAAGCAGTATCTTTAGGGAGCAGCTGCAATTCTGCTGTGGAAGAGCCGGACGGCGCCACATCTCGCAGCGAAACGACACCGACAAGACGCTTCGCGCATGGTCCGGCTTTAGGGACTGAGGCCAATGCGTTTTGCACTACAGAGTCCTGGATGAGATGATGTTCCACTTCAGTCAACTCGAGCCTCTGTCCTCTCACTTTTGTCTGTACGGCGAATTAGCTTGCCAGACTTACCATGGGATATAACAGGAAGCTTACCTGGTTGTCCTTACGCCCAAGATAGAGCAGAGTACCATCTTCGTTGTATTTGACAAGATCACCCGTCTTGTAGAATTTCCTCGATGCGCCAACATTCCGATCCTCCCCCATGGTCCAGCTGACCTCTTCGACATAAGCATAGGCAGTCTTCTCGGGATTGTTGAGGTAGCCAGACCCAACACCACCTCCCTCTAGAATCAGTTCACCCACTGCCCCGACAGGAACTAGCTGGTTGATGTCATTCCGAGACACAACCCATCCTCTTGCGGTTACAACCTTGCCTAGATTGTTTGGCTTCGTGGTGGTAGTCATGACGTTCACAGTGGCGATAGCGCTGCACTCCGTGGGGCCGTAGCCATTGCACAAAACCACACGGTCAGCCCAAGTAAGCAGATCCTGCTGAGACATAGCCTCTCCGACTAAGAGGAGTGTCTTCACGCTGGGCACTTGGGAAGGCTGGATCATTCGGACGACGGAGGGAGTCAGACAGACTAAGTTGACCCTGAACTTGTTGATGACTCCAGCAAGATCATTCGTTCTCGAGTTCTGATCAGGTACACAGACGGTTCCACCCATGATAAGAGTGCTGAATATCTCAATCAAACACGCATCGAATGTGTAAGAGGAGAATTGGAGAACGCGAGAGTTCTCGGAAAGACCAAAGGCGGGGGCAAAGGCCGCCGACGCAGAGGAAAATGCGCGGTGGCTGATGACAGCCCCTTTCGGCTTACCGGTGGAGCCTGAAGTGAAGAGCACATAAGCAGTTGTGTCGCTCTGAACTGTTACTTGGCTGTGAAGGTGGCCAGAGTGTTGTTCGGTAGCCTCTCGATCTACAACGAGCACCTTGCAAGGGATGGACCTGCACAAATCTTCGTGTTTTGGACCACAGAGGACAAGTTCGGCCTTCACATCTCCGACGATCTCGCGGAGTCGCAGAAGGGGCGCTTCGAAGTCGAGTGGCACAAAGGCTGCGCCGCACTTCATGATGGCAAACATAGCCACGATAGTCCAGCCGGACTTTTCGAAGCAAATCGGTACATAGCTCTGAGGCGTAACACCGAGGTGCATGAGCCGAGAAGCGAGCCGCGTGGTGCGCTCATCGAATTCTCTGTAAGACATCTCACCTGTGTCCCATGAATCGATGGCAATCGAAGTAGGGCGGAGGATAACTTGGCTTTGGGAAACGCTGTCATGAATGCATCTGTCCACAACGTTTACTGGCCTACTGTTCCATGATGAAATCACTGCTTCATCGGCAGGATTCAACATGCTCAAGTTGCCCAGGACGCGTTGGAGAGCATCTTCCCGGTTGAGAATATTGATGAGGAAGCCAAACTGCTCGAGTAGGCGTTGAACGAGCCATGATTGTATCACCTGGCCATCGTAGTGTGCTTCAACTTCGATGCCGTTCTTATCGACAGAGCAGTTGAAGATGAGACCATAGTTGAAGAAGTTGGTACCCACGGCACCCGTGCTTTGCAGGTTCCACAATCCGCCTTCGGGGTCTTTCATGCTGTCCCCACTTGCGATGACCAACAGGCTCTGGAAGTCACATGCGGCAGCGGTATCCGAGCTAAGCTTGCGAATGTGCTGGAGCCCAGCGAACTGGTGTGGAATTGCAGCCGACGTCTGGCGTTGTACCTCCTGGAGGTAGTCTTGAACCGTAAGTTGACGATCCAGCTTTAGTCGCATAGGAGATGTAGTAATTGTGGCACCGATGATGTCTTCAATGCCAGACACAGGGACTTCACGTCCACTGTTCGTCTCTCCCCATAGAACGTCATCTGAACCAGAGTATACTGCTAGTACCAGCCCCCAGGCAGCTCGTATTATAGAAGGCATTGTAATATCTGTTCCGCTTCGGCGGGTCACAGGTATTTGATGACGGAGTTGGCCAGAGGCTTCGACTTTGTAATCGGGGCTCGGTAGTTGAGGGAACTGAGGGGCAGCGATGTCTTCGAACATGGAAAGCCAAAAATTGTCAGCCTGCTTCGGATCCAAGGAATCAAGATATTTGATGAATCTCGAGTACGGAACAGCAGCATGCGACGCTTGAGTGCTGTTCTGGTAGTAGCTTTCTACTTTGCCGAGTAGACTCGTCAGGCTCCATCCATCATAAACTGCATGATGTGCAGTCCAGACGAAGAATACAGATGATGTACCTTGTCCGACTATGGCATACGAAGCCAATGGACCTCCGGGCTTAGCTGGAAGGTGACGGTGTACGTTGCTAATGTCCTGCAAGCTCTCCAGTTGAGACCAGTCTACACTGTTACGCAACACAACCTGTACGAAGCCCTGGTCCTCGACATAGATGATACGCGTGCGCAGTATAGCCTCTTCTGCGACAACCCTGTTCCAGGCATCCTGGAAACGTTGTACATCGATATCAGCTGGCAGTCGATAAATCGTCTCAGCTACGTATGATCCAGGTTCTGTCGCGGAGAGCGCGATGAGGCCTTCCTGAAGACGACTACATGGGTAGATGTCCTCGATAGAGTCTGGAAAGACTCCACACTCTGACGCAGCCAACTCGATCACTTGGCGCTTTTTGTGCTCAGGGATCAGCTCAAAAGGAGCCGCCTCCGGCTCGGAAGTGGTGGAGCGCTCATCCGAAGAGAGAATGCTAGCAGTTGCCGCCAATTCTGCCAATTGCGGTTGTGAGAAGATGTTGGAAACAGCAAGCACAATGCCTTCCTTGCGACTCGCAGTGACTAGCCGCATCGCGCCAATGGAATCACCGCCAAGGCGGAAGAAGGAATCATTGGCGCCGACGGAATCAGCGGGCAGATTTAAGACGGACGACCAAAGCCGTGCAAGTGTTGTTTCCACAGGACCTGATGGTGCTCGGCCACTCTTACCGGCAAGTCGGAAGATATGAAGTTGGTCCTCAGAAACTGCTTGGGCCAATTGCCGCAACACCTTTCGGTCGAGCTTTCCAGATGTTGTCATTGGCATACTCGTCATGGGCATGAATATCGAAGGAACATAATATGCTGGAAGTGCGTTCGCAAGAGCGACTTCGGCCTCCTTTGCCTTCGCCCGCACGTCGTCTGTCATCTCCCCAATCCCTGGGATGACCTCAGTCGATGTTTCAGCTAAACAAACAAAGCCCACAAGAGCCTTGGTTCCTTTGCTGTCGGTGAACTTGACCAACTCGACTGCAGATTGGGCATTGGAGGGTAGAGCAAGATTGAGGTGATGCTCGATCTCCCCTAGCTCGATGCGTTGGCCGTTCAACTAATCCAAGTTAGTGAATATATTGCTTCGTCTTTTGATGTCCGCTCACCTTGACTTGGCTGTCCTTTCTTCCCAGATACATCAACTCTCCGTCTCCGGTATAATGGACCAAATCACCAGTACAGTAGAACCGGCGACTATGTCCATCGCTACTGCGAGCCCAAGCAGGATCTTGGATGAAAGCCAAACGGGTCTTTTCTGGGTCCTGTAGATAGCCTCGGGCAAGGATAGGGCCTTCAATCAGTAGCTCGCCCTTGCATCCGATCGGTGCTAAACGATTGCGATCCTTTGGATCCACGATCCACGAGACGCTGCCGACTGCTCTACCGATGTTGGTAGGGTCGTCGCCTTGCTTGAAAGATCTGAAGCTCTTGAACGCCGAATTGACCGATGCCTCACTTGGTCCATACTGACCCACAACTTGCATATATGGAGTCCACTGCTCCAGTACCGCTTTGGTCAAGGCTTCTCCGCCGAGGGCCAGGCCTTTGATCGTGGGAACGTCTTTGGGGTTGAGAAGCGATGCGACTGTGGGCGTCAAGTCCATGAAATTGGCATTCAACCGGGCAATTGCACCAGCAAGATCGTTCATACCTAGAAAGAGGGCTTGTATTAGTGTTCAAAATATACAGTAGAGTAAGTAGAAACTTACGATCCTCTTCCGATGGAACGCAAACGCAACCTCCTCTTTGCAATGTCGTGAACATTTCTTCCAATGAGTTGTCGAATGTGTAGGACGCGAATTGCAAGAACCGGGTATCACGACCTACCCCCAGTTTACTTCCATGGGCCGACGCGCTTGTGACGAACGCTGCGTGCTCCAGTACAACGCCTTTTGGTCGTCCAGTACTTCCACTTGTGAAAATAACAAACGCTGGATTGTGAGGCTCAACAGCGGGACAGGCAATGCTCTCCACATCCGACAGATCATCAAGTAGCACTGAATCCACAACAATGACATCTGGGGCTATGTCTTCAAACTGTTCTGATCGGGCTGCTGTAGTCAAGACTACTTGCGCCTGTGTGTCTTCCACTCGCGATTCAAGAGCTGGCTTCGGATGCTTGGCATCCAGTGGAACTGCTGCCCCGCCAGCTTTGAGTACAGCCAGCATGGCAACGACTGCAAATGAACTCTTGTCGAAGCAAGTGGGGACGAAGACCTCGGGACCAACTCCGAGATCGACGAGGTAGTGAGCCAAGCGCTCAGTGACAGCGTCCAGTTCAGCGTAAGTATAATCGCCGTCGTGTCCTCGGATAGCCGGAGCATCGGGCTGGACTTTCGCCCATTCCTGGAATCTGCGATGTACACACTCATGGATGGTGTCAGGCATGACGTTCCAGTCTTGGATCCTCTGCCAGTGCCTGCCGCTGAGGTTATCGAGGGAGTTGATGCTGTTTTCAGCATTGTGGAGGACATTCTCCAAAGTACGTACAAAAGTGCTGGCGACGTTTTCAGCTTGTGCAGCGGACAGGTGATCAGTCCAGAAATCGAGATCGATCATAGCGGCCTCGTCCGAGACTTCAATATTTATCGAGACTGGATATTCGGTTGGGTCATAGATAGGCGCCTTCTCGGTGTACCGAAGTTTTTCGTTGCTTGATGTGCTATCCGGGGGCAATCGGCGGTAAGATAGCGCAGTATTGAAGAGGTTCGCGCCTCCTAGGTCCAACATGTGCTGCACCTCTGCGAGCGCGATGTGTCGATGCGGTATTGACTCCACATAGTCGCGCTGTACGTCTTGGATGACATCGAGAAGCGACCGCGTTCCATCAGTCAATTGCACGCGGCAGACGAGTGTGTTGATGATAGGTCCAACCATATCCTGCACGCGTTGGATATCATCAGTGTCTCTTGCGGATATAAGGTAACCGAATGTAACATCAGGATTATCGACATAGAGGCTGAGAGTCACAGCCCATGCCGTATGGAAGATATTTGATAACGTGATGCCGTGTACACTGCAGAATGCTTGCAGATCGAGGATGCTAATGCTGCCACAGTCTACGCGAATGTTCTGCAGCTGTTTCTCAGCTACGACGCCGTCGTTGAGCATTGGGAATGAGCAAACTTCGCTTCCGTTGAGATAGGATCTCCAGAAATCCAGGCTAGCCTCCTGGGGCTGATTCATGAGGTATGCAATATAGTCGGCGTACGGAGGCCCGTCTTCGGCAAGTGAGTTTCCGTAGGCATCTCGCAGATCCCGGAATAATAAGCTCATGGAATGCCCGTCCATGATGGCGTGACTGATCTCGAGGCAGCAGAAAACCTTGTTATCGGCTGTACTGCAGATGGTGAACCGGTGGGGAGGGCTGCTATTGTTCTCGTACGTGACGGAGCGTTGCTGCTCGATGAGTCGAAGTGCCTCTTCTTCGTTGGCACATTGGAGATGCACAACGTTGGGTTCGACTCTCTTCAGAACGACCTGATCATACAGACCTTCTTCGGCACCAATGTTCTCCAGGAAGATCGTGCGTAGCGCGGGGTGTCTCGCAACCACTTTCGACCAGCTATCGGCAATATCCTCCCACTTGGGGTGTCCGTTCGGTATAGTAAGCTCGTGGATAGTCACAGCTGCATAGAAGCCTGCATTTTTAGACTGAGAAAGCAAAAGTCCCTCTTGCATACTAGAACAAGGATATGCGGACTCAACCTCAGTGGCCGAAACTCCCATCTGAGCCAGACGGTGCAACATAGCCTGAAAGCGCTCTTCGTTGAGCGTAAGTAAGGGGAAGTCGCTTAGAGTTGGCCTTGGGGCGACTGAGGGCAATTTCTGGATCATGTCTGTGAGAACCTGACTACAATTCGACACCCAGTCTCGGATGCGATCCTGATGCTGCATGTTGCGATTGAACGTGAACGCAAACTTCAGCTGGCCTTTGAATACGATGGCGGATATCTCGAAAAGGCCAAAGCGAGGAGACGCATAGCCCACATCGGCCGTGCCGCCAGCCTCGCGGGTCTCGCCAGCCATGCTTTCGAGGGGCTGTAGTAAGGCGTCCTGACGTTCCAATTGCTAGTGGATGTCAGTAACGGTGTGGCTACAATGTGGTGATTGATGTCTGGCTTACCTGGTATTGGCCAAGATAGTTAAAACTGATCTCCATTGGCCAGTGAGTGTCGAAGTATTCATTCCCGTCTTTCGTAAGGACCCGTTTAGCAAAGTATGGTCTGCCGTTGAAAGGTATCTGGCGTCTGAAGTCCTTGACCATGCGAATAGTCTCGACAGGATCGTCAGATGGTATGACAGATATGGGATACACGGTCGTGAACCAGCCCACTGTACGCGTGATGTCAATATTCGAGTCCCAAGGCTCTCGGCCATGCCCTTCGTTAAAGATAGCTGGTATGGCCCTATCGTCAAAGACCTTGACCCACGAGTGGAGGAGTGATGCCAAAAGGACCTCGACAGGCTCGGTCTTGAGGGGCGCGTGACAATCACCCAAGAACAAGGAAGTGAGATTATGGTCTAGCTCGAAGCTAGCATGACCGGCATTGCCATAAGTGTTGTCTGCGTGTTGGATGCCCCAGTAGTTGAAGTCGAGCGGTGGTATGTCCGCTGGTGGTAATACCTTATCGATTCGCTGCGTCTGGGCGTGCTCACGTTGTAACTGCGCCCACCTCTGGAAAGGCAGAGCCGGCGGCAATAGCGACCCATTTGTCAGTAGTTCCTCAAGTTCTTCCAGAATTAGACGCCACGATACCAAATCAATGACAAGGTGATGAGCTACGAGAAAGGCGTGCTGCTCGTTGCCGAATTCAAACAAGTCAGCGGCCAGCAGGGGACCTGTGGCATGGTTGAGGCACTTCTGTGAATCCTCTATCATGTGGTCCACCTGCTCCTTTGTTGACACTGACTCATATCGGAATCGATACGACCCAGTGACATCCTTCGTCACACGCTGTTGCCAAGACTGATCATCCGACAAAGTGAAACGAGCTCGGAGCATAGCTGATGGTGTATGGTGAGTATGGGGTTCCGTTGACTAGGATCTGGTGCTCACTTACAGTGTCGGCCCACGAGCGTCTCTACAGCTGCGCGGAAATCTGCCGGATTGACTTTGCGCTTCACTTGGAGGTAGAACGACTGATTAAAGTGGCCATGTCCCTGATTAGGAAGCTGGAACCAAAGCGACTGAATTGGCGTCGGATCGAAAGGTACATCTATTTCTTCCGTTGCGCGGTCGGTAGACATTTGGACGTCTTTCACCATGGTAGCTAACTCGGCTATTGAGCGTGAGCGCAGGATCTCCTGCACGCCAACGCTAATGCCTTGTTTTCGGCAATGTCCCATGACTTGCATAGCGCTGATACTATCGCCACCAAGTGACAAGAATGCCCTATTCAAGCCAATCTGCTCGACTGGTAGGTTCAGAACACGGGCCCAGACTGACCTCAATATATCTTCCTTTGGGGAGGAAGACTCATTCTGGGACTGAGGCTCCACATTTGCTGGAACGGCTTGTTGGTAAGTCTCGTCGGACATTGTATCGAGCCATTGCGAGGTCCGTTTTCGATCCAGCTTTCCTGATGCGAGGAGAGGCAGAGACCCGACAGCAATCCAGACGGTAGGTACCATGTAGAAAGGAAGTCGAGTAGATACTCGAGCACGAATGGCTTCCACATCAGCATCGGTGGCAGACTTCTCCTGTCCCTGAAAGAGCTGGAGCGATTGCTGTTCCGATGTATATTGGGCGAGAGACACAACTGCTACCAATCGTTCTTTGCAAGGCCCGCTCTTAGGCAAAAAGACAAGATTGTGCTTGACCAATGAATCAAGGTTCAAGTGATGCTCAATCTCCAGAAGCTCAATCCTCTGCCCATGATATTTCTGCGATTCGGGTCAGTAAGCTTCCTCCGAAGTAATCATTCACGTACCACTTGGTTGTCTTTTCGACCAACTATGGTGAAGCCGCCATCAGGTCGCTGCACAACCAGATCTCCAGTCAGATAGCCTCGGAAAGGCTGGGGAGCCCACGAAACGTCTGTGATGAAGGCTTGTGCTGTCTTCTCTTCATCTCCCAGATAGCCTCGAGCGGCAATGTGGCCCTCAATCAGGAGCTCACCCGTGCACCCGATAGGAAGTCTGCGGTGGCGATTCTCCGGATCAACAACCCAAAGGTTACAACCGACAGGAAAGCCAATATCCTTAGGGTCCGAGGTTGGTCGCATATGCAGACAAGAAGAGGAGCAGACCGCGCATTCGCTAGGGCCGTAGCTGACAGGTGTGTTAGCTAAGTTTCGGTTACATCGCTATTGTGCTCACCCATTGATCAGGTTGATCCTGGACCAGGTGTCGAGGTTTGCTTGCGACATGGCCTCACCCATAAGGATAATGGTAGCCAAAGTGGGTACCATTGAGGGTTCGAGAAAGCGAACAAAGGTCGGGGTCAGACTGGCCCATGTAATGTGCATATCATTAATCACTTTAGAGATGTCATTCAGTCTGTCGTTTTCATCTGGAATGCAAATGGTGCCACCGAACATCAGTGGGGACAAGATCTCTAGCACTGATGAATCGAAGGAGTGGGCCGCGAACTGTAGCGCGCGCAGGGGCTTTGTGTCCATCCCAAGTCCCACAAAATGTGCACTTGCTCCCGTGCAATAGTTGCCATGCTCAAGCAAGGACAGTTTTGGCTGGCCGGTAGTGCCTGAAGTGGGGATAATGTAAGCCGCATTGTGACTGTCAGCACGGCCTTGAGGCCGCTCTACGAGTGGCGGAAGGGATTCGAAGAGGGCATCGTCAACAGCAAAAATGTTCTCCGCGAGGCTCTCAACAAAATGGCTTTCCGCAGGAGAACACAGAACAACCTTCGCGCCGACGGCACTGACGAGGTATTCAAGACGTTCCCTAGGCGCCGCAGGGTCAAGTGGGAGGACTGTCGGGAGTGAGTACGTGCAAATCGTGGTGGAGTGCAGACAAGTTCCCTATCCCCACTTCCTCGGTTGAGAAGTGGCGTGGGGAAGGCGCGGGATGCGCGATAAGAAAATAACTACTTACATGCGCCTCCCGCAATCAGCACGCCAAGCACGGCAACCACGTTCCATCGCGTCCTGGTGTTCGTCAGCACATCGAATCCTGCCTCATCGAATAACTCACTTTCGGAAGCACAGTGGTACAATCACATCGGCGCCCACACCGAGCTCGATCAACCGTCCTGCAAGCCGACAAGCATGCTCGTCAAGCTCGCGATATGTAAAGCATCCGTCCCATGACGCGACTGCCTCAGCGTGCGGACTCTGCTTTGTCACCTCGGCGACAGTATCATGGATCGTGCGGTCGACACGGGCCAAAGGCTTCGAGTTCCACTTCTCGACCTGATTCCGGTTGCGTTCGCTGAGCAGGTCGGCTTCGCGAATGGTCAAGTGTGGCGTGGAAAGAGCAAGATCGAGCGCTTTATCGGTCGTACTCGCAATGCTTTTGGCGAACTCGGTCGGAATGTAAGAGTTGCGATACTCCAGGAGGAGACTGATACCAGTCTTCAGCACCTTGACGAGCAGGCGGAGGTGGCACTGTTATTGCGGCTGTCAGCAAGCAATGCAATGACGAGGATCGCGAATGGCATACCGACGCGGGCATTGCCTTTGACGCCGTCCTGCTAACCCCGGAAGCCGTGCCAGCTTGCACAGCAAATCGGAACAGCACCGAGGTGTTGAATTGAAAGCCCTGATGCTCGGGCCGGTCAATTGCAAAGCAATCCTCCTTCGTGTGCTGGAAAAGTTCGGCAATCAACATCTCGTCACTGACAAGATGCGCGATAACAGAGTCTTGTTGTCCATCTTTGCGGGGTGATTCGTCGCCCCCAACCTCACCGAGGCCAAAGCAAACCTGGTCCAAGCCAGTATAAGTGCGCAACACGAGTGCCCACGCGGTTCTGACAGCAGCAACCAGGGAAGCCTTGCCGTCGTCTTTCGCGAAGAGCTGTTCAAGCCGCTCTGGATGTTGTAGCTCAACCCTGACCGAAAGTGGCCGTTTCTGGTCACTGCCAGAACCCCTACCGACGGACGGGAATTGACATGAGTGAACTTGAGCGTTGTTCGAAGCCATGATGTCGAATGGAGCTAATAGTTAGAAATTATAATTTGGGATATACGTACAACACTACAGCCCCGAGTCCACTCAATCGGCGTGCAAAAACTGCGGCGTAAGACAATGCGAGCTTTTGGGGCTTCAAAAAGTTTGGTTGATTTGAGGGAGCCAAAGTTTAGCTGCCTCTCTGGATCAGTGACGGGCAGCTTTAGCACTTGGAGAATTTGTGCAGGGGGAGCTGCTTACGCGCTCTTGCAATCAAGGGATCCACACGATATCCGGAAAAGATGCGCAGATGGTCAATGATATTTCCACAAAACTACAGCAGAAAGGACCACGGTCAGAATCAGGATGGTGCAATTGACAAACTAGTCCGTCCACACTACTCATTCCGGGGGGTTACCAGACCCCGAGCCGCCTCTTGGACGAGGTCTTCTCCAGCATAATTCATCGACAGTCCGATGAGGTCATTGCCACCAGTCGCTGCCGGAAATGGCCACGATACTCGGGTTGCATTCACTCTACACCGTTGCTGAGGTCTCAGGGTACGGGTAAACATCGTTGTGTACGAAGGCGCTGCGCCAGGCCCGGGCCAGGGCCAGGGTGTACCGGATTGAGCAATGGAAGCATCACGAACGATCGGCAGTGTCAAAGCGATCTGAACTCCGGGGTAGTTACGAAGCTGGAGCGATCGTCATCGCACTGCGCTGGATGCATCAGTTGGGTGTAGCGCTGCCACGTGATGGTGCAATAGGCGCTGCACATTAGCCACGGCGCACCGGAGCAAGCTGAAGTCGATGCCGGTCAGGTAAAATATCAATACGGCCGGCGGTCATGCATGCGTCGCGCGTCGCACGAAATACGAGTTGTGGTGGAGAGAAGAGCTGGCGACGCGTGCGGTGGCAGGCATCCTCGGCGCCAACACTGCGGGGCGGCCATAGCGTCCACGTGACAAACCGCAAAATCTTCACGACACACCTTTCGGTTAAGCGCGCAAGGCGGGAGTGACATCCGTCGCAACGACCAGCCAATACGGCTACGCAAACAGCCACAAGGGGCGTTTCGCATTTGCGATGGCGGGCCTAGGAAGTCGATGGATTCTGGTGTATTCTCACCCGCACACCCAGTTTGTGTCCATGTCACCAACTGATCCACATTTGGTTCCTGATGTGCAAGGCCAAGCGACCCGACACAGTGGAACGATCTAGCCGTCTACGAGAACGGGCACATCCTCTCCGTCAACGTCCCCCGGTGTCCCCGCCGACTCTCTGGACCTCCTCACGCCCCCGTCAGCTGCCAGCCTCACAGCCATCTCAGCCACCTGTTGCCCCTCGCCGTCTGATTTCAACGACGCGATCGTCGTCATGGGCTGCCGTTCCGAGCAAGAGCGATACGCTGTCAATACCCTTTCGTGGGTCCACGAAAACGCGCTCAGCTCCCTGTGGATGCCTCGTACGCCTTCCCCTGTCGTGCGACCCACCTGACAGGTGCCAACCGGGCAGCCACTCAACGGTCACGTCACAATAGGTTCCAGAAATTCTGCACCAACGGAGTAGTGTAGCGTAGCGGAAACCATGGCGGCTCTCCCGCTCCCATCTCCGGCCCGCCCTCGTCAACCCCAGCTGCAGTGGATGCCTGCGGCTTCTTCCGCTCGTATCCTATGTACCTGTGTTGCTCATTCTGCTTCGAGTTTGAGCAGCGGGCGTCTCTCCGGGATGGGCGACGTCCGTTGCAATGCCATTTGGAATCCGACCCATGTTCGCCATCTCTGTGAAAAGACCCTGACGCTGCAGCCACAGCTTTTGGCCTCACTCCATTTCTAGACCCTGCCTTCATTATGCCGCTTCTGCCTGGTTCGTAGCGCCGAATTCGCAGTACTAGCTGACACCCGCTCCACCTGATATGCCGATCACCAGCATAGTGAGCAGGTATGGTCCCAGAGATTACCATTCATTGTGGGGAACTTGGACCTGCCGGGAGCGGCAGAGCGGCAGTCTAAGGTCTTGGTGCTTGCCCTGGACCCTCTTAATTTAGCCATACGAGGTTCGTGCACTATGTGGCAGCTTCCACCAACACCCGAACAACTGCATTGCCGTGAGGGGAGAATACCGGTAATGATTGAACCAGGGATCACTGGTGTAACTTGAGAAAAGTCTGAATACTTTGTCTGAAATGCGTACTAGCTATAATATACGTCACACCTACCCTGGTCCATGGCGAGACCACACAAAGGATGTGGCGTTCAGATCTCGCTGTTCCAAACCCACTACATGCAGACTAGAGCATCCAGGGCCTCGAGCTAGGCTTTCTCGTGCGTACACCTTCATTTCGCTACTCGCCTGAAATGTCTGCGTTGCTGGTGATTATTCGTCCGCGGGCACTGGACTCACTTTCCACAATACGCTATTCTGCCGACTTCCAAACAAAACTAGCGCAGCGCTTAGCTGTTCGGCTGAAAGTGGACATGCAACACAAGCTACTGCCTACCCTTTACGTTACCTATACATCAGGTTCAGTGTCATCCTTCGTGTCGAAGCGAATTTACATACACTTCTAGAAGTATGACGACGCCTTCGTAGACGTACTTTTTCTTACTCCCCAGGGTTGATGCATGTGTCGTTTACTGTAGGGGAAACTCCTGAGTTACACAACTGAACTGGCTTCATGCGATGAAAAAAACAATTGCCATAACCCCTCAGGGAAGTGCTCTCGGCACGTGCAGTGCATGCATCTCAACTATCATGCCACGGATGGAAAGTGCTGTCATCGGCGATTCACACCCACCAAGAACCTTCTACGTTCAGATGCAATGCTCCACACGGCAGCCCATTCGCAGAGGATGTTGTGGTACATGGCTCGCGGAAACCTCCAGTTTCGGATGTTTGCTGATCCTTCCGCCAATCGCCTGCGACGAAACGGTGGGTGCTCAATTTTGGTCGACGCCTTCGCTCAATCCCGAGAGCCGCAAGTCGATGGAGCTGAGGGAAACAGGGAACATAAGGGACCCACATATCCTAGTGTAGTCAGGGCGAGAAGGCAGACGCATCCTCGAGACGAATCCAGTGAGTTAGTCATTCAAGTCGCTAGAAGGGGCTATGCTACTTATGCAGCTGAATAGTCAGCGGTGGGCCGCAGCATACAGGGTGTGGCGAGAACCGGACTTGGTCCGACACGCACAGTGACCAGGCTGTGGCATGACACTGAGATGAGGTCACTTACACCAGAAAAATACTTACCGATCTAGTCCAACAGTACAATATTTTTGACTGAAAGATTGTACAAACCCGAATGTACATTTCCAGCGTAACGATGAATCAGCGTCTCTCCAACCACTTCGAATCGGACTTGGCATCTTACCCGTGCTGTTCACCCTAGGTAGCGAATAGTATTACCACACCACCATTAGGCAACGTGAATCCGCAGACCCGGATCCTCGAGCTGTGTAATAGGATCCTCGAGCTGTGTAATAGAACCGTTGTTTGGCAGCGGCGAGTTGCATGTTGCTATTCTGCAGTGAGATGCGACGTGTACCCAGGGTCTGTTGTAGGGTTCTGGTTGGTACAGCAAATAGATTGTTCGTACAGTTTCGGTCTGGTTTTCCCGCGTTTGAAGTAACGATCAGCGCCACATCCATAATCGTGCAGACGCATGGTACGTCAAAGAGCCGCTCAGGAACACGATTTTCAACCTTGATTGCGCGATCACTCCGCCTCTTGGATTGATCTCCACGGATCGTCGCTCGCTCGGCCCCTAGACTCGAGCTTGCCATCCTTGCACTGATCATACAGGACGCAGGCGATTGAAACGGCAATAGCGCGCAATGCTTGATCCTGGACGATGCGCCGAAGCCGGGATCCGATCCAAGCCGTCCTTTGCTCGAACAGAAGCAGGGTTTTCCGTTGAAGCCGGAGAGCTAGCCGTGCGCCGTACGGGGTTGCATCCTTAGCCCAAGTGAGCTGGGATGGAGTATTCCGTGACAAGTTCACAACCGTCGAAGATCGACATACCTACAGCATGCTCGACTCGGGCCCCATAGCAAACGACCGGCCTTGCCACGCCTTTGAGTGGTCATTGCAGTGTGGTGCCGGCTGATGAAATCAGCACTGGCTAGTAGCCTGTGGTCGCATATCGGCTCCAGACTATGAACCCCCAGATCCCATCAACTCTCCATCTAATGTGCTGAACATCGACCTCAGGAAAGGCAACTGATTTTCTTTGCACCACTCAATGGCATCAGACTCTAGTCAACGCTGTGCCGCTGTCGACAACACAATCGGTCCTTACGCTGGTGCACATTGTATGTTATTATGTGTACACTCGAAACCTTTGCTAATCGCACTCCAAGGTCGAGGAGGTTTTGATTTTACTCTTCTTTTTGAAGATGCCTTCCTATGTATAGCACCGATCGCACTGCTCCTATGCATTGCTCCCCTCAGAATAGGATACCTTTGGCGGAAAAGCAAAAAGGTCTCGACATCTCTGCTATTACCAGCGAAACTTGTAAGTCAAGATTCTTCTCCACTCAAAAATTTATAAAATAGCTGATGGTGAGAATAGATCGCATGGGTGTTGTATGTTACCCGGCTGATTCCAAGAGTTCGGTTGATGTGCACGTTCATCTTGATCGACTACACCATTGAGTGCAGCGCTAACTGGTCCCTTTGTTCAGTCTTGCAGGTTTTGATCTCGCCCTGCTCGTACTTTGGGCAAACCACCGCGGGTTCAGGAGCGATGCAGCAGTTCCTGCAGCCGTTCTTAGTGAGTCATTCCTCATGTCCTCTAAGTGATGCCGCAACAGCCTTGTTCACTGCGTGTACTGACTAGGTCCTTCTTCAGGTCTTTTGGGAGCGCTCGTACTGGGCACCCTGTCTTACTTCGAGCACTCGCGATGCATCCGAACCTCCTTTTGGCTCAACGTATACCTTCTCTTCACGATTGTTTTTGACACGGCTCGTTCACGCAGCTATTCGCTTGACGAACAGCTGAACCAAATTTCGATTTTGTTCACCACTAGAGTTGGAGTCAAAGTCTTCCTCGCGGCTTTCGAAGCAAGAGGAAAGGGAAACCTTCTGCTGTCGGGCTACACAGACGAGACTCCAGAGGCTGCTGCTGGTGTCTACAGTCGTTCGCTGTTCTGGTGGCAGAATCCTCTACTCAAGAAAGGGTTCAACAACACTCTCTCCATCGACGACTTGTACCAACTAGACAAGTACCTCCGTGCTGATTATCTCCATGGGATTATTAGATCAGCATGGGACAAAGGTAAGCCCCAACGATCGCGACCATTCTCAATCGGCACACTGACTGGCTTGACATCGGCAGTGGCGCACGTCGGTTCGAACTCGCTATTCGTTACTACCTTGAGGAAACTCAAATTGCCCATCCTGGCAGTTGTACCACCTCGCGCCTGTCTCATGGCGTTCAATTTTTGCCAGCCGTTCCTTATCAACCGCGCCGTATCTTACTCGGAACAGGCTCCATCAGCCCAGACAACAAACATAGGTTATGGGTTGATTGGCGCATACGTCATTGTGTATGTGGGCATTGCGGTATGTGACCCGATCAGCGATACCTACTGGCACTAATGACTCTCAAGGTATCCACTGGACAGTACCAGCATTTTACTTTTCGATTCATTACCATGATGCGGGGCGGTCTCATCTCGATGCTCTACAACAAGGCTGTAGCCGTTCCACTGACCGATGTGGATACGGCATCATCACTCACATTGATGAGTGCTGACATAGAGCGCATTGTCACGGGCATGCAAACTGGTCACGAGATTTGGGCAAACATTATTGAGGTCGGACTGGCTATCTACCTGCTTCAACGACAGCTTGGTATTGCCTGCACTATCCCAGTTGGAGTAGCAGTTTGTAGGTAACTTCTTTCGCGCTTGCGGTGGCACTTGCTGACGTTGTCTCACAGTGTCCTTTGGCGGGTCGCTTGTCGCGACTAGCATGGTGATGCAAAAACAAGCATTGTGGCTCGAGGGCATTGAGCGACGGATTGCAGCCACAACCGCTATGCTAAGCTCTATACGTGGGGTCAAGATGACCGGCCTTACAGATGTGTTGCGAGCAGACCTGCAGCGCCTGCGCGTCGAGGAGCTCACAATATCAAGAAAGTTCAGGAAGCTTCTGATCTGGACAATGGCGATATGTAGGTGACTGTGATATCAGCTTGAAGACGCTTTCTCACATGACTGCAGCGTTCTCCTCTCCACTTTTGTCGCCTATCCTTACCTTTGCGGTATTCTCTATCCTTGCGCAAAAGAGCAACGGCACCAGCACGCTTAACACGGCCAAGGTATTCACGTCGCTTTCACTCTTCACGCTCTTGTCAGAGCCTCTTAGTTCGCTCATCATGTCTTTGTCCTCATTCATGGGTGGTGTCGGCTCATTTCAGAGGATCCAAAGGTTTCTCGTCAACCCATCGCAGGTCGAGCATCGTCGGTCTCCATATCTGATCGGAACCCTTGGGTCAACGTCGGACTTAGGCGACGACTCTGACAAGGATTCGGACGAATCCCAGAAGAGTCGCTTCTCCTTAGACGTCCGAGAGTTCGGATCCACATCGTCAACGGCCGTGCTAGTTGAGAATGGGTACTTTGGCTGGGACAAGGAAAAACAAGCAACAGGTTGCCTGCAAGCCATCAACATGGCTGTCCCACGAGGTAAAATTACCATGGTCGTGGGTCCGGTAGGCTGCGGCAAATCGACATTGATCAAGGCCATCCTGGGTGAGCTCCCGGTTATGGGTGGCACAGTCCAGCTGTCGTCCGTGCGTATCGCCTTGTGCGATCAGACGCCGTGGCACGTGAATGGCACTGTACAACAGAGTATCATCGGAGCATCGGAATTCGATCAGCGATGGTATGCAGCGGTCGTTCGCAGCTGCGCTTTAGACGAAGATCTGCGCCAACTGCCGCAAGGAGACCAGACGCAGATCGGTAGCAAGGGTATTGCCCTGAGTGGGGGTCAGAGCCAGCGTATTGTAAGAGCACCCAGCCCCTGACCCTACTACTCGTGCTCATGACTAACGCGCGCATTTCATAGGCTCTTGCGAGAGCGATCTACGCTCAAAAGGATATCGTCATCCTCGATGATTGCTTGAGTGGGCTTGACGGTCAGACCGAAAACCGTGTCTGGCACAGTCTCTTCGGTCGCAATGGTCTTCTTCGAAGATGCAGATCCACCGTTCTGATCGCATCTTCGTCAGGTAAGCACTCTTCAGCCCTGCCCCGCCCTGCCCGCCGAAGCTAATTCTCTTCGTCTGCAGCAAAGCGCTTGCCGTATTGCGACCACATCGTCGCGCTTAGCAAAGAGGGCAGCATCTCAGAGCAAGGCACATTCGAAAAATTGAACGCGACCGGTGGCTATGTTGCTAACTTCGATCTGCCCCCTCCGGACTGGGATTTTGTTCCAGAGAAGCACATCTATGAAGCGCCGCCGCGGTACTCCGAGCGTGCGAACAACGGCATGGTCACTGAAGACGACATTCAAGCGGAGACCAACCGTCGCACAGGTGATGTGGCCATCTACTACTACTACATTAAATCTGTGGGCTGGACTGCCGCGCTTATCTTTATGGTTTCAGTCACCCTGTTTATCTTTGGACAATCATTCCCCACGATTTGGGTAAAGCTATGGGCTGAGTACAACAATGAGTTTCCTAATCAGCGACTTGGATACTACCTTGGTGTGTACGCTGCTCTTGGTGTCGGAGCTATGATATTCCTTATCATCAGCTGCTGGCAACTCATCATTGAGATGGTCCCACGTTCGGGTATCGCTTTTCACAAGAGACTCCTGAATACGGTCCTTGGCTCTCCAATGTCATTCTTTGCATCAACTGATACCGGTGTCACTCTGAACCGCTTCAGTCAGGATCTCATGCTCATTGATATGGAGCTGCCCGTTTCTGCGCTGAACACTTTCGCAAGTAAGTCAATCTTCTCTGTAACTTCTCATGGAACGCACTAACACAGATTAGCTTTCATATTGTGTATCGCACAGATGATTCTCATCGCCGTCGCCGCCCCGTTCGCGACCATCTCTTTCCCAGTAGTTGGTGGGAGTGTCTACTTTATCCAGAAGTTCTACCTGCGCACCTCAAGACAGCTAAGATTTCTCGACCTCGAAGCCAAGTCGCCTCTATACACACAATTCAACGAGATGCTAGAGGGTCTAGCTACTATCCGAGCTTTCGGGTGGCAGGACTTCCTCGGAGAGAAAGCCAGAGAGCTACTGGATCGCAGCCAACGTCCCTTCTATCTGCTCTTTGCCGTCCAGCGTTGGCTGACTCTGGTGCTGGATCTCATTGTCGCGGCCGTGGCCACTCTCCTCATTATACTGGTGGTCGTGCTCAAAGGGAAGCTCAGCGCCGGCTACGTCGGTGTCGCTTTACTCAACGTTATCCTCTTCTCGCAGAGCATCAAGCTGCTCATTCACTGGTGGACGCAGCTTGAGACACACATTGGAAGTGTGGCGCGTATCAAAACCTTCACCACCGACGCGATCAGCGAAGACCTAGAAGGAGAGGACCAGGTCCCACCGCCAAGCTGGCCTAGCGATGGCAAGATCGAATTCAAGGATGTTACCGCATGTTACCGGCCATATGAACCAGTCATCTCGAAGTTCTCCATCTCGATCGCGCCAGGCGAGAAGGTTGCAATTGTCGGTCGCACTGGAAGCGGTAAATCTTCCCTTGTTCTGTCACTCTTCCGCATGATCGAACTCTCGGCCGGATCCATCACCATCGACGGTCTTCCCCTCCACCGCATCCCTCGCCAGACTGTACGATCAAGATTGATTGGTCTCCCTCAAGACGCATATCTCCTGCCAGGCTCCATTCGGCTGAATGCCGACCCACTGCAACAAAGTAACGACAAAGCCATCATGCAGGCACTCAAGGATGTGCAGCTTTGGGACACCGTCGTAAGCAAGGGCGATGAAAGCAAGTATGCGCATCCGCTCGACGTTGATGTCGAAGACCTGCACTTCTCGCATGGACAGCGACAGCTCTTCTGTCTTGCTCGGGCGATCTTGAGGAAGGACAAAGGGAGTGTCCTCGTGCTCGATGAAGCAACTAGCAAGTGAGTAGTCCCCCTCTGGTGTATTCACCCACTCGACTCTGACTGACCCCGCCGCAGTTTGGATCAAGCCTCCGACTCGCATGTCCAGCGCTTGCTGCGGTCGAAGTTCACGGCTCACACTATCATCGCTGTTGCCCACAAGCTTGACACGGTGCTTGACTTCGACAAGGTCATTGTTATGAACCAGGGCCAGCTTGTGGAGTATGGCGAGCCATACAAGCTCCTCGAGCGCGAAGGTAGCTGGTTCAAGTCCTTGTACGAGGACGTATCGCTAAACGTGGGACCCGCGGGTGAGGATGATATTCTAGAGATCGCACAGTGAGGCTGTCGCTTTTCCTTTCCACGTACACAATGGCGGTGACGCATTTTTGTCCTTTCCGGCGTTGTTCTCTTCCAACATGTCTTCATAATCTGCGACGGCGCTCGCATTCCTTGCATACTGCTTCTTGGGCGTCGTTTGCTCCGCGGAAATTGGGCCGCCAAAAGCTCTTGTTCATTCGCTTGTTTGGGTAACACATTCGGCGCGTATCATCGTCTGTACACAAGCATCTTGGTAGCATTTTCCATCTTAGCGCCGAAATCGTCTTCTTGGTGTCCTGCAAATTTTTATTATCGTGTCTGTGCAGAATCTGTGCGCTCGAGCGTTGGCAATGCGGTGTCTTCCGTGGGAAGGTAACATCCCGAGCCGCGTGGGCAATATCCACATCTCGATCTTCATTCAGACCTGCCTTTTTGGAGGACGCCGACGTGTCCTTGTACTGGGGAAAGCGGAGTAGACGATCACTGCTGCTTCCGTCGACGTTTTATACGCACACACCGCACCGGGTAAGCTGAACGTCGCCGATGGTCGGCGCCTAGGGCCTTGTACCACGGCAGATGTGGGTGAGGGATTTTGAAGTTAGTTTTGCAGGGGGGAGCGCGATGCAGATGAAGATCCTTCTGTGGTGCATGGGTTGGGGTGTCCAGATGTTGTGCTACCGGCGTTGTGTTTCAGTGCGGGCGGCACGGGATGGCGGGAACATTGGCCGCCGTTCGACTCACGATTCAGCCTGGTCGTTAGCCTGTAGTTTCGGAAGTTGGGACTATGAGTGAAAAATTATTACTTGCAATAATAGAGCTTGACAGGCGTTCCCTCTGTCTTGGTGTCGTGAGGTGGTGATGTGTGGCGGTGCAGAAGTCTGTTTAGACGACATCGGACATCGTCGGCTGCACAGTCACGATGGCATGCCTTAAATGCTTCGTCCGGCTCTGTCATCAAGCAAGCGTCGAAAGGAAGTGTTCGATAAGTCACGAGCTACGCTTGCTTTTTGGGTAGGGACTAGTCCGTCCATAGTGACACGTGCCCAACAGCAGCTCATAGTGCCATTGCGTAAACACTGAAAGGCTGATTCCAATCACAAGTCTGCGGCAGCTGTTTACTGTGCCTTTCTTCCATAAGACTGTTGCGCTGTGCCGTCGTATCTTCGCGCGTCGTACTTGTGGATGCTACAGATTGTCTTGAGATGCTGCTGAGTATAAAGCTGTACAGCGTCCAATCAGTACATCATACTGTGACGCAATGAACTTGCGGGCCGTTGCAGTAGTGGACCTAGTACACACTCCAGGAACCTCCGCATTCTAGCCTTCCTCCGTCCTAAACAGCTCTCTTCAAGGTCCATCCCTTCACTTACCACGTGCGGACAGTTCGCGTTCGGTGACTGTACCAGGTAGGCACCATCCCACTGCAGCACTTATAACGCTGGGTATCGTTAGTCGTCATCATAGGGCTCCGCCCCGCTCCACCGACCATCTGACATCGGGCCTTCATCTTACGGTCAACTCCGAGCGAATCGTCACCCTACCATACGTAAGACCCGCAACATCGAGACTCCACTCAGACCCTGCGTTAACAATCTTACGCGATAAGCTTGTCCAACTGCATGCATGTCGGGCCAGCATCGCTAGATTCTTAGATCTGCTTTGTGTGGGCGATCTCGGTCGCTACCGACAACGAGGTGGCGGGTCATCGTAAAGAGGGGTTTAGGAAGGTACCACTAATCGCAAAAGCCGTTTAGAGGATTCAGTACGTGATATGAAGAAGCTGTTTAATACAGGGATTGCGCAGTGTCACAAGGGCACCAGTCAAGGGGTGGCTTGCTGATACCCTTATAGGGGCGGCCTTCCCCCAAAGGTTTTTCTCAATCTTCACGTCACAGACAACATAGACGACTACGAACGAGTGACCGTGGGCCTGAAAAACTGCATATCGCCTTCTCCACTCAAACGATCGAGATGTGCGACTCTCTTCAAGGAGTCCCCATGTCATGTGACTCGCCATTCACTTCGACACCAATGAGGAAATAAACAGCTTCCGGTTGCTCTCCTTCTCAGCGAGGCTTTCCAAAAGGCTCTGGGTGGTCTAACGGCTCTAAATGACCTTATGCGACAACCCTAGCTGCTGTCATCAGAACCTATTTCTCCTTCTGGGCCAGCAGTGCCTCCGTCAATGCCGGCCTCAGCCTCGAACCAAAATCACTAACAAACCTATACGTCTACAGGTGCACTTCAAACGTTGGTATGTAGGTGACATGTGGTTAGGTCACCTTATCTTCGATCACTCGTCGTATCGCAATTCCGCGCACACCTCAAGTCACTTTGCGTCGATCGCCCGCACTACATCCGCAGTCTCCCCATGCATCCATGATGGTGCATCGAGATAGATTTCTAAGAAATCCTCTGCAGACCAGACATGTCGGCCCTCCCGTCGCAGAGGGATCAGATCAGCTGTGGACGCCTGAAACACAATTTGGACAGAACATGCGGGTTGACGGGGCTGTCTGGCGTCGGTGCACACAAGCCCCTAAAGGAGAAAGGATCTGTTGCTCAAGCCACAGATTCTTGTACCCTTATGAGCTGGCTGGGCAGCAGAGTAACGACAAGGACAGCTGTCCGTCGCTGAGACTGAAGGCTGTGGCTTGAATACATGCTGAAAATCGTCTCCGGTCTTCACAACCGTAATCCAGAAGCATCTCAGTTAGTCGCATTATATTATTTCGGTTGCTTTTGGTCTTCCTTGACTATATGTACAACTGCCTTGTCTCTGGCTGGGAATTGAGGCCTTCGCGCGGGCCCTCAGACAGCGGCACGTCAACGACTTCGACTCGTCAAATCACATCACCAACCGCACACTAAGGCCTTGAGCACTCCAAAAGCTCAGAAGAATGCCTGGCTGGAACTCAATTTCACATCTTGGATAAATGCAATTTCCTTCTCATACAACTTCCACGAATATGTCTCACTGGTTTAACATTCAACAGACAAGGTAGTGGCAGCTCCCGCTCAAATTGGTACCCGAAATTGTGTCCGGCCGACATATAACACATACCCAGCATAGGGCTCTCACTGGCATGTTTCATAATCTCGGCTGCGCAGGCCGTCAAACTGCTCCATTTCCATCGCCAGTCACAAATTCCACACTTACACTGCGAATAAGCAGACGCAACAACAATTCACTGAAGAACATGGAGAGCAAAGCGAAGAGCGGGAAAGCTCTAGTCGGTCCGTCCTGCGAGACAGTGTCATGTAGGAAAACCATGCCACACGTGAAGAGCGCAACCAGCAGGATGTATCTGTTATTCAAGGTTAACTGGTCAATCTCACCAGATCGTTTGTGGTGGTGTGGCGCTTACAATTCGAAACGTTTAGCCGGAAGTGTTCTCTTCCTCGTCCAGATATGCACGAGAGACGACATAACCCACATCATCAGAGGTCTAGCGAACATTGAGGTTAGCATCGCAGAGAGATGCTGTGCTTGAATCACTCACATCCACTTCGAGGCGGCATGAACGCTGCTCTCTCGGGACCACAGGAAGAACACACTTCCCGAGACACTCATAAGAGCCCATTCTATATGGTTCCAGTTCCATCGCAAGACTATCGCAGTTACAGCTACTGCGACGAATACGAAAGAAGTGGCAGCACATATGATGGGGCCAACAATTCCATCGTTAAGGCCTGACCGCATAGCGTCGGATGCAGGCGTCGATTGTCCGGACTTCAGTGTCGTGACTGTAACGTCGCTGGAACTTGGCGTAATTGCAGCCACGGAAGGTATCAGTGCCATCCACGCAAAAGTAATTGTAGTCGACCACAATATGTTGTTGATCGTTCTTCGGGTCCTGTTCGCAAAGCGTCTGATCATCGTCATCATCAAGTCGACTTGCAGTTGCAAATGCTGATCAGAGAATATCGTATGGACCTCGGGTACCCGTGCCTTTGATTCCTGGAGGTTTATGATCAATACCATCCTACATGTGACGTTCGCGTGTGACGTTCTCGTGTGTATTCACAAGACTTACTAGATGACTGAGTCCAAAGAGCCACCGCGTTATTGAAGGTGCTCTTGGCAGAGTTGGAGGTGACACTTTATCTTTGCTTCGGGGTGACGAACTACGACTGTTCGGAATCCTGATAAGCGTCTCTTCTGCCGGCTCCGAATACAGCAGTTGGAGTCGTAGTATGTCGCGGTTCGCTATCGTCTTCAGATGCTAAGTCAACTTGTTGTCAAAACTGTGGCATTTCTTGAGACAACAGCACAGCGACTCAAACCAAATATCTACACCACTGTGGCGTAGATTGCACAAACAACTTGCGAAATATCAGACGTGGCAAAGCTGGGATGAGGACATTGCCCTTCACCGACTTTTGACTCAATGCAGGGCGAGCAGATTGAGAGAGAGCCTGGTTTCCATCCTTCAATACTGGACTGCGTCGTATGTGGCGAACAAGCTCACAGAGAGAGCATTTGAAGTCTTGGTAGATTTAGCTCATTGGCATAAGCCATGTGGTGGTTGTATTCTATACGCTGGCATTCGGCGAGGCGGATGGCAAACCGTGCTGCTGCCTGGAACTACAATTGCGGATACAGCCAAGCGACTGAGATGCCTGTAGCCAGCAGTTGGGCAGGTCTTTGGCCTTCACAGGAACTATACCAATGTGAAATGAGCCTTGCTGGTCGGGTAAGCTGAGGCTGCACTCCGGCTGGCAACCCATCATGCAACCCAGAACTTGCGGATTTGTAGCCAGCTGACTTGCATCATCTTTCGCAAGTCTGTATGGAAGATTTGTTTCGTAGCAAAACTCAATCTGTTAACCCTGGCTCAGGTGAGGCTTCCTTCATACTTGTACGACTTCTACTGGATCCCCAGCAGGTTCCAGGTTATAGGGAAACGGAGCCTTCCCGTTTACAAAATACGAGACATTCTCACTCGGAGATTGACCCAGCCCATCAAAAAATGGCATCGGCACGGATGGGAGAAGTGGCGACGTTCCGGTTCGACAGCTCACTTTCCAGCCCCTGCACTCCCAGCCACACAGAAATGCAACTCACAGAAGGAAGCCAGCAACAGGATTCTCCCAATCTGGAGCGATCACCAGGTAGAAGTGCGATTATCCAGTCGTATTACGAAGAATCTGCTCTGTGAGCAGTCCTCCTTGTTAGGTTTCTCCTGTACAAACGACACACAGAGCGCAATACAACCATGAGAAACATAACGCACACGGGAAGTAATTTGTGTGATCGAAAATTTTGCATATGCGTCAATCGCCAAATAGAATCCTGGGCAACCCTGTACTATGCATCCAGAGCGCTTTCACGGACAAAACTTGGACACGTATCAAACCCGTCTACGACGGAAGCTGCATACGTCCCTGTTACCAACGAGTTTGCGAGTAAATTTCGTCGCGCCTCATTATCAAGAAACTTTGCACAGCACAACAACTTGTACAGATTCACCGGGATGTGTTTTCAAATCTGGCATCATCTGGTCAGTTGACTGCCCCTGGACAAAATACACAAGCAAGCGTGTCTTAAACTGCTTTCTAATTACCAAAAACTCGCTGCCCATAATTCCATCACGGATTTGCCGGCAAGCCTGTAAGCGATGACTGTCAAGGTTGTGGCCCCATGCTCATGTGTTCGCCCCCAATTCAGGGGTGTGCACCACGCGTCAGCTCCAGCCCCAACCGCTCCTCCTTCGCCTCATTTTGTAGGCGCACGGTTGGTGACCAAGGTCCGCGATCTTCCGAATTTCACACGGCTCAGTTGCTTGTCGTCCTGCGCAAGCTCCAATGGTTCGTTTGTTGGCTTAAGTTTAAGACACATGTGAACGTGCCACACTACGCGGAATTTGAGAGATTCTTATGGCTCGCGGGTCCGCACCGCGCCGCGTCTCACGCACTCCCGTTTTGCCGTCTGCTGACCACCATCCCTACTATCCAAGTCCACGTCTCTCAGAAAAACCACCTCGCCACCGGTACGCACCCAAGGCAACCGTCTCAACTCTCAGTCCAAGCGACCTCGTCCGTAAACAGATAATGGCAGGGGATCGTGTCATGGCACTAACAAATTGTTTCAGTGCAATCGAGCCCAACCCAACACACCAACCCGCAGCCTCCCCGCCAACACCGCCCGCTACATCAAAACTCTTCCCAGCGCCTCCCCCAGCCCCCTCTCCCCCAGCCACCCCTCCACAGCCCCCATGTCTCCTCTATTCGCCCTCGCGCCCCTCCTCTCCCCAACCTCATCCGTAATCTCCCGCATATCTTCGAAAACTCTCCTTATCCCCTTCCCTTCTCCCTCCTCGTCACCCTCCTCCCGCAGCCTCTCACTAACCTTCTTATGATGGCTGGGAATATCCCCCCAGCTCTCTGTCTTGATGAACTTCATATAAGCGTCGATGTTGGTGGACGTGCCTTCTAGGCAAAGAAGCCCGGGTTTGCCCGCGAACAGGAAGCCAGTGAGCTTGTAGGAGGGGGCATGGATGATAAAGTCGTCGCGTTTGGACCGCGTGGAGATGGAGGGGAAGTAGAACCAGGCGCGGACAAGGGGGGCGGAATCGGATTGAGAGTTGGTGGGATTCGATTGCGAGGCGAGAGTGAGCTGAGACTGGAGAAGGTCGGATGCCGCTTGCTTGATGTCGTCGATTGCGGTGAAGAGGTCGTCCGTCTCGGAGACTTGGGCGTTGAGCTGTGAGGTCGCTGCTCTGTTTAGCCAGGGGGGCTGTCGTATGCGTATCTTTGCGAGGGGAGCTTCTTCTGGCGAATCCTCGCTCTGGTGCGCGAATGGAATGTTAATGTCTAGTTGAAGTGTGGTGGTTTCTGAGATCTCGAGATTGAGTAGGAGCGTGATTGTTGAAGAGTTGAAGGTGTTCTTGATCGGGAGTGTGTTGTTTTCGATGCCAGCCTTTAGTAGGTTGAGGGTGTCTTGAGATGGCTTATCCATCGATGTTTCTTCCTCGAGGTACATGGCCATCAACAAGTCAATTTGAGCAATCTGGTGTTCCAGGAGCTCCGGTGGAAGGAGGAACCATGATGACGACATAGTCGTTCCTGCCAGCTTTTATGAAGGCCTGTGCGGCAGCAATCGACTTCGTAAGGTCTCTATCAGGTGGAGCTCCACATCGATGTGAGTGTAGACACTGGAGGTTTCCAGAACGCGGCGCGCTAGATGCCACACGGCTAGCGCGGGGCGAATCTTTGGGCAGCACGTGACATGGCAGCCTTGCAACATTCGTAGAAACTTACAACCGCGAAATATACACGCATGAACCAGCATCTCACAGCACAGAAGCTTGATCAACTCTATTTCTTCTACATCGCACTGACCTGCTTCCTCCGCCCGCACGTCCCCCCGTCTTTAACGACCACATTTCTCTATCGCGAATCAGCACACAAGTGCCTATCTCAACATCCAAGATAGAGCAAGCAAGACGATAGTCCACACGCGACAGACCACCCAAAATCCTCACTTGAAATAAAAAGAGGTGCTATATTAGAAGTGCGACCATGGGTTCCGTCGTCCTCCCGCACCTCCGAACAGGCTGGCACGTCGACCAGGCCATCCTCAGCGAAGAAGACCGGCTCGTTGTGATCCGCTTCGGGCGCGACCACGACCAGGACTGCATGCGGCAAGACGAGGTACTGTACAAGGTCGCCGATAAGGTGAAGAACTTTGCTGTAAGTCTTCCTCTACTCTCGTGTGCCCTAGCACACGTGACCCCACTTCCCCTCCTCTCCCCTTCCTTTTCCTCCCGTCCAATTTAGTCGTGAGCAAGGGACGTATGACTGACGGTAGGAATATCAGGTCATCTACCTTTGCGACCTGGACGAAGTGCCCGACTTCAAAGCCATGTACGAGCTCTACGACGCGTGCACCGTCATGTTCTTCTTCCGCAACAAGCACATGATGTGCGATTTCGGGACGGGTAACAACAACAAGCTCAACTGGGTGCTCGAGGACAAGCAGGAGCTGATTGACATCATCGAGACGATTTACCGGGGCGCGAAGAAGGGGCGGGGTCTGGTGGTTAGTCCCAAGGATTATTCGACAAGGTATCGGTACTAGGAGACGCATGTGAGGATGGCGATGGGGGTTGGTGGGTATGTGTTGGGTAATTAGGCTGGGCTGGTGAGTAGGATATGAGTACGGTTCTTGGTTATCACAGACGGGCAGAGCGCCGAGCGACAGACAGGGTTTCATCATTCATAGATACACATTCGCGCTTCCACGACTACTCAGGCACTCTCACGTCCTTTCTCCTCCCCTTTCTTTTTCGCACCCCCCGCATCCTCCCACAAGCACCGCCTGCTCCCTCTCCACACCTCCTCGAGTATCCCACGCCTCGGCAACAGTCGTGGAAACACAACTACCACATCCTCCTCCCCCTTCACCACGACCGCGAGGTAGAATCTAATCTCGAACCCCTTGAATGCTTCGTGAATGAAGATATCCTGGACGCTGGTCGTGGGGATGAAGCGCGTGGTAGGCGTGCGGAGGTAGATAGAGGATGCGGTGCTGGTCTGGAGACCGAGGCCGCGGAGCACGAGTAGGGATTCCTCTATCACAGCAGTCAGTATGCAGTGTAGGCAGAATAGGGAGCGAGGCAATGATACCTGCATAGCCCCTGCGAAGAGCGAGGTAAACAGCGCACAAAGATGCGGGGGCCAGATACCGCCATGGGAGCCGCGAGACCAGCACGAGTATTTCCTCTGCGCGCGCATCACCAAGTGTCCATGCCAGAGCCACGGCAGGCTGCTCGCGACTAGCACACCATTCCAGCCAGGCGAGGAGGGCGACCGCAAGCCCAACTAGTATGCGCAGCGCAATGCCCGCGTAGAAGCGCAGTTTGGCCGTCAGCGTGGTCGCTTCGGGGCGCGTGGACACGGTGTAGGAGACGGTGGCGGGGGTGGGTTGCAGCGTGTGCAGCGTCTGCACGGGCGGCGCGCTGAGCCGCTGCAGCGCTGCTACCATGGTCGCCATATCGTCATGGCCGCGTACCGCAGCGCAAAGCAAAGCAAAGCAGCTGGTAGTGGTAGGCAAGTGAGTGGTGGGTGGAGCACCAGACTGCGGCTCAGCCCTACCAACGCGCCGCCGGGGACAAGCGAGCGTCATAGCTTCCAAAAGTGTTCGGTCGTCGCTGCCTCTTCAAACACTGACTTCAGCTCGCCCCAGCTTTTCCATACCACTGCAATGCCTTCACCCACACCACACCCCGACCGCATCGCCCTCGTCGAGGGGGCAAGACCGCGTTCCCCCGTGCGAAAGGATGACCGCCAGAACACCTCGCGCCCGCGCTCGCGCTCACGCTCCCCGCGCCGAAGCCCCCCGCGCAGACCGAAAGGCTTCTCTGGCCTGAAGTGGAAGAAGCCAGAGCGCTCTGGCGACGGGGACAGCAACCGCGGCCGGGACGATAGACGAGGCGGAGGCGGAGGCGGAGGCGGAGGCGGCTATGACAGGGACGACCGCCGGCGCGACGACAGAGACAGAGACAGAGAGCGAGACCGAGGATACAGATCGCGCGACGACCGCGACCGCCGTGACAGACGGGACGACGACCGCCGCCGAGACCACCGCGATGACCGCGGCAGATCAGGGCGAGACCGCGATTCTGACCGGCCTCGCTCCGACCGCCCTTCGCGCTCAGACAAGCCTCCCAAGGACAAACCCACCAAGCCTGCCGCCGCGCCCGCGCCCGTCGCAACAGGCGAGCCCATGATCATCGTGACGGTCAACGACCGACTCGGCACCAAAGCGCAGATCCCGTGCATGGCGTCAGATCCGGTGAAGGTGTTCAAAGCGATGGTGGCGGCCAAGATCGGGCGGCCGGTGCACGAAATTATGCTGAAGCGGCAAGGGGAGCGGCCGTTCCATGATCAGTTGAGCTTGGCGGATTACGGGGTGAGTCATGGTGTGCAGATTGATTTGGAGTTGAATACTGGGGACTAGTCGTCGGAGGGGACGGGGAGGATGCAGTGGGGGCTGGGCAGGTATGGGCTGTCGGACGAATGGCGAATAAGCTCCGCGACGCGAGGGGACGGCATAGAAGTAAATCGGACTGGGAGGGGATGCGGTTGCATTGAACATCGCCATGCATGCTTCGGCGCGGCGACTTTGAGACATGGACTACAGAATAATGATACCCTTGGACGCGCACGTTCTGCCCTCTCCGCAAACTGTCGTCTTCGTGAATCTCAGGAATAGGAGGCACTTGGTTCGCACTGGGTATCATTTCTATCCTCAGCCACGTCTAGTATCGGAATCTCACTCATCCGCGTCCCCCTCCTTGGGCCTCGTCCTATCCAGGACCAACCCCTTCTTCCTCGCATACTTCTCATTCACTACCTCCACCGCCTCCTGTCTCTCCCGCTTCAGCACAGGCATGTAGTTGCCCTTCGCCTTGCCAACATTCCCGCCATCAAAGCACCGCGGCCCGCTCTTGGGCATCGCGTTCCCCTCCAGACCTCCCGCGTTGTCCAGATCCGCCTCCCCCTGCCCCGCAACCGCGTCCAGCAGCAGCGCGCTCAGCGTCTCATCAATCTTGTGCCCGCGCCACAGCTCCCACACGTCGTCCACCAGGCCACCGCGTCCCCACTTGCCGCGGCCCATGCTGCTCGGTCCGCCGGCCTTCGCTGTCCCAAGGGACTTTGGCTCGATGCCGCCCTCGTCGCCGACGTAGACCCAGGGGAGACGGTCCTCGTAGCCGTGCTCGCGGACTTCCGAGTCCTGCACTTCGTGCTCGTGCGGGAAGATGCAGTCCCAGAGGACGAGCGGGGCGTCCGAGGCCATTTCGTACTTTGGTCGGGTCGGATTCTGCTCGACGTCGAGGAGTTGGGAGACGAGCTCGGGGCTCTCAAGGCGCTGGCCGATGAGGAAGAGGATGGCGACGAGGGAGCGGACCTGGTGCCAGAGGAACGCGGAGCCGTGCAGCACGAAGGCGTACATTTTGGGCGGTTCGCCGGTGGCTGGGTTCGAGATGGCGGGGTGCGAGATGAAGCCCGGCACCGATAGAGGCGAAACTTCCTCAACGGAGGCGCGGAAGATGCGTCGCTTGAAGTTTGTGATTTGCTTGCTGGGGTCGACTTTACAGAAGTTGCGGAAGTCGTGGAGACCCTCGAGGCGGGCGCAGGCGTCGCGCATGGCGGCGATGTCGAGCCAGCCTTCGCGCATGGGCGGAGAGGAGGTGGAGGCGGAAGGGGAGGGCGGGTATAGCCCGGATGTGCCGGGGACGGGCGCGAAGCACGGGTCCGTGAAGAAGTACTTGTAGCGGCGCTCTTTGCAGGAGAAGCGGGCGTTGAAGTTGGGCGGTGGGTTCGGGCACCAGGCGTAGATGCGGATGTCGGGCGGGAGGACGCGGTTGAGGAGCTGGATGTAGGCGAGCTCGTCTTTGGTGTCGTCGAAGGGCTGCGTGGGCGCTTCCTCATTCTCGACGAGCATCGCGGTCTCGAGTTCTTGTGGGGCATCTTGCATCGCTTGATCTTCCGATGCAGTTGCAGGCTTCGGGCAGGGCCGCATGCTCCTGACCCGCACTCCGATGACCTGGCCAAAGGCGCTCACGCCTCGGTCTGTCCTGCCGCACTTGGAGTACTCGCACCCCTCCCAATTCACATCTGCCCCGTCTCTATCCCACTTGTCAAACGTCTTCCTGTCTAGCCTCCTGAATGTCTCCGCCTCTTTGCCATCCTTTGGCGCCGGGCTGATCAACCTCGTCTTCATCAGCGCCTTCCACAGCTCCTCCTCTATCGTGGGCAAGGGCGTCTTGTTGTTTGCATGGTGCTCCAAACCATTGTACTTTTGCCCCAGATATGCAAACTTGAGCGCAATGAGCCTGGTACTGTATTTGGACGCGTCGAAAGCACTCGGCTGTTGCTTCGGAGGTTTCCTGTACTTTTCCCCATCTGCGGGCGACGGGATGGGAAAGCTCGTGAAGGTCGCAGCGTTGGGCTCGGCGGCATTCGACGTGGAGACTTTGGTACTGGCCACCAGCCGGGCCTCGAGGTCTTGTATGCGCGCGACAAGCTGCTCGTGTGTCCACTGCTCGTAGCCGGGGCCCATGGTGCTTCGCGCGCCGGGCTGGTTGCGGATCTGCTCGCGGCGGGGCACGCGCGAGAGCTTGTGGAAGCTGCGACGGGTGCAGAAGAGGCGGTGCAGCTGGCGCTCGAACTCGGGGAAGGAGTGCAGGTGGGGCAAGACTCCCCTCATCCTCTTTTCGTTCTGCGGTGCAGGCGATGACTGGGCTACTTTTTTGCTGCACACTTGCGTCAGGGTTCAGCTCTAACTGCTTCAGGCTTGGCTTCGTCGGCTACCCGCCGGTGCTCCACCGAGTGCCACCGTCTCACGTTGAGAACGTCTCGCTTGGCATGAAACGCCCAGCGTCATGCCGTCGTGCTCGGGTTCATGCCAAAGCCTGCTGCACAGCGCCGCCTTGTTCCAGAACCCTATACTGGCGACGTGAGCCGTCAAGGGATCGCCGACTCCACTATTCCCGGCATCTCGCATCATCGCTTACTTTGATCACTGGTCACACTTGTGGAGATTTGAACAGCTGTGTTGACATAGTGAATTCTATCTTAGGCCTGGCCTGCGCTGGCGGCTGGTCGTGGACGCGAGAGTGGCTCTCTTGACCACACCATCCATCTATCTAGGTAGCTCAATAAGCATGTAATATCCAATGCTGTTTCATGCCTTCCTTCTCTTTGTATGCAAGGCTTTGAAGATGAAGCAAAGATTGTGCCGCTCGCGTCTTCAAAGTACCGAGTCCGAGTCTTTCATCGTGCTCCAATCCCCGAGTCGACCCGGCCGTCGTCTGAATCTTCATACAATAGATCGATCCAGCTTTTTTAGGTAATTCAATCTCATGATTCCGAACCTAGCAGGGTGTGTCAAGATAATTGCTGTCAAGCTGAGCCGCGTCCGCATGGAGGGCTCTAGCGAGCAATCTCGAGTTTGTTTGCTTTCAGCCCCTTCTCTTCTTATCCCTCCCTCTTTTCTGGCCTGTCAATTGGGCTTCGTGGAGTCCGCGGGGTCATGGTGGTTGATCGTGGGCTGAGAGCGCCCGTCAGTATCGGCCCGTCGCTCGCGAACTTCATCTTCCCCTCCGCCCATGCGGTGATCCTGCCAAACGCCGGTTCAAAGTTGTTTGCCCAGAGGTGGCTCGCGTATAGGGTGAAGGCACTCATGATGATGAGACCGATCGTAATGCGTACGTTGCCGGGCTGAGCATACCGGTAAACAGTGTCGCGGTCCTCGGTTGCAAGTTCGAGTGGGAAAGCTTCCAAAGGCTGGCCAGCGAATACGACCCACGCGAGAACTGTACGCATGACGGTGCCGTGGAGTAGATAGATTGGGAAACTGAGCTTGCCCAGCCAGCGGAGCGGCTTGACGGAGAGTGCGCGGCGCAGATGCGGGCTGATGAGAATGGCGAAGCACAGCATTAGAGCACCGACGCTGCCAACGAGACGGGGCATCGAGAAGGAAGCCGATCTTGGAAAAACGCTGCCGAAGACATACTTCAAGACAGCGGACCATGGTGCCGAGTCTGGGTTGCTCGACGGGTAAGACATGAACACCAATCCGATCAGGGCGAGGACGGGCGATAGAATGGTCGACACGAGCGGGAAGGCGGCCAGTTTCGCTGGCTGTGGAGAGACGCTGAACTCTGCAAGCAGGATGCCTCCAATGACTGTAAAGCCGACCAGGGGATCCCTCAGGTTGTAGGACCAGCTCCAGGACCAGAATAAGCAAAGCGCAAGCGTAATGCTCCTCCAAACCGTAGTAAGCTGTACCGTGGCCAGCAAGACGAAGTATCCCACGATGCTGCCCATCAACAGATAAATCAACGCCCACTGGGGTTGATCGTATAGATTGCCGTCGCCCAGTCTCCAGGTAGACATTAGTGCCCGCACCAGACCGTAGATAGCTCCACACCACGAGTCGCTCCGCGGCGGGGTGTTGGTGTATAGCCAGTAGGCATCGCTGTTCCTGGCTAATTCATAAGCTCCAGTCTGGCACAGTGTCCAGGAGATAAGAGTGGCGACACTAGCCGGCAAGACCAGGCGGAAGGAGCGACGGAAAGCTGCTGTAGAGAGGCCTGACAACGCTGACTCGGAGTCACCACTTCGTGCCTGCTTGATGGGCTTCAGGGCGTTGACGAAACCCAGCAGGACAAAGAAAATGGCGACCCAGCTGTGTCCGGAGGCGATGAGACGCAAGATGGGTCGCTGGAAAAGCCATGGGGTCCCGTTGTCGGTGCAGCAAGGATTCGTGAACTGTCTGCCAAAGCAGAGGACCAGATGAGAGGCGGCGACATAGACGGCAGCGATGCCTCGCAGACCGTCTGCCCAGCCGCTGTCTTGCATGATGCGTTCGTTGGGATCAACGACCAGCATATCTCATGAAGAGTGAGGTCTGCGTCCACTAGGGCAGTGTCGTAATGATGAAGACGCGCGGAAATATATATCCACGGTGTAGCAAGACTGGGGTCTAGTTCGTCCAGCGACCGGCGCTGATATCAGCGAATGTGAAATAATATGCAGTCCTTGCAAATATATGGTTGAAGATCAGACGAGAGAGAGGAAGAAAGTCGAGTGCAGCTGTTTGAGCTAGTCGATGGTGAGCAGGACGCAGCAATAACAGCGTTGCCTCAACAGCAGCCCCAGAATAGAGCCCCGAGCATGGAGCCCCGAGTGGGGTCTGTGTATGTCGCTATCGCCCCGGGGCGAATGCTGAGATGTGCGGTTGATGGAGTCAGCCAACGACCAGCTCGGGAGCCGATGCAGGAAGGTAAGAATAGGCGATTCTCAGCAGCCAAAAAGGCAGCTTTGGGGCTCCGGAAACAGTGGAGCGCGAACGAGAGTAACAGAACGCGGTTAGCAATGAATGACGAAAACGACGAGGAATGCACGAGAAAGGTCCAACGTAAAGCAATAAGAGAGCAAGTAACAGGGAGAACCCGATGGTTTTTCATACAGACCTGCTCGGCAAGTGCTCGGACTCCATTCCACTGATGCGTACCAGTGCGGCTAGTGAGGCTCGCGAAGTCGGGTGGCGCGAGGCGAAGATCTTCAGAGGTCCGGAAATTTTGGCCAGTGATATAGGGACATCAGAATGGGCCAATCAGCCATGGCGCGGGGGGCTCCACACCACCCGGGAAGGGGGCGGTTGAAATGATGAGTTGATCGTCTCGCGGCCAGTTCTGGGGCATGAGATTCATGCCAAGAGTGAATATCCTTTAGGCGCTTTGGAAAATCGCCCGCGCCCACAACGGTGAAACATTGATCATCGGGGTCATCCATGTACGCCGTGTGGTGTAAGAGAAGCCGAGACGAGTTGCCCCTGCGCGCGCGTGAAGGACAATGATGTCGACGTCGCGACCCTTGACTCCTGCCTTTGCACCACCTCCAATCATCAAACAGTCTCCTGCGTCGTCGTGCAACACTAATCCCCTTCCTGGGCTGCTGCACCGATGCACTGGTTCTTTATTTTCAAGCTCGAGCTTCAGGGGCTTGTTCAAGCTATTTCCGGGGTTGGTAAACTCTGCGCACGGCTGCAGCGATCGGTCGCCCACCCGTTCTCTCCTTTCTCACATGCGCACGCAGCGCATTCTGACTGCACTCAACTCAGCACCACCGTTCAGCTTCCGAATTTATTACGCCCGGTCTGCAAAATTCATAATTTCGCACGTGATCGATCCGTGCTGCTGCGAGATTGTTCAGGACATCTGGACCTGGGCTAATTGGGGCTGTGCCTCGCTCGACCGGACTAGGCACCGATCAGGCCACAGCCTCCCACCACTATAAAACGGCGACGCCCTCAATTATTATTGTTCCACAACTTCCTGAACCTCTTACTCGCCAACAGTTGATGACTGGTGCTTAGATCCATCGAAACGAACAAGTGAATATATTGAAGCATTCCCCATCGTCTTGCTGCTGCGTGTTTCTCCAGAACGATACGAGAGGCCGCCCAGTCAGGAAGTAGACAAGTTTAAATTGACTTCGATTCCACTGCTCTTTCTTGGTCGAACACTGTATTGCTGTGCGCTCGCCTTGCTATCAATTGCCAGACGGGTATTGTGATACTTTGATTGTCTCATACTTCTGCGCCACTTCGTGCTCGCATCATTGCCCCTATCCCCATCATGTTTGGCGGTATAGCACATAAGCCCGCTCCCACATGCGGCCTGTATTATATGCATTCGCCCCCGCGTAACCACCCTGGTCTGTTCCCTGGCGTCGTGAGTGAGCGTGTGTTCCTTCCCCAGGTGCAGCTCGAAGCGCACGCCACCATTCTCCAAACTACATCCCGCGTCACGCTAACGCAGACCTTCATCAATCCCTCGGCGACCAAGGCCATTCGTGAAGTCAAGTACGTCTTCCCGCTCTACGAAGGTATCAGTGTCGTTGCCTTCACCTGCCATGTCGCGGACCGCACTATCGTTGGCGAGGTCAAGGAAAAGAATGAAGCGAAGCAAGACTACACGCAAGCTGTCCAGCGAGGAGAGACCGCGGGTCTCTTCGAGCAACTTGATACAGCTGACACGTTCATGACCACCGTTGGGAACGTGCCTCCTGGTGTCCGGGTCGTCATCGAGCTTACCTACCTCGGAGAACTGAAGCACGACATGGAGGTGGATGGTATCCGCTTCACCATTCCGAGCATCATCTCGTCTCGGTATGGCCGCACAGCACCTGGATCCGAGGCTATTTTGGCTCAGTTCCAAAACTTTACACCCTCACGCGGAGGTCACTCAGGCAACATCTTAATCACCGTCGACGCTGAGATGGCAGAGGGCTCATTCATCCAGAAGATACTTTCCCCCAGTCATCCTATCTCAGTTTCCATGGGTACTACATCGATCGCTCCCAACGACGTACCTGAAATGTCAAAAGCGTCTGCAACCCTTGGAATTCAGAGCACGCATCTCGACACCGACTTCGTCCTTCAGATCGTCGCAAAAGATACTGGTATTCCGAAGGCCATCCTCGAAACACATCCCACCATTCCCAATCAGCGAGCCTTGATGGCCACGTTGGTTCCCAAGTTCGCCCTCCCGCCTCAGAGTCCGGAGATCGTCTTTGTATGCGACCGCTCGGGATCAATGGAAGGCACTAGGATCGCTCTGGCCAAACAAGCTCTCCAGATCTTCCTCAAGTCGCTACCAGTAGGCGCCATGTTCAACATCTGCTCGTTCGGCTCCGGCTACTCGTTCCTATGGCCACGAAGTGTAGCTTACAGCCAAAAGACACTGGACGAAGCTGTGCAGCACGTGGGTTCTCTCGCGGCCAACTACGGTGGGACGGAGATGCTGGAGCCGCTCAAAGCGACGGTTCATCAACGCTATCGGGACATCCCGCTCGAAGTGATGATGCTTACTGATGGCGCCATCTGGAACCAGGATATTCTGTTCACTTACCTGAACGAGCAGGTCCAAGACACCACAGCGCCGATTCGCGTCTACACCTTGGGTGTGGGATCGGGTGTGTCACATTCTCTTATCGAGGGTATCGCAAGAGCAGGGAATGGGTTCTCGCAGACCGTGGGCGAGGGCGAAAAGATGGACAGCAAGGTTGTTAGAATGCTGAAGGGGGCCTTGTCTCCACATGTTAACGACTACTCGCTTGAGGTCAAGTACGCTGGTGGTATAGAGAGCCTCAACGAAGAGGAGGACTTTGAAATTGTGGAACGAGTTGCAGATAGCTTGACGGTGAAGCTTGATTTGAACGAAAAAGCAGACGAGCCGAACACAGTGAGTCAAATTATCGCTCGCCGTTGTGTCCTAACCATTGCTGATTTGTTGCAGATCAAGCCGATCTCATTGTTCGACCCGTCTGCCGACCCTGACAGAAGCGAAAAGCCTGCCTCAGGAGCCTCAAACCTCCACAACGTTGCGACTCCCAAGATTGTTCAGGCGCCCTCGAGGATTCCTCCCCTCTTCGCCTTCAACAGGACAACAGTCTACCTACTCCTCGGTCCCGATGCCCCACACCAAACACCCCTTTCCGTCCTCCTCCGCGGCACCAGCACCCATGGTCCTCTCGAGCTTGAGTTTCCCATCCAGGTGCTAGATAGGCCCGGGACGACAATCCATCAGCTTGCCGCCAAAAAGGCCACGTTCGAGCTCGAGCAAGGCAGAGGCTGGCTCGCCGAAGCGAAAGATGAGTCAGGGAAGTTGCTGAAAGAGCGGTACGAAAGCCGATTTAGCAGCATGATGGAGCGAGAGGCAGTGAGGCTAGGCGTGCAATTCCAAGTCAGCGGGAAGTGGTGCTCGTTTGTGGCAGTTGAGAAAAACAGGCCGACCGAACCGGAAAAGGCGCACACACAGTGGGAATATCTCGAAGACGAAGCCGCTCCAGAGCCACCACATGGTGGTCTGTTTGGTATGTTGAATAAATGTCCCTCTGCGCCGGGCAACACTTCGGTTATCGGAGGAGGCACAAACCAGGCTATACAGAGTGCTAATGCGTTTCCTCCAGGCCCCTCCTCTGGGCGTGCTATGCCCGAAAATCAGAGAGCATATGGGGGCCTCTTTGGCGGCCCACCAGCAACAGCAGCTCCCTCGAGCGGAGGACTCTTCGGCGGTTTTGGCACCTATCTTCCTCACGGTGATGCTCATGGCCCAGGCAGTGGCTTATCTGGCTCTGTTCCCTCTGCGCCTACACCCTCTCCCCAAGGATATCAGTCCACCCAATATATTCAAGGCGGCGGATGGGGCAGTAGGCCGTCGGTAGGCACCTCCTTTGGTTCAACGTCTCACACACTTAGCGGACCGGCTGCCACAGGTGGGAGTCTCTTTGGAGGTCAGCAGCAACAGCAGCAACAGAAGCCAACTCTATTTGGAGCAATGTCCCAGCCACATCCCAAGGCAAGCGGACTTTTTGGAGCGTCACAGTCCCAGTCACAGCCAAGTGGAGGGCTTTTTGGATCATCGCAACCACCGCACCAACACAGTGGGAATCCTTTCGCATCGACCCAACAGCATTCGCAGCAAAGCGGAGGTCCTTTTCGACAGCAGTCACAAGATCCTTCGTACCACAATTTCGGGCTTGCTTCCGACCAATCGCATGCTCTGGAAAATTTCGACTTCGATTCGTTCCTACACGTCAAGGAGAACTCCACCGGCTTTGGCTCCATAGGCGTCGAGTTTGGCTTCGAGGATGGACAAAAACAACAACAACAACCCCAGCAGCAACCGGCGCATCAAATGGCTCAAAAACACCAGATGGCGCAACCGCAGCAAGCAAGCGCTTTCGGGCAATCTAACCCTGCACCGCGCCCCCAAGGTAACCACACATTGCAAGATTACCAAATGCAATGCATGCTTCTGGAGCAGCAAAACAAAAAGCGGCTTCTGATGGCGCGACAAGAGCAAGATACGCTAGCCAGTGCTTCCTATGGAACTACCAACCCTGAAGGCGTCAATTCCCCTCCCAAAACAGTCGAGACACTGGCTGCATCATCTAGAAGTACCTGTTCTGAAAACGTCACATCGCCACCCAAGACGGACGACGAGACCTTGGCTCTGCTCATCTCCGTCCAGACCTTCGAAGGAGAGTGGAAGTACTCACCCCCTCTGTTCCTTGCACTCAAAATAAGGGAAGATGTGGTTGAAGAAGCGAGGACCAGGCTCAATCATCATCTCTCTTCGAAGGCTGCAGCTGGAGAGACGGTAGAATATAGCGAAGCGGTGTGGGCTACTTCTCTGGCGATAGTGTGCCTCGAGACGAAGCTGGCCAGTTTGCAGGGGAGCTGGGAATTGATCGTCGACAAGGCGAAGGCGTGGCTGTCAGGAAGTGTCGGGGCGGAAAGGATGGAGGAGGTGTTAGATAGGGCAAAGGAGCTTTCTGATGAGATCAGCAAGTACGATGGGTCGAGGATGAGGTCTGGTAACTAAGTTGTTGAAGCAGGGAAATGTTATGATAGTTTGCTATTTTTCTGCGTTAACAGTCTGTGTGGGCGCTCAACCACCATCGGAGAATCGTCCCTCAGGCTAACTTAATATCTAGAAAACTTATTAGCCCATCCCTAGGTACATTTGTCAATGCGATGTGATTGCAATCAGGAGATCGTGGAATTCGACTGTCCGTGTGTGCTCCACAAATTAATTAATCCCATGAGCTACCAGTGTTTCAGAGCGCACGGAAACCAGCCGCCACGACGTCTTTCTCCTATTGGCGCATTTGTTTCCCCATGCGTACCCGTCCATTGCCTGATCGTCATTGAACTTTGCGAAACGACGCGCGGTGTAGTTCAAGCGTCTCTATAAGATCAGGGCAGTATGGTGTTCCTCATCTTTACGCTTCTTGCATTCTGATAGCTGCTGGTCAACTTCCTAGTTATCTTCCATTCGTTACTTCAGTGATTCGATTCTTCAATTCTTCCTTGACCTATCTAACCAATTCAAACAACAAATCCGTCAAGATGAAGACCATCGCGTTTGCCCTCTCAGCCACCGCGCTCGCCAACGCCGCTGCCATCCGGCGCCAGAACGACTACGGGTACCAATTCTCAAATGCGCTTTCCACCGGCCCTGTAGCAACCAACTCCTTTATCCGCGAAGCAAACACCACCCTGATCCTGCCTGAAACGAACAGTCCCCAAACCGGCAACCTCGCGCTGTGGCCTGGTATGGGCACGAGCGGCGGTGACCTGATTCAGGGTCTCGCGATCTCGGTTTCCGATGGCAGCGCCGGCTGCGAGAAGTCGTCTGGAAAGTGGTGCATTGTCGCGAGCACGCTTGAGGATACTCAGCAGATGGGCAAGTTTGTAACTGCTGATCCTGGCTCGTCTGTGACTTTCCATTGTGAGTTCCACCTTTTTGACCTACTTCGTTGGGATTCTTATGGATCATGTTGCTAATATACATTTCGTTCAGACAAGTACAACGACGGCACAGCCAAGTACGACCAAACCGTCTCCCTCGACGGCACAGTCGTCTCAACTTTGTCTACCGACAGCGGGAAAGCACAGGGCTGGGGCACAGCCGTTGAGTGCCAGCAGGCTGCTTGCGGTACGGTGCCGGCGCACAAATATGTCGACACGACGCTGATCATGGACGTGGCCGATCCGAACTACGAACAGACCAAGGGCGTGACTGGCGCGACTGGCGACTTGGTCACTGCGGATGGAGGCAAGACTTGGACTATCGAGACGATTAGCATTGAGTCGCACACTTATACTTAGATGCGGCCGGGAGGATTGCAGGTGGACACCATTTTTTCTTCCTCTGTATATATACTTCTATTGTACCAATTGATACTTTGGCAATCGGCGAGTGTCGGGGATAATTTCGCTTTCACGTAGGCGATGCAAAGACCAAACTCCGCCGTCGCATCATGTTGAGCCTAAGCACCTCTCCGATTGTGAGGCATTGTTTGCGATATCAACTGAGCCGAGTCATCGTGTGATGAAGCGGATGTTTTGCATGTGGCGTTTGCGGGGAAGCCGTATTTGGTACCGCACTACAGGCGTTGAGCCGAGGCAACTTCCTTCACCAAATCCTATGGGCAACACCAAACCCATACCTGAAGCCCGACACCAGAAACATTTTTGGTGAACATGTTGCAACAGTCCTTACGCGCTTCTTCGTCAACAGCAGGCTTCTTCCAAACCCTACCTGCCTTACCGCCGCAATACACATCACCGGACTCATTGTCTGCAAGGGGAGAGCCAGAATCTCCGCCACAAAACGCCACGGAAGCATCAGACGACAAAGTCCTCTGTCGCATCCTTGATCTATACCTGCCAAAAGATGCCAAAGCAGTAACGCAGCATGCCCACCGCATTGCTCGATTATCCCTCGATCCCGACGTTCTCGCCAACGCCACAGATGCAGAAACAAATCATCCCGTGCTACGTCCCCTAACAACATTCGGGGAAGAAAACAGAAATGACCCGCTTTGGACTACTGCAGGCTGGCGGAAGCTGAAAGACATTGGCTACGAAGAGGGCATCGTCGCCGTGGCGTACGACAAGTCGAACACCGCTTTCAACCGCCGAATTCACCAATTTGCCAATGTGTATCTCTGGGGTCCAACTGGGACTATGACTGGTTGTCCACAGAGTATGACGGATGGCGCTGCTGTATTGATGAGCAGGCACTTGCGAGATCCGGATGGGGACCAGCCGGGCCGCAGCCAGGTCTTTGAGGAGGTGTATCGTAGGCTGACAAGTCGGAATCACAAAGAAGCATGGACTAGTGGTCAAGTAAGATTCGTTTTGATACGCTGTGGAGCAAGATACTAAGGCTAACTAGTGGATGACGGAACGAACAGGGGGCAGTGATGTTTCTGGCACGGAGACAGTAGCAAACCGATTGACGCCAGAAGAGATCGAGCGAGAAATCTCAGAAGGCAGACAATCAGACGCTGTTGGTATGCCACTAGGAAACTGGAAGATTGACGGCTTCAAATGGTTTAGCAGCGCGACAGATTCAGAGATGAGTGTGCTGCTTGCCCGCACGGCCAAAGGTGGTCTGTCAGCGTTCTATATCCCAATGCGTCGACGCGTGAAGAGAAAAAGCCTGCTTCACGATGCCGCGCTCCCAACCGAGCTCAATGGCATTCGTATCCAGCGCCTGAAGAACAAGCTTGGCACCAAGTCTCTGCCGACCGCAGAACTCGAGCTCAAGGGTGCCCGCGGCTGGCTCGTAGGCACTGAAGGGCAAGGCGTGAAAGAGATATCAGCTATACTGAACATCACCCGTTTACACACAGCGGTGACCAGCGCAGCAAGCTGGGCACGCGGCCTCGCCATCTGCCGTGCTTACAGCAAGGTCCGCAAGGTTCGTGGCGGTCTGCTCGCGGACAACCCTGCGCATCTACGATGGATGGCAGACGAGACGGTCAAGTACTGGGCCGGTACGCATTTTGCCTTTCTAGGTGTCGCGTTGCAAGGCGCGCTGGACCAGGGCTGGGAAAATGCAGTGCAGAACACGAGGGCCTCCAAGCTGATACCACAAGATAAGGCACAGACTGCAGACCTCCTCCGTCTGGTTTTACCAGCTATGAAGGCGCAGATCAGTGTAGCGTCTGTGCATGGTCTGAGGAACTGCATGGAATGCCTAGGTGGCGTTGGATATTGCGAGAACAATGAAGATGGCGGATTGATGAACATCGCAAAGATTTATCGCGATCAGTTGGTCAATCCGATATGGGAGGGTACTGTCAGTGTCATGGCAGAAGATTGCGTACGTGTCATACTCGATAAAAGACTCGGAAATGGCGACGTAATGGCGAATGTTTTTGCGCCTTGGATCCGAGGCGTGATCGGAGCGATGGGTGCAGAATCGAATGTCGAAGTCGATGCCATTGAGCAGAGACTCAAGGACTTGCTTGGCCTAGTGCAGGGTGCCTCAAAGGAGGAACTTCTCTATCATGGGCGAGACATTCTTGATTCTGTTGAGTTCATCACAAGCAGTCTGGTTCTGCTGTACGATGCAAGGACAAGTCCCGACACGGCCGTGCTTGAAGTCGTCAGACGTTATATCCGCTCGAACTCAAATAAGGCGACTACTTGTTCCTCACGGGACGCATTGGCCAAAACGATGATTGAGGATAAAGCTATATTCCTAGGTTCGATGAGCGCGCACCAGGGGGTTTCTGCAAAGTTGTAGATAGCTTACTTACTCGACTGAGGAGAGGACTGTCAATGGTTATCATGCCTACTCCACCTGGTTTTGTTTCTTCACTCTTTTGACGGGCGCCGGCTTCCTCGAGGCTTCGACCGCATACGTCCACCTTCTTGCATTTTCGCCATCAACAAAACGTCTCACATGCTCTGGTACCTCCTTTACCCTATTGTACGGCCCGCCTACGGGCTCACCCAGCTTCTCGTAAACCGGGATAACGCCTGTCCATACAGAGTCTAACACGTCGTCTCTCTTCATGTCCTTCCTTTCGTCTTCTGGTACACCCTCGCGCACTTTTCCGCTTGCGCTCTCGATTCTCATCTTCAGAATTTGTGTGGACTGCATTTCTGCGTTGTCCGGCGGTACGCGACTGTTTTCATAACGCTCCGGAACGACGGAGTTAGTGACTAGCTGCATGGCCCATAGCTTCTCTTCGTCGCTGCTTACGACAGTACCATGCCCATGGAGGATTGCGGAGCGGTAGTTGTAGTTGTGCGTGTTGGGAGTCAGTGTCAAAACGAAACCGTCGACCTTGGTAGCTGCGACGCAGAGCGGGATCCCTGGAGGGGAGGCAGCCAAATTCATGAGACGACTGGATACATAGCCGTGCAAGTAACAATGGGATTCAGAGTCGCTTGGATAGTGTCCGATCTGGCCGATCATAGGAAGAACTACTGGCACTGGGACGGAAGTGTCCGGGACGAAGGAAACGTGCAGGACGGGCGTGCTGTTGACGATGGCATGGATTGTATCGACATCGTAAGTTGCTGCATCCTACCATCAGTCTCGGTTATAATTCGCAGCAACCACTATAGGCAGCTGACGAACCTTGATGTTTGTAGCGATTCACGGTGTTCGATTCATCTTTATGGTATGTTCCCGCCATGTTGCTGTGTCGACGAGTTATGCGTGGCTCGTTTCAACGGCGACTGCGATGCATATAAGCAATCCGACCCCAGCGTCTATCTCCGCGATTATCCATAGGCATGGAACAACGAACTTTGCAACACGGTAACAACCATGACAGTCGTCATGGGGTGCAGTTGATTAGGCCGAAATAAGAAAGTCCATGCGAGTTTGTCCTTGATGTGTCCTATCAACGCCTGGCTGGCACGCAAGGCAGCGATCGAGGTGTGAAGGCTGTAGAGCCGAAATGAAACTGGCGTAGAAGGGGGAAACGTGCGATGGGTGTACTGGCTGCCGATGACAGCTCTCGCCGAGGTACAGTGAGGCATACCTCAAGGACGGCATCTGATCGACCCTGTCAGAGAGCGCCTAGATCCTTGTCGCTTACCTTTTAGCTCTTTGCGAGACTGATATCAACTTGATCGACATAGTCTCTATCATAATTGTGTCACTGAAGAGTCTGGGCAAACTTCCAAGGTTGTGTGGCGCATTGCCCAGGTGTTGCAGGGAGCTAAGCTCGCGAACCAATCGGGCGCTCTGGACGTGTGATCACCGCCACCTTGGGGCCAAGCCACATCCAGTCGTTGATTCCTCTCCTGCAGTGTCAACTACCTTCAATTACGAAGACGGCCTATACATCGACACATAGCAAACAATGGTCGGTTTCCCGAACACTGAGATAGCGTAGCTTCCTCATATGTGCCTTTTCCATGAATCGCATGCAGTGGAGATCGTGCGGGACTCGGTGGAGAAGCATCGCGGGATGACTTCACTCCCAAGGCTCCAAGACGACCTAAATCGCTGAAGTAACCAAGTGCCTTCCAAAGGACTTCCAGAATCCTAGCCCAGGGATCACACGCAACTCGCGTGTCCATAGTATGCGATAAACCATACCGTTTACCTTGTATGGTAGTCAATCAGGCCGTATTGCGCGCTCAGTCATATACCAAGACCTCCAAGGACTAAGGTGGACTACCAGTAGCACGAGGCACATGGCGCCAATAAGTATAACGTATTGAATAGGAAACTCATCAAATTAAAGCGGTCATCCCTGGGCCTACTTCTGAGCGCAGCATTGGCACCCGGGTAACCGGCTTTAGGTGGCCTTGGTCCCCTTGAGGAACTCATCTATAACAAGTGGGGATTCTTCTGACTGACCACCAACCGACGATTGTTCATTTTTCCATCTCTTCGATCATCGTGATATGCGTCGTCGACAAAATGAAGGATTCAATGCGAACAGACGATCACATCCCAAACCATCTCCATGATGGGCCTGACGCAACGGACAACAAGTATGCTGGTTACGATGACCAAAAACATACAGGAGACTACTTTCCTCCTCCCGCTCATACCGACTACGACACTGATCATGGCATCGTGGAGGATCATTATGGCGGGAAAAAGCTGGGTATGATGCGAACGACGTTGATTTTCTTCACCAATCAAGTTGGTATCGGAATTTTGAGTCTACCTGGAATGCTGCACACCATCGGCCTCATCCCGGGCATCTTCACGATTATTATCCTGGGTGTCATCGCCACGTACACAGCGTACATATTGATCCAGTTCTATCGCCGGTATCCTTCAGTCAGAGACATTGTTGATTGCGCCAAGATCATGGGTGGCCTTCCGCTGCAGATCATAGTTGGCATTGCGAACGTGCTCAACCTATGTCTCATTTGTGCATCCGCCAATGTTACCCTGTCTATAGGTTTTAACACCATATCCGACCATGCACTCTGCACAGTCGGCTTCATTGGTCTGCCTATGGTCGCTTGTTGGCTCCTTTGTATGCCACGAACCATGAACTTTGCTGGATGGTTTGGTATCCCTGCTACTATCAGCATCCGTAAGTGTCACATTGCTCACTCTCGAACTGGGGAGGTTCGCTAAAATATCCAGTGGCTTCGGTATTCATTGTAGTCATTGCGCTCGCTGTCGATGGCCCTCACCGCGACACGACAGGCTACTTTGGAGAGCCGGCCAACGAGCCGATTGCGATGAGACTCGGTCCGAACCCTCTGGCCTCAATGAATATTCAATTCGAATCTGTCCTCAATGTCGCATTCGCATATGCTGGCAACCAGGCCTTCGTCACAGTCATGTGCGAGATGCGCAACCCGAGCAAAGACTTCACCCCAGCGATTGTATGGCTCAACGTAATCGCCATACCGTTGTATGTTATCATCGCCTGCGTAGTCTATCATCTGTCCGGACAGTATGTTGTAGCTCCAGCATTAGGCTCAGCACCCGGAGTGGCCTCCAAAGTGGCATACGGCATTCTCATCCCTACCATGCTTGGGTCCGGTTTAGTTTTCGGACATACAGGCATAAAATACATGTACAACGTTTTGATGGACTCTGTCATCAAGTCGAAGGCCAAGTTGACCGACAACACGTTTTTGACCTGGGGTGTATGGCTTGGATGCGGCACTGCGTTCTGGGTGACAGCTTTCATCTTCGCCAATGCCATTCCAGCCTTCAATTCAATTTTGGGAATCTCCTCCGCATTATTCGTTACTTGGTAAGCCGACATGTCCGAAAGAAAAACATGCCTGATCCCGCTGATACCGTCTAGGTTCACCTTCGGTCTCGCCAATGCTCAGTGGATCTTCTTGAACTGGGGTCAGCAGTTCTCTACTTGGCGGAAAGCGCTGCTTTCCATTTTCAATTGGTTCCTCTTTTTTGCGTCCGCTTTCTTGACCGTTTTCGGCCTTTACACTTCCATCTCGGATTTGAATGGCAGAGTGAAAGATCCGAACGACCCGTTGGACGTCTTTACTTGCACCGATAACTCGCTATTTTAGACAGGACTGCACGGTTCGTGGAGTAAGACTTGCGGACATAGCGGTTTTATGGTTTACTTCAAAGCACCACTCTGTAAGCTTTGATACTAGTGTGTGTAGTTGCTTGCCTTCAATTGCAATCGTAGCTCTCTTCATGAACAACGTACGAGAGACCAATCTTGGATCTCCTGGGGCATTATTCGTCCCTGTCCTTTACATAGCTGGATTGTCTACGAGAAATCAGTAGCAGGATGCTGTACTTAGGCAAAGCTCGGACGACGTCTTTATCATCTCTTCTCGCAAGTGTGCAGCGTTGCTAGATAACCTTTTTTCTCATAGTAAGATGGAAGTCTTGAGACACGAGCCCAGTACGACACGGTTATTGGTCGTGCACATTGCATAGTGAAACTTTAAAGAGGTACACGAACACCGATCAGCTCCCATTCTGCTCATGGTGCCCGCCACAATACCACAGTTTCGGCCTCGTGAGCGTCGAGGTCCCAATTTAGTATCTCAACACATGCAGTTGGGATACAAGAGATCGAAAAATTTACCGCTACACCAGATCACAACGCTGCACGAGGCTGGTAACACAAGAATAGCATGTCTTTGAATAGAATGGAAGACGTCACAGAGAAAAGTTATCGGCGTGAGTTAGGGAAAGTGCTTGCATTCCACAAAATGCTTGTATTTGTCAGCGGCGAGCTACACATACCGATAATCAAGATAAGGGATGCTTGGGGGTTTCTCAATGAGTGATGGTTGGGTAAAAAAGGCGCGAGATGTGATTACATCAACAGAGTCGGAGGTGGCGCCTTAATCAGGCTACTGATAGGTAATGCAAATAAAGGCTGTGTTAGGAACCGGCCACATGGATTCCAGAGTCAAAGCTGCATTTTCGAGTCTGATGTCTCCGTGCCTATTCAAAAATTCGGCCGTAGGCTAGCAGGGGAACCGGCCTTCTGAGCGAAAGGTAGCGGTCGTGTGTGTATGGCGGTCGATGTTTAGGATTGTAGGTCCTCCGGATTAGGGAGGTGAAATACAGAGAGGACACCCCGGGCACCGGCCTGGAACCCATCCTTTATTGTTGCAAAGAGGACATGGCGGCTTCCGGTTATTGGGACTAATCGTCTGTCAGAGTGGTGTCCCGTTACGATCATTGAACAATTTGAATTGAGATGTATGGCCACAGGTCCAGAGAGCAATAACGTCCAAACATGATAAATTACTTGATGAACGTATTTAAAAAAAAATAAGAAGCTTCTTACGGGTGCCCCTTGCACTCTGGACAGGTTTTGGCGTGTACAAGGATCGAAGACGGAGATTGACGAGACCCGCTCTGGGGCGATGTCTGTTGGCTGGTAGTGGATGCCGCAGCAGGCATTTCTTTTGCAACCGATCGTAGCTAAGAGGCTTGTTTGACAGATGGGGACAGTTGCGTGGGGCAATTTGTAGCTTGACAACGAGTTCGCACACAAACAACGCTGAGGTTGCTGAGTTTATATACTACAGTTCCAACGAAGTGCTCGTCTCCAGTTCTTGGCGCCACTTACGTTCCGTACTCGTTCAACTGTTTGCCGACAAGCGTAAGGACGTCAAATAAGACGTCCAATTTGTTAACTTCGCTGACCATCACATGGCTACACCACGATCAGAGCACAAGTGAGGTCCTTCGATGTTGTGCACTGACTCCCGGTGGACGCTCACGCAGTGTCACCATGTCCTACGTCTTTGGGCAGTTCTTCGGCATGGTAGAAATTCGCGAGTAAGGAGGCCAATCAGTTATAACAACAGCTGTAGTCCATGGCCGACGAGAATACGTGCAGTTTCACGATGCTTATCCTTCGTTTTTCGTCGCCTGTTGCCTCGGTGCATCCATCAGGTCGCTGGGCATGAATTGTAACCTTCTGAAACGAGTGCACTGCAGCAGTACTCGGAAAGTTAGGGTGTATCGAAACTCTCAGAAACTAGCCCTTCTTGGAAACGTGTGCGTCGATTGGAACGAGGGAGACCGCTTCGAGATGTAAATGCAGAGGAGGATGTTCTTTGCTCTAAAGCCCTGCATCATTTGACATTATCGACTGTCAGACAGCGGCTGTTCACATAGTTAATCGATGTCAGTCTTCTCAAAAAGCTCTTAGCACGGAAACCTTCGAGGAGCGATCGTACCTATCAGATATTCAAACTATGAATCCCAATAACCAGGAACGAGAACTCAAGGTGTGACATAGTGGCAGTCTCGACCGCTCATAGCCCTGACAATGCCCAGCAAGTAGGAGAGTGTACCCATTCATAAAAAGTTTCGCGAGACTTGTACTGCGCAGGACCTCAAACACCGTCAGCGTGGCTCCGAATTGACGAATCATTGTACACAAATTGCCGGTCTCGTAACACTACCGGAGACCTGGTGTGAGACATGCAGATCTTTGATAATGAACCAAAAGAAAGCATTGAGGTGTAGTGGACATGCATTGGAGCCCAATGTAAATAAGCTTCTCTTTCTGAAGCAATTAGACTACTGCCTCCTGCATGAGTCTTAATATGGACGCGTAAAGGGTGGCTGAGCGGGGTATCAGCGTGCGACACGAAAACTCTGAATAACCGTCAAAGAATACTTACCCATATACAGAACATATGAACAGCGAGCCACGTATAATGGACCCACGATATCGTCACCAGCCTCCATTTCACCGTCACTGTCGTCAGCTAGTCTCTGGCGTGACAATTTCTTGCGGGCGCCATGACAGAGGTGTGACCGTGGCGTCACCTAATAAGGTTTTTAGTGATTTTGCTGGCTCGATGATTTTTCAATGGACGTGAAAAAAGTAACTGATTTGTGCAATACGTGGTACGTATAGCGGACCACTGAGCTGGAACAAAGAAGGCTCGTAACTATGCATTGCACACGGGAGTAGTTTCATATCAGCCCTCAGAGGTAGACATGGTTAATTCATCGAAGTCGCATTTGGGGTTAAAGTGTGGTATTCTGATGCCGCGCTTTGATCGGAGAGTTGAGCGACTTGCACCCCTGTGACGATTACTTGGACAAGGCTCAGCGACCTTGTGGAAGGTGATACACAAGCGCACATGGAATGGTACGGTCAGGAACAAGGTAAGAGCAGCTGTGCCAGCCAAGACGGTAGCATTATCCAAAATCACTGCTGCGGTACACGGGAACGTTCCTGCGAACGGCGTGCTATTGACGTAGCCACCCTTGTCCGGTACCATCGTTGGGCTCGAAGGTCGCGAGTGGGATGTTTTATGTGTTACATACAATCTACCAGATGAGCTAAGAAAAACTTATTAGAATTGTAAATCAATGCCTGGGTTCGTCTTACTGTAAGCAAAGTGGGTATGTTTAGGCCGAATTATGCGCGTTATATGTGCTAGAATTGGGTAGTCCAATACGCTATTCTGGTCGAAGGGCTCAGGCGGATGACAGAAGCACACTGATACTAACCATTGCCTCCAAATAATCTTCTCACTCCGTGCTGCCCAAGCAATGGATTCCTGCCTTCCTCCTTCTAGCTGCATCCTTCGTAAGAAAGCCGTATTTCTGTGGTGTAGCTTCATAGGATTCGAGTGTTAGGGTTGCTTGGCTAGTAAATACCGCGATGAGCTCTTTTATCTTGATTTCATTCATTGTAGTGGAAAAGATATGTTCAAAGCGATGTATGCGGAAGCAGTTGCCGTAAATAGGTTCGTGGTTGTTTGGTATAGAAATTAGCGCACGATGACGTAAGTGGCGTTTTCGCCAGGAGGCCCGCCTGCCAATTTCCCATCGGCGCTGCGCGTTGCTCCTATGCAGATTAACATTAGCACCGTCTATCATGAGACAACGATAGTCAAACTATGATCGGAATCGCCGCGTTGCGGCACGTCTGCAGACCTCGCGCTCTCCACCTCCTTTCACCACGACAAGCATGGCAGCCATGCGCCACCAGGTCCTTTTTTGGCCTGGGCGAACTCGCTGGTGTCATCGCAAACCCAGCAGAGACGCTCCGCCAACTTAAAGAGTCCCAAGAAATGCTCAGGAAAGCGAAGGAGGACATGGAGCTCGCCCGGGAGGCGAAGAAGATCCCCAAAAAGCACACCTTCTCTAAACTCCCAGGCTTTCATGGTCGCAAAGCTGAGCAGGCATTACTGCGCAAGATATTGACGACCCAGCCGAAGATGACAACAATCTTCGGTGCGACATCTGTGGGAAAGACGGCGTTGCTTAGAGAAGTGCTAGCGACCGATGACTACTTCGTTGTAAAATTTGATCTAAGAATCTCTGGTTTTGCGGATCTTCGGACGTTGTATCTGGCTTTGTGCGAACAGTTCCAAACGTTCTTCAATGAGGCGAGCACGGTCAGGCACACGTACCAGACTACTGCTAATCAACTCTAGATGCGAGACGAAGAGATGGGCAAGCAGGCGTTGACCTTCAAACATCTCGTGCTTGCGTTGAATGAGAAAGAAAGTGCCGAAGGCGGGTATACGGTCACTGTCGCTGACCTCGCCAGCCTAATGGAAAGCTTGCAAAGCGCGCTCTTACAGTACTGGGAATACGACCCAACAGCCACACCTTCTGACAAAGACGGCAATTCCGAAGATCCTTACGTGAAGAAAAAGCCAGCTGACCGTAGAGTGCTGTCTGCGGATGAGCTGACCGCGCTCAATGCCGAATCACAATCAGACAGCCCTATATTCAGAAAACGGCCAATTGTGTTCTTACTCGATGAAGCGCACAAGCTCCCAGCTCTTGTCGATGACCAACTGTCATTAAAAGTCTTCCTCGACACACTCTTAGTCTTGACCAAACAGGACAGACTTTGCCATGTGCTTTTCTGCACCTCCGATCCCTTCTTTCAGCATTTCCTACGCTCAATGAATGTCGGTCATCACTCTCAGATCGTCACTATTGGGGACTGCAGTCGCGAAGAGACTTTGTCGTACTTTCTGGACCAAATGTTGCGGTCTGTCCCACCACATCTGGCTTCAAAGCTTACGACGAGTTTCGAGGAGATTTGGGACGCTTTTGGCGGAAAACTCAGCCACATCAACGACTATGTTGCTTCATGGGTTCAAGCAGAAGGGAACTTGACGCCCTACCAATCCGCTATATTCATCCAAGCATATACACTACTCCAGCTCCACCTGACACAAGCGAATTTTGAGACTTTCTCTCCACTCTCCACCGCCACAGTGGGTACAGATACGAGCGAGGATACTGCGTGTTTCAAGCCATCAGACCTCCTACAGGTCATGCGCAAGCTTACGCAACCGCCGTACAGTATACCCTACTTTACGCTTTGTCGGATGATTGGCACCGCACAGGTTGATAGTATGATCAAGACACGTGTTTTAGAGGTGCGGTGGACGAGAACGGTAACGCCAGAGGAGGGCTGGGTGGAGAGGCAATGGAGCGAAGATGGCATTGAAAGACCGGTGCTTTTGCCGATGACGAGGATTATTAGAAAAGCCATGGAAGTGGTATTGAGGGAGGAGCAGCAGCTAAAGCATGCGAGTCAAGAAGAATCAAAGGGCGAAGGCAAGACTGCTTAAAGGCCCAACGACATTCTATTGCTGTTGCAGATACGAAAGGCGCAAGATCTGGCCCATAGGCTTTCTCAGGTATCTATTTGCTTTTTCACTTCCTATATAATTTGCTCGATAACTCCCATTTGCGAGTATCGAGCGATAGTACGCAGTTGGCCGACAGAAAGATTGGGACGTTTAGAGCTGTGAAAACCCCGAATAAACTATACCACAACAGTTCTATAACCATAACCTACAGTTAGTTCCTACAGGATAACTTACAAGAAATGCTCCTAGAGTCCAACATTGGTGTCAGCCGCTGTGATACATATTTTCTTATTCTGTGCGGTTCATGTTAATTCTTCACAACGAGCTATAAGTTTCCAAGACTCTGTCGCTTCACGCTAAAGCAATATGCACATTGGGATGCGACGACGCACCGGAGATCAACTCACTGCATTATTGCAGATCAGCACATGCAGTGACCATTACGCGCGAATGGAGGAGAGATGCGGGTATTGACAGACGCCGCGGCGCCTCTCTAACAGCAGTGACGAATCAGAACGTCACACATGCGTTAGTCATCGTGAGCTTGGCGTCATCGACACGGTTATCTCCAGGTCGAGCAAGTTTATCTCAGACCTGTATCACCATCTCCTAGGCAGCTCTGATTCCTTTAGATTCTCCAGCTCTTTTTATCACATCCGCAACTGCACGTCGCCAAGAATGGATTGCATCCCTGTGCCAATTGTTTGCTTTCAATGCGGGACGGATCAAAATCCCTGCCATTGCAAGGTTGTTGGGCCTACGATTGGATTCCTGGTGACTGTTGGCATGGCGGTGCGTATATACCCGTTCCCGTTCTCAGTCTTCGCGGGAACGCACAGGCCCTTATTAGTGGTGATGGGGCTGATACTATCCAGATCGTTTGTTGGCCAGCAAGCCTTCTCTGCTGTTGCTGCGCGACTGACACGGGAAAAAAGTGGGGTGCCGATCGAGAGACACAGAATTGCGCTGACAGTGACAAGGGTTCTGGCGTTGCCGGTGGACACGGGGAATTCCATCTCTAATGCCATCCCGATATGACAAAGTGAGAACTCAGCGCGCGAACGGAGCCTGCAAGAGACGACGGGAGCAGGGAAGCTAAGAGCATTCGATTATCGGAGGGCAAGATCCCCTGCTCTAACAATTTAATCTACTAATTTTCTTTTCCTGTTTAAGGCACTCGATGTGTCTTGGTTCAATCACCAGAGGCCGATCAACTTGGCACGTGATCACGCTGTGAGGTCCCGTCCAATGTTCGGAAGTTCTTTGGCTTTCTGGTATCGCCGCGCGCTCGCACTTGTTTCACTCAGTTACTGCTCACCAGCAGGGTCGAAAAGGCCACACTGGCACCGTCTGGCTCTTGCTTTCTTTGACCGTTTCCCATTTCCAGGTTTACGTTCTCTGTATGCGTCTCTCACTCTATGGCAACAATTTCTCGATATCAACCGGCGGGACCCTTAGTAGCGAAGGTTGAAGTGCAGTTGGCAGCGCGTTCGAGGATCACGTAAAGTGAGTCGCGCTTTTTATCTGTTTCCCCAGAAACCAGCCACCCACGCAGTCCACCTACCCTTCACCTCGTCACGCCCAGAGCAGCAGCTTTATTGGCCATGAGCAGCTGCTACGAAATGCCGCCTTCTCTACCAAACTCAACACAGCCATTTCCTAGCTTGTTATTATCCTGGGTACCCGAACCGGAACCGATCCAGATGGCGTCGCAGCCACCTGGCTTGTGTTCCTATGACAGTGACGAGAAGCTTTTTTTCGCCTCGTCTCACCCGACATCACCGAGAGCCAGCGACTACTACCCCTTCTCCTTGCAAGACGAATCGTTTGACTATGACGTAGGTGAAGCGAAGCTGCGCGAATCGGAAAGCAAGGTCATAGAGGCCATGGGGGCCACGGAAAAAGGCGCCACGGAAGAGGAGGTTATGGAAGAAGACCTTCGGGGTCATCCTCATGTTGCAACTTGCAGTCGCTTCGAGCATAACCCCAAATCTCAAACATGTTACGAATACGATGACGACTTGTCATGGCAAGAAGGCCTGAAGATTATTGATGAATTCGACTGGGGACAACTTGTGCCGCAGGGTCCGCAAAACCAAGACGAGGGAGTTGTCGAAGCTTCGCAGACCTCGGAAAGCGGATCCCAGGTCGCCCCGCACAGCATTCCGCTCAACGTCGACCGCATGGAGACTGAGCCCACTTCCGATGGTGTAGTCTTATGCTCAATGCCAGACATCGTTGCGAGGACACCTGGGTCTTGCTTATCACCTCTGTATTGTGGTGAATTATCCCAACCGCCATTAACGCCGCCACCACAGCGGAAATCCTCTGAACACCCACAAGCCAGCTCATCGCCTTGGACTGGGAGCCCGCCATCGAAGGCCATCTTGGTTCCAGGCACTATCGTGTCAACCACGCCGTACCACGTTGCTGAGTCTTATGACTCTACTGGGTTGCTGTTGGCATCTTGTGCACCGCTTAGCGATGCGGCTGAACCAGACTCAATGTCGCCGGACAGGATTATCGTCGATAAGATACATAATGCCGAGGGCATACAAGAGGCGGTTTGGGGAGGCCAAGAACCTCTTGCACAGGTATGCATCGCCTGATTTTCGTCAAAGCTGAGAGCTGGCTCACGGTGCATCAACATTGTTGTGATTTGTGAATCATTACTAAGGCTCATTAGTTCGTCGCTACGAGGAAAAAAGGTACCGGATCTCCGGCCGACGGTGACCCCCTCGAAGGGGCACAAGCTCACTTAAGCTTTGACGAGGCCGAGGAAACCGAATCTACCAGTTGGGACAGTCTCTTTGATGGTGACGATGTCGAGGCCGCTGTACAAGACCAACAGCCAGATGATCCACAGACAGACGTAGTCTGCCCAGTCCCTGGAACAGTGGGACATGCAGACATACCCAGCCAAGACTCGCCACTGTGTGCATGTAGCATTGTCGATCGAAGCAGCGAACCCGTCGCAGATGGTGCATCGAATCAACCGTCATCCTTGTCAGAAGATGACATTGCGGCCCGGATACTGGAGCAACTCAACATGGAGGAACAAGAGAGTCTGTTCCCAATATCGTTAGAGGAGCATGTTAAAGACGTCTCAACTGCTGTCGAAGCCTTGCTCCTGCTATCTAATGGGGCAAACTCCATGACGGGACCAGATCAAGAACGGCCCCTGGAGGACAAAAGGGTTGAAACTACTGCAATGGATGGTCAAAACAGCGAAGGAGGCGTGGATTTCGAAGGCAGCTCCCGTCCTGCTTCACAGGCTGTGTCCCCGACACTAAAATCACATGACCAGCCCCCCACCGGCGATAATGTCACAAACGAACAGTCGCCCCAGTCAAACGACATGGTGCAAAGGCAATCCTCCGAGGTAAAACTCACCGAGGATACGCTCCATGTTCACGAGGATGATGCAACTGCGGAACCTGAGATGGTTGCCACACCGAGTGAGCAAATCGCCGTTGCGCCCCTACTGAATATTGAAGCCCACCCTACGCCATTTAAAATGAAAATTGATAAGTACTACTGGAACGCAGCGTCTCTCATATCGCGCAACAGCGCCAAAGAAGACACAAACACCGTTGATGGTATCCCGGTAGCACCTGCATCAACACCAAGAGACGCAGAAGACGAGCCACCCGAAATTAACTCTTCGTTGGTTCTCCAAGAATCTATTGCAGGTGCCGACGAAGATGTCGGTCGTGAAGGTGTGGAGGTGTCCGACGAGCCTTCCCTGCCCATCGTACGTGAGGAAGGCGCCCTCTCAGATAGAGAGGAAGTTACGCCTCAGCCTTTGCTGCCCGGTTTGGAAGAGCATGCCGCTGCCGCCGCATCGCCTACTACAATCGCACCATCAAGTCCGGTCATGGAGCCGCAGGACCAGAATTCGCCGTGGCTAGCGACAGTGCTGGAGCAAGAGCTCGAATTGCCGCCATCCCCATACGAAGCAGAACCAGGCACAGATGGATTTCCTGCTGAGATTCAGGTCCCGGATATTGCTCCTTCAGGGACTGCGAAAGCACCACTCAAGGACGATCCGGATGCTGAGCCCATAGAAGCGCAGCTCCCTGTGCCGAAGCAGGACACACCACACCACGCGCCCAAATTTCCTCTTCCTTCCTTAAAGGGTCCTGGGAAGTTGCCATCGCCTGTTATGTCTTCAACATCTGATCTCGATGAGCCGTACCAGACCGATAATACAGAGCCAAAACCCGCGAGGATCGTCCCAGGGAAACGTGTGCATCCCGCAACATTCAAGGAGACGAAAGCCGACACTGATGCCACCGCACAATACAAGGCGAAGAGAGAATCAGAATCCGAGTACGAAGCTCCCGCCAGAAAGAAGTCTAAGAAGAGAGGGGTTACGGTACTGAGCTTACAAGCACCGGCCGTGGCATCGCGTAGCAAAGGTAATGCTAAGCACGCAGCGCCGCCCAATGGTCAATGCGGAAAGAAAGCAATGGAGTCAGCGGGAGATGAGAAGATCGTGGAGCGGGAATACACTGAGATGGAGGAGCAAGAGCAGGAGGTAAATAGCGCGCGTTCCGGCCTATCTCCACACTGAACTGACTTTCGTATAGTCGGATGATCCTTCCACTCCCGCCTCAACCCGCGATCCCCCGACCCAAACCCCAGTTTCCGACCCTCCTCACCGCTACTGGGCCCTCGAAACTACTTATGGTAAGAGAGTGACACGCGGGGACGTAAAAACGGGAAGAGAAGGACTATTCGCTAACGCGATCCCCGTGCAAGGCGCCGTCCAATCTCGCCATGACGAAGAAATGCTCGTGGACTTCGACTCCGACGCAGCGACGGGTAACACCAGATCTGCGCCAAAGACCGAAGGCAGCGGCAAGACGAGGAAAGCAGGACCCGCAAAGACACCAGCTACTCCGAAACCTGCCGCACCCAGGGTTCCGCCGCGCTCAATGCGCTCCAGACCCGCCGCCGCACTCTCCAGCGACAGCACGCCAGACGCGGGCTCGCAGCGCAATAAGTACGGCTTCAAGGCGCCGACGGGACGCAAGCGGAAGTCCAGCAAGACTGACGCTGACGTCGTCGATGAATTAGCTCCTCCGCAGCGACAGACGCGCATGGCGTCTGCGGCGCAGGGGGAGCGCGAGCGGCAGGCAGAGATTGAGCGGAATGTGGCGAAGCGGACGCGGGGAGCGAGGAAAAGTGCAAGTTAGGTTGGGAAGGAGAGACGGGCTTGAGGGCAAAAAAGGGGCTATGGTGGGTTTTGACGTTGTGGATTTGGATGACGAGATGGTATAGGGGTTTGGATGGAGGAATGAGTTTGGACATGTCTAGGCGCTTGGGCTTGTGCATTTTTGGCGTTCTATACCCCCACTATTCTGGGTCTTGGTTTTGGATGGCGCAATGAGAAGGGGAAGTGGCGGGGGTTCGTTGCATACTTTGACGGCCAAATGTCATGACAGAATTGGCGGGGGACATGGTGACGTGTTTCTCAATTGGCAAGGACCCGCCTCGTCAGTGACTATTCCACTCCACACAGCACCTGCTCACATCTTGCTACTCACCTGCCCCTGTCCATTCTCTAGCAGCCCGCATATCCACTCCGCCGACTTCTCCACCATAGCCGCGGGAAACGCATGTCCAACGCCCTCAAACAGCACATCCTCGAACCCGATATCCAGCCCCGGCTCCTCCTCCAGCGCGCGCTTGAACGCGCCTAGAAACGCCTCGCCCGCTGCATACGGCACCAGTTTGTCAATCTTCCCGCTGAGGTTGAGTATACGTTTCCCCTGCAGCCGCTCCCGCAGCAGCACCTTCATCCTGTCCGTCGCGGGCTTGCCGACGTCGGGGTCCGCGCCGGCGGGATTGAAGTGCCCCGGCAGCAGGAGCCCCGCCGGGTCGTACTGCGCGACGGCGTCTTGGAGTGCACGTGGGAAGTCTGGGCTGCCCAGGAAGGCGGCGCCCGGGGGTGTGCTCGCGGTGTACGAGTCGAGCTTGGACAGGCGTGCGCGGTCGACCATGAGGCGCGTGTAGTCGGGGCAGCCGATGCCGACGACGGCGGCGGTGATGCGGGGCTCGGCGAGGACGCAGTGCCAGGCGGCGTGACCGCCGAGGGAGATGCCGAGGACGAAGTGCTGGGTGATCTGCGGGGAGGACGGGGACGTGAAGATGTACGAGGCAAGGTGGTCCATGATCTGGGAGGTGTCGGCCGCGGTGCCGTGGATGCAGCCGAACATGTCCTGAGCGTGGCGCGGGTTGCCCTGCCGCCAGGCCTCGTTGTGCAGCGGGTCGATGAGCCTGGTGCCGTGGTTGCGCTGGTCGAAGGACACGGCGATGAGGCCGGTGGGGCTCTTGCCGGCGCGTCCGGCGTGGATGCGTGCGTTCCAGGCGGAGAGTATGGCCGTGGCGATGGGAGCCATGGTTTTGGCAGTCTGCAGGCGCGGGTGGAGGAGCCAGAGGCAGGCGACGGTGGAGGTGGCGGGCGGGAGCTCGGTGAGGCCATGGACGGTGGTGCGGATGCCGGCGATGGTGTATGTCTGGGTAGAGACGGGAGGCTGGTCGGCGGTGTGGCCCTCGAGGGGGTTGTTCGTTGCTGCCATCGTGGACTTGTGTCAATGCCGGGTGCTGTGATGGTAAGTCTGGAGGCTAGTCGGGCGAGATCAAGTCGAGCTATCAATGATGGTGGGGTCAAGGTTGAAGTGGGCCGAGGCTCGCAGCCGGTACCTCAGCCATCGCCGTGCTGCTACGGTGGGTGGGTTAGAGGTCTTTGGACCCCGGACCGCGTCGTGCTGCTATGCATTGCAGCGGTCATGGCGGCGGGTGACTGTGCGCTGCGCTGCTCGACGTGGTGTTGCACTGGGCGGTGTCTGGTCGGTGATGCTGATGCGCGACCGCACTCAGGGGGTGCTGATGCGCAGCGGAGCCGGTGCTATCACAGTGCGACGGGCGATGGCAGGGAAAGCGTAGTGATGGCGGCGACGCAGGCTGTCTGGTGGCCGTACGGGCACTGCTACTGCCAGCGCTGGACCAGGCGATCAGTTGGCGCGTCGACCGTTGGAGAGCGAGGACGACACTCCCGCGGCAGTCCGCAGCGCTAGTCCTAGGGCGGGGACGCTGGCCCATCCCATGCTGGCGGGCGTGCAGGGGTTGTTGATCCATGGTGAGATTGCATGGGGGTTGCTCGCGCACATTTCAAACACCTCTCAAGACGCGTCGCTCAGCAGGAGAAGTCGTCTGCCAAAGGTAACCTGACCAGGCTTGGTCTCCCTGCATTCCTAGTCTCTGCGCGCATCCGTATACAGAACCACAGTGCGTTGGCAGCCGTACCGCTTAACGTACGCGAGTACCAAGGAATCTCCCCTCTCCGCGACTCTGTGGCTGACCCCGTCCTTCCATGCGCATAGATGCTGTGCCTCTGTATCTAGAGCGTTTCCCTTTGCTCCGCCGCCGAAATGGGTGACACACCCGAGTCTGGCATCTCTCCGCTAGGCACCACTCCGCGCTCCAGCTCGCCCGCAAGGATAGACGGCAGCTCTGCGAACAACAAGTCGACTCTATCGACCGACGCCGCACGCTCGCGCTTCCCGATACGAGGCTCTTCCCTACGAAACCCCATCCCCGCGAACGAGCCCAAATCGACGTCGGCACCGAGCCCTAACGGTGCCCCCGTCATAACGCGATCTGCCCCTACCGGCGAACCGCTTTCTGCGTCGGAACCAGACGAATTCCCCTTCAACACGGGTACAGGCGCGCATAAGCAGCTACCCACGAACGAGCTTGTCGATCGCGATTCGCACGGCAAGGAGGCCCAATCTCCGGCCCGCCACGTCAATGGCTCCCCGAGCGTGCCTCAACATGCGTTTGTCCCGATATCGAGACGAGGAACGGGCGAAGGCGATGAATCCGATGCCGCGCCGAAAGGCCGTCGGAGCGTGCAGTTCGCCCGGAACACCACCTTCAACGACGAGCAGCAGAACGCGCAGCAAAATGCGCACTCGCGGCAGCAGTCGTGGGAGGGAGACGATGTGGATGGAAAGGGCAAAGAGCGGGAGCGCCAGGGGTCTTCCCTCATGACCAAGCTGAAGGCATTGGCTGCAAACCCCATGGGCCTCCAGGGCCACGGGCGAAGCCTGAGCGGGTTTGCTGGCGCCGGCCCCATGAACGAGCACTCGCCTCGCGGCCAGCTTTCACCGGCGTCCGAGAGGGACGAGTTCCGCTTCGATGGACACGACAGCGAGGCCGATGCTGATGCTGAGGAAAGCGCGGGTGAAGGCCCTTCACGTCCGGCCAGAAGGAGAAGGAAGAGCCGGCGCTGGTTTGACGACGGCGCAGAAGGCCCGCAGACTGCACCCACGACGCCTCGACACACCGGCTTTCCCTCTCGCGACCGCGATTCGCCCAACATCACGCCCACCGCAAGCAATGTACACCGGCCAACATTCATGCGCCGCGGTACCATGAGCGACATCCCCGAGCACAGACAGGGCGTCTCAGAAGATGAAGGACGCGATCGCTTGGCCAAGGAAAATGCTTGGACGCGAGGGCTGCACAGTGCCCGGGGACTTTCATACGGTGGCCTCCGCCGCCACGACGCTGATGGAGACGAAGGTGAAAGACGCCCGAGCCACTTGCGCAGGCTCACAGCGTTCGGCGGCAGCAGCAACGAGGGGCCCCAGGCATCGCCTTGGCGACTGCGCAGCGAACGTACGTCCAGTCTGAGCGCTCAAAAATGGAAGCAGATCAAGAATAGTCTTCGCGTATTTGCCAAGAGCACAAAGGCAATCGACCGCCAGGTTGACCACGCCAAATCCGCTGAGCTCATGGCCGAGCTCTTGGCTGGCGCGCCTGCTGCTTTGTTTCTTGCAAGCATGTTCCAGCGCGACGAACATGACAGGAAGCGCGTGCCTATCCTGCTAGAGCAGTTGAAGGTCTCCATCACCGACTCGGAACAGCTGGAAACCAAGGACGGCAAGGAGGTCAAGGAAGAAAATCGCCACATCAACCTTAGGATCGAATTGGAATACGGAAGTGGTCTCACCCGCATGAAGTGGGTCATCAAGCGCTCAGTTAGGGACTTTGCCAACTTGCATCTGAAATTCAAACTCCAAGAAAAACAAAATTCGTTCCTAAACCGAGACCAGAAGAAAAAGGACTCGAAGAAAGAAATCAGCGCTAAAGGCAAGGAGAAGTCTGAGGAGAGGGATGCTGACAAAGATGACCGCACCCCGAAGCTTCCACGGTTCCCCCGCAGTGCAATTCCATACCTACGCGGGTGGCGAGGCTACAGTGTCTTGAACGAAGAGGATGAAGAGGAGGACAAGGACGAAGAAGAGGCTGAGGGGAACGAAACGGACCGCCCTGGTAAACCGAGCCGACTCAAGTCTAGCCTCGGGCTTGGGCGTCGCAAATCCAGCATTGGGAGTCCCGAGCATGGTGGCAGCTTTATCGGACAGTTGGCAGTTAGACAAGGCAGTTTCGCTGGTGCTATCGGGGTACCACAGCACAACAAACAGCACGCATATCAGGAGAGGCAAAGAAAGAAGCTGGAAAGATACCTGCAGAAACTCATCACTTACCTCATCTTCCGACCGGAGAGCAATCGGTTATGCAAATTTCTTGAGCTGTCCGCTCTGGGTGTGCGGTTGGCTGCCGAAGGCGGCTATCACGGAAAGGAGGGTCTTATGATGATCCAGTCTTCCAAAGGCGTCGATGCTAGAAAGAAGTGGACTCCGTCTCCTTTTGTGGCGCGACACTCCCCGAAGTGGTTCCTCGTGCGACATAGCTACGTTGTCTGCGTGGACTCACCAGAAGAGATGAACGTGTATGATGTGTTCCTTGTGGACTCAGACTTCACTATCGATGACAAAGGAAGGAGTCTGCGGGACAAGAAGGCTCGGGACATTGCCAGTGAAGCGAAAGCATCAGCAACCGGACACCACCTTCTGCGGCTGAGAAACTCGGAGCGTAAGATGAAACTGCTGGCCAGGAACGAGAGGCAACTCAAGCAGTTTGAGGATTCTATCCGATTCATGGCAACCAACACCGAGTGGAACAACCCGCATCGATTCCAGAGTTTTGCTCCTGTCCGAAAGGGAATCTATGCGCAGTGGCTGGTCGACGGCCGCGACTACATGTGGAATGTCTCCCGTGCTATAAGTATGGCTAAGGACGTTATTTATATCCACGACTGGTGGTTAAGCCCGGAACTTTACATGCGACGGCCGCCTGCCATTAGTCAGAAATGGAGACTGGATCGTCTGTTACAACGCAAAGCGCAAGAAGGTGTCAAGGTGTTTGTCATCATGTATCGCAACATCAACACGGCCATTCCCATCGACTCTGAATACTCAAAGTATTCGTTGTTAGACCTGCATCCAAACATCTTTGTCCAACGTTCACCAAACCAGATTCGACAAAATACTTTCTTCTGGGCGCATCACGAGAAGATCTGCGTCGTTGACCACACCATCGCCTTCTGTGGTGGCGTCGACCTCTGCTTTGGCAGATGGGATACACCCCAGCATGTGGTGACCGACGATAAGCTGACCGGGTTTGAATTGGACGATAACCCTAAAGATGCCGACCATTGCCAGCTCTGGCCTGGAAAGGACTACTCAAACCCTCGTGTCCAGGACTTCTTCGAATTAGACAAGCCCTACGGGGAGATGTACGATCGAAGCAAAGTCCCACGAATGCCATGGCACGACATTGGTATGCAAATTGTTGGCCAACCGGCTCGGGATCTGACTCGCCATTTCGTTCAACGTTGGAACTACTTGCTGAGACAACGGAAGCCCTCCCGCCCGACTCCGTTTTTACTTCCACCACCAGACTTTGATCCTGCTGACATCAAGGCTCTTGGTCTTGATGGGACATGTGAAGTGCAGATCCTTCGCTCAGCCACATCTTGGTCGCTCGGCACGCCTAACAAAACTGAGCACAGTATAATGAATGCGTATGTCCAAATGATATCGACTTCGGAACACTTCGTCTATATCGAGAACCAGTTCTACATCAGCAGCTCCGAGGTGTTGGGTACGAAGATCGAGAACAAGATTAGTGATGCTATTGTGGATCGGATCAAGCGCGCACACCAGAATCAAGAGGATTGGAGGGCATGCCTCGTCATTCCGCTCATGCCAGGTTTCCAGAATACCGTCGACCAACAAGAAGGTAGCAGCGTCCGTTTGATCATGACCTGCCAGTACCGCAGTATTTGCCGCGGCCCAACGTCCATCTTCGGCCGCCTGCGTGCAGTTGGCATTGAGCCCGAAGACTACATTCAGTTTTACGCACTGAGATCTTGGGGTGAGATTGGTCCACAAAAATCGCTCGTTACCGAACAGCTCTACATTCATGCGAAGTGTATGGTCGTTGATGACCGTGTTGCAATCATCGGGTCCGCGAACATCAATGAACGCTCTATGCTGGGCTCGCGTGACTCCGAGGTCGCAGCCATCGTGCGCGACACCGAAGTCCTTGATTCCTTCATGGCCGGCGAACCCTACAAAGTTGGCAAGTTCCCTCACACCCTACGCATGCGTCTGATGCGAGAGCACCTGGGCGTAGATGTTGATCACATCTTCGCAGAAGAGTGTGCAAGCCAGCGTTCTGAGGCCGATAGCACCGCCTTTCATGACGAATCTTCCGTGCCGTCATCTCCGACCGGGGACCGCGAGACGGAACAGAAGTTAGCGGAGAACAGACAACGACTGGAAGATGACCTGATCGCCCGAGCTGAAAAGATTCACAGCTTCAATCATGACATTGACTGGGAACAAGAGAACAACCCGCACTTAATCTCCAACAAGAAACCCTCTGCCGACTCCCGGGTTTCAAACAACCCAGCGCATCAGAAGGATGTGCGTGGCGAAGGTGCGGACCACATGCGTGAAGTTGAAAACAGACATCCTAGCCTCTCGCGCGCGCGTGATTCATACGTAAATGAAAAGGGAGAAGAGGTTCTGGCCAGCGACGTTGCGGCTGAAGGTGTTGGGCAAACTCCAAAGAAGAACTCGGGTAGAAGAGGCCGTAGCAACACTACAGGTAGCAGAGCGACTGCGCACAGCGTTCCCGAGGGCTACGCCGGCCTTCCTCCACCAAAACTGCCGCGAATGGATACCAGACAACTGGGCCTTCCTCAGCTCAGTCAACTACCGTCACTGCCTGTGCTCGATGATACGGATATCGGCGGTCCGCCTCTGCAGCGCACGTTCAGCTACGAATCATCGTCCGTCATCAATCCTCTCCTTTCCGAGATGCGTCGCCCTATCGTCACCGACGACTGCATGCGCGATCCGTTGAATGACGCCTTCTACCTCGACATCTGGCACGCTGCAGCAGAGAACAACACCAAGCTTTTCCGACAGGTGTTCCGCTGCATGCCGGATAATGAGGTCAAGACGTGGAAGGAGTACAAAGAGTACGCCGCCTTCTCCGAGCGCTTCAACCAAGCACAGGGCGCAGGCAAGTCCGCGCAGCGGAAACAGCAAGACTCGCCGGGTAAGACAGGACCACCGGGCTCAGGCTCCGTCGGCGAGAAACTGGCCGCCGCACCTGGCAACGCCTTCAAGGCGGCGGAGATGCTCGGCGAGAAGCTGAACGAGAAGATGTCGCGCGACTCGCGGGATTCCGGGAGCGCCTTTGGGAAAGTAGAGGAGTGGGCCCAAGACCAGGCGAAGAGTGCGCGCGAGTCGCTCCGCGTCGACACGCACGCCAACGGCGACATCGACGAGAAGCTCGCCATGCGCACCACCGCCGACGATGCCATCGTTTCCCCCCTGAACACCGCGCCCCCAGCCCAGACCTTCACCTTCCCTCCTCCGCCCCCCGAGCCCGAGAGCGGCACCGCAACAACCGACTTCGCGACAGCCAATGGCGCCGCGCGCGCCCGCACAGTCACCATCTCCGAGCCGGCGCCGCGCGAGGGCGTGCCGTCCCGGCAGCACGCGAGCACGATGGGCAGCAAGCGCAGCCGGCGGCGGGCGACGACGAAGAGTAGTGCGAAGGCGTTCAATGCCACGGACGCGGAGCAGTTGCTGGATAAAGAAGATGCGAAGAAGTTGATGGAGCTGGTTCAGGGGCATTTGGTCTTGTGGCCGTATGAGTGGCTCGAGGCGGAGGAGAGTAACGGGGGTTGGTTGTATAGTGTGGATCAGATTGCGCCGTTGGAGATTTATAATTAGGGGGAGTGTTGGTGGGCTGGGGTGAGTCTTGTCTTTTCGTGTTGCATTGCGGATGGTGTCTCTCTTGCTCTTTTGTCCCGTCACATCACATCACAGTAGCACCAGTCTGCGTTCTCTTTGCTTTTTCATTTCTGCTGGGGACGGCATATACAGACACCCCTATTTCATTATGTGCTATCCGTTCTGTTCTGGAAACAAATCTGAGCCGTAACCGCGTTTGTAGGTATAGACATGTGTATTCGTAACGAAGGGAGAGTGGACGGAGCGTGTAGCGGGGATAGAAAGTGAATTCATCATAGGTTGGTTACTTATTTGCACTGAGGCGTGTTGGGCGTACTGTGTGTTGTGTGTGGCTGGAGGAATCTGACTTGTGTGTGTGTGTGTGTGTGTGTGTGTGTGTGTGTGTGTGTGTGTGTGTGTGTGTGTGTGTGTGTGTGTGTGTGT